CCCCAAAAATTGACGCTCACTGCACCTCGTCGCTTGATGCGCATCTCAAGAAAAGAAAAAGTAGCTCTTGCTAAAAGCTCACGTTGTGCCCAGAACGGCCGTCATTTGTATTGTGTGTCGTCGTCGTTATCGTCCATGTTCGTTGTTGCTTACCGCGCCGAGTTTGCGTAGACATTAAGTGATGGTCCATAAACCAACGCGATGGCGCCTCCCCTGAATTATGGTCTGCTTTGCTGGCGGACACACAGACCTCCCAGTTGCAATGCATACAAGTAAACGGTAATCATTCCTGTCGGCGGATACTGGATCATTGAGATTGATCCGTTCCCGTCTGCTCACTCCTGCAGATATCGACTGACATCACCACGCTTCTAGGAGGAGCACAGTCAAAGCGGCAAATACCAATATTGCACTGTGTAGCTGCACAGTGCGCGACGAAGCAGCTGAGGAGAATGTCCCATCAAATGGACTTCCGCCACCACTACCTCCCCCTGAAACTTGTGAGTTTGCTGCCCGGCTGGACGAAGCTGCCGAAGAAGTGCTCGAACTCTCCGAGGAAGATGAGGTGGACGTGAGGGTCGAAGTCGTGGATTCGGATGATGTAGAGGACGACTGATTGGTGCTCTCCGAAGTGCTACTGGTAGTCTTGGTCGCAGACGCAGTCGCGCTCAAAGAAGTTGTGAGCGTAGACGCCACTGACGATGTCTCGGTGGTGCTCGTTTCAGATGATGCTGTGCTGCTCATCGATGTCTCTGCAAAAGTCGAAGTCTGTGTCGCTTCGGTCGTCTCCTGCGTTGTTGACGCGAGTGTGGCGCCAGTATCAACGTTCCCGCACAGAAAGTTCACCACATTGCCGACAAAAAGTTGTCCGATCAGAGAACTTCCGTCTGCTTTTTCCCCTGAACATAACCGTTGTACTAATCTCTGTGACGTCTCCAGACTTGATTGACATTTGGCTGAGCAACTGCCTGTTCCCCCAATGGCGCGAAAATCATTGAGATCGCAGTTGTTGACTGGGGTACTGTACGCAAGCGTACACGAGGACGAGAAGCCGATAATGGCCTGGATGGAGGGGTACGACACGCTGGCAGACGAGCTCCGTATTAAGGCGTGGAAAATGATGGCCAACATCAGTTGACACCGTATTCGTAGTTCCATCGCGAATGTAGGTGCTAGTAAATCGAGGTAGGAGGTTGAGGTGAGTGTCTCGAGGGAGGAAGGAGGGGTCCAAGTGTTGTTGTGATAGAGGGTTGGGATCTTGTTTCTGTGTGCGGCAGAATTTAGATGTCACGAGCCAGTGACTGGTTCACTCAAGAGAACCCTCCAAAGTGAAGTTTGAATGGTCGACCAGATCAAATCGACGCGCCAAAAGTCAACATGACCGTCACCACCTCTGGAATGGACGACCCTGCATCGCCGTGGGTTTCGTAGAAGAGGGTCGACAGAGGTGAAGGTAGAGGCGCAAGGTAAAGTCTCGATGTCCCCTAACACAACGAGGTCTTCCTCACTAACAAAATTTCGCTCCGTCGCTGGCGCCAGTCAATCGTATCCTTACCACTGGCACAGAGGTCAGGCGACGTTCACACCCACTCTACCCCGTTCGCCAGAAGATCAACACCCCCTCCTACGTCACTTGGAACTTCCGACGGCCGGGATGTGACAAAGTAATCTGGGAGACGATGATCTTGTAAGGGATGCCCAACAGATCTCCGCCGATCGCAATCAAAGGCGCTCAGCCTCGCATGAAGCCAAAAGCTTCGTCGATGGATACTCGAGCGGATCCAGGCCGGTAACAGCCGATGCTGCGTGTTGGGAGGGTACAGCTCGAGGAGCAGTTGGATGAAAAATGTTTGTCCCGTTCTCGTCTCTGTTGTATCAGATGGCCGTCTCTTTTGACTTGGCTAAGAGCCTTGTTCTTTCCCACCGAGGATTGTCAAACGTCGAAACGAGGGTACAGGAAGGGAGTCAAGACAGCAATAGGATCCGCTCGCTTCTTTGACTCTTCTCTGGGGGGGTTCCTTGAGGTCGGGTGAGAATCTTTTAAGGGTTATGGAAGGTTCAGCCTCTTGCAACAGGTGCACAGAACACGAGAAACAGGGGAGTCGACGTGTGCTTCACCATTGGGAGAGCGCCAGTGACCTCCGGGAGCGGAGGTGATTGTGAAGAAAGTTGGACCAGCGTGCCCTCCTGCATGGTGCATGGGCATAGCTGGGACGGCGGCATTGTTCGGGGCGGCTGGCATGAGGCCTCCTACGAATGGTGCGAGGAGACCAAGCTCATTCTGCGACACAAGTGACCCTGACGCTATGCTGAGGACGACGGTGGATGAGGTGGATGATGAAAACTTGGAGCAGAAAGTGTATGATCGCCAGGTACAGACGCGAGTTGATTGGGTCAAAAACCAGCCGTCAGGGGTGCCAGGGGTTGAGGCTCGTGGCTGCGGGATTCAACCCGCGACATGCGACACATGCGACGTGGACGAGCGGCTCCTTTACCAACCACTTTGCAGGGTTATTTGTTATTGTCCAGGATATGTATCCCCATGGTTGCCTTGGACGAGCACATACCCTAGGGTTCGTGTTCCGTGCAGAAAACGAGAAACACATCGCCCACAAAACCACAAAGAGCTTGCATATTGCTTGGTATTATCCATCCTGTCAACTGTTGCCCGCCATCGCCTATCGCGTCCTATCATATTTCAGCGCTCCTTGACTTTTGCTACCAGCCGATCACTCCACCCTATGGAATGAGCACTCCTCGGAACCGAACCTTGCCGCTGACCATCTTCTCCATGGCCTCGTTGGCCTTGTCCAGTGGGAATTTCTCAATCATAACGTGCACATCGTGTATTTGAGCAAACGAAATGGCTTCTTCACTGTCAAGAGCGTGTCCACTGGGCCATGCCTGAAGGCTGAGGCCCTTGCCGATCATGAAGGCAGTATTCACTTCGACGGGGGCTGTTGCTGCCAGGATAATGAGCTTGCCCACCGGCCCGAGCCCAGCGAGCAAAGAAGGAATAAGTTTCTCGTTGGGCGCAGTGAACAGAATACACGCTGCGCCTCCCAACTTCTGCAGCTGTTCACCAATGTCGCCCTGAGATGCATCGATGTATTCATGGGCTCCCAACTGGGTGGCGAACTCCCTCTTTTCGGAACTGGAGGAGATGGCGACCGTCCTGTACCCCATCTTACTGACATACTGCAATGCAAGATGTCCGAGACCCCCGAGTCCCTGGACCGCAACGAGCGAACCAGCAAGGACTCTTTGTTGCCGCAAAGCTGTCGGGGTCGTCTCGTCAGTCTTGCCCGGTGAGTGCGATCGACAGGATGAGTGCAAACTTACAGTTGAACACGGTCACTCCGGCGCAAAGTATAGGACAGAATTCAGCTGGGTCGACGTCGGTGGGTACTCGGACCACAGCCTCTGTCCTGAGAGTGACATATTCCGCATATCCCTTGGGGGAAAAAAAGAGATCAGCGAAACGAGCATGTCATCGACGAGGACAGACTTACTCCATCCCTGGTGACGCCGTTGATTGCTGCCTTCTCACACATCTGGAAAAGCCCACGCTGACACGCAACGCAGGTGCCGTCATGACCGCCGTGCCACGGTCCGCCAACGCGTTCTCCCACTTTCCAGCGATGCTCACTGTCTGGTACGGCAGCAACCTCGCCAATGATCTCATGGCCGGGGATGATGGGGAAACTGTTGCCCATGATTCCGTAGCGAACGACGTGGTCCGAGTGACAAACGCCACAGGCAAGGACCTTGACCAAGACCTGAAAATGTATGGCTTAGATATAGAGTTGACGAGGTGAAAGGGGTGGACGCACTTCGCCCGGCTTTGGCAGCTCCAGTTTGACCTGCTTGAACTTGAGAGGTTCACCTGCAGCCTCGAAGAAGCCGGCCTTGTACTCCTTGGGAAGGTTTGAAGCCATGGTGGAAGGGAGGAGAAATGGTTGATGAAGGTGTTGGACAAGGATTGGTGATGAGACGAGTTCGTATAGTGGCCCTGTTTTGAGGCTTCAGGTTGAGAATGAAATGGAGATTGAGAGTGTTCAGCACATGTTCTTTCCTTTCAACGACATTTATACCCCCCCTCTCTCACCAGCTGAAGGAGGGCCTCGAATGAAAGCGGGCGTGGGAAGTTTGTTTGTGAGGGTCAATGATGATGTAAAGGGCTGCAGCACAGCAAACTCCAGTAACTCCATCTGCGCATCTCATCTGCACATCTGCCCACGCCTGCAGCTGTCTACCAATGCTACTCACTCACTCTGATGCATGCTTCGCGAAACTCTGGTCTCCCACAACTTGTGGTTGGTCGCGCCATCAACCGCGGACGAACGAGGGGCACGGATGTTAGGGACGCTCGGAGATGGATTGCACCCAGCCCAGTCACGCATCTCTGCCTTTCTCCTCCCCCACTGACCACTTACGACTTACCTGTCCTGCCACCATCCACTCACAGGCCCTCACAGCCAGGAAGCGAACCCTTGTCTATCTCCGCGCCTCGGAAAACCGATTTTAAAAACCTACCGCTTTCGGACAAGTCTGAAACGCCTTTTCGAGACTGGGGCGAGTGGAGGCGGATTTTAGACCCAGCCGGGCTGCTTGCTGCGGTGCTCGGCCGTTTGAGGAGAAAATCCATAACTGAGAGACCGTATTCGGTATTCGTATATTTGTTGGGTGGTGTGGGATACGCTGCTCAGTCCACTCCTGCGATTGGGACCGGAATAACCCTGTTGTTCTTCCTGCTCATTCCCAGCGTGCGGGTTATTGGACACAATCTACAAGAGATGGCTCTGGGTGCTCTGGTCCTGAGGCTTTACATCAGCTCGAAGTTGTCCAGGACACAAAGATAATCTTTCCTAAAAGGTAAACCCTTGGCTTTCAAAAGGTCTAGACTACATCGACTTTGAATTGCCAGTCCAACTCACTGCCGCAGACTGAGAATGCCAGGATCAATCATCACTACAAATATCATCTGAAGCTGCGTCTCGTCTGACAGCTTGCCACCAGCTTGATGACCACTTGTCTCCGGACTCAATCTGCTCCATAGCCAACGAACTGCGAATCATGGAGCTTACATCGCTCTCCGTCAGTGTTGTTCCGGGGAAGCAGAAAAATGCAAGGATCGACTGCCGCTGCGTCAGCCACGCATGAACAACTACCTCTGGAAGGCACACTGAAGCAGGCCCCGGTAACAACATGGTTTGACAGGCTGTGCTGAAGAGCGGCAAGGTCAGGATTTCGGCAGCGCTCTGGCAAGCACACCCTAGACACCAGGCACGGACTGCCAATGACAGTGAAACCTCGCCCAGGAGTCAGCCCTTGTCCCCGTCATTCGTGCCCTTGATTGATCGGACGAGAACGGCGACGACATGCCTGCTTGCCAATCAACATTGTGGTTGTAGATACAGCAAGCCCTACCGGAGGTGCGACCGAAGCTGCCCAATTCACGGCTTGGGCTGTGGATCTCTGACCATGCAGAACAGGTCGCATACATCCCCTCCCTCCTCGCAGACCATCTTGCGGGCCAGTCGAAAGCCCATCTTCTCATATATCGCAATGTTGGGCTTGTCCCGGGAGGATTCCAGATAACACTGGCGACCCTCTTTGTCCGCAATGTCGGTGACAATCTCGAAGAGCTGGCGCCCGATTCCTTTTCCCTGGATGCCCGGCCTAACGGTGACAATATTGCAGAAGTAGTACCCTTCAGGGTCGGTCCAGATTTCTGACTGAGCAATGGCCTGCTCCCGCTTCCAGATCCAGTACCGATTCGTCCTCAACCCGCCACGCCCCTGGTACCGGACAAGATTCCACCCCTGCTTGAACCAGAGGACGTAGTCGTCGATCCACTCGGACCAGGTCTGCTTCTCACTGATGTTTCGGGGTTTCATCCACATGCTAACTCCCAGCACTCTGCCTTCTTTGTCATCTGTGTCCTTGGCCACAAAGAACAATGCGTTGCGCATCCCCCACTCACATTTTGCCTTGAGACTAGCAAAGTTGCGCTCCTTGTCGAACTTTGCACCGTCAAAGACCCACAGATGATAGGGATCGTCGGCGAATGCAAGCTGGATGCATTCTACCACCGAGGGTATGTCTGCTGAAGTGATGGGCCGTATTTCAATGCCCATATTGCCTGGCTATCGGGTAAAAGTCGTGGGGAGCCGGTCTGGCTGTATATGTAGGTTGTGATACTCCTCTAGATGACGTTGCCTTGGGTCTCTGAACTGCCATTCAGGACTTTAGTTGGAAAATATGGGAGGGGTCTGATTGTATGCGACTTCAGATCTGTGCCAGCTCGGCGTGAGGTTGGAGAAAAGATTGAGGTTGTGGGTTGGGTTGCATTTGTAGATAAGAGTCGGCATCATCGGTGGCTGCTGAGTGGATTTTTCCGAGTCCAGTCGTATTCGGATAAACATGGCTCCGCATCCCGTGACTCTCCTTTTTCTCTTCTTCCCTTCACACCTCACTTCATACAATGTCCTCCAACCTTGTATCGACAGCAGCATCGTCCTCTCTCTGCGATGACACTTGGCGTCATGTTTGGACGACAGGTCTCTCCCTAGACCACCGCCAAGTCGACAGGGGATCTTTACTGCTTTCTGCTGACCGCTACGTTCCTTGGAAAAAGGAGGGGTTGACCTCGTATTTGCTCGCCATCATTGCATTCTGGGCCCAAGTCGATCAAATCATGTGTCTTTCGCTAAGGCTGTGGTATCCGGGCCCAAGGGTCCCCTGGCCATGTGCTGTGCTGTATGCTGCTCAAGAAAAACCGTCCGCTGGAGAGCTCTTTCTTTCTCGTTCCATCCGTTGTTGGCTTTGAAAATCGTCGCTCATCCTCTTCTGTGCCATGTCCTCGCTGTCGTTGTTTCTTCTTGTTGAATTGGCGTGTTTGATCGCGACCATCCAAGTCACCGCTCCCGGTGAGGGCGAGACCTATTCTCTGGATCCCGGTTCGAGATCTATCCAATGGGAACAGCAGGCGTGAGTGCTTGACTGGCCGTGACGGACATAGATATTGACGTCTTGTTCCATGAGTGGCGACCCCGCCGAATGCGATATTTGGCTTCAGAAAGAAGCAGGAGAGCAGATCAGTTATTACTATGTCGCCCATGTGTCGGTGCCGGCGTGCCAACTCGATTTCTCGGCCTGGCCCGCGTCTCTGATGAACGAGTCTCGCTCACTAATCCCGTACGACTCTCCCGCCATGGACATTTTCAGATCGTCTACTTGAAGGTGTCTAATGTTTGCATAGGGGCGAGTACTGCTTCGCCTTTGTTACCACGGCTGCTTCTGCCGAGGAGGGCACCTTTCTAGCACAGTCGGCAGACTTTGTGATCCAGGATGAAGAGAGATCCAAGGTAAACATAGACAGATGAGTCCATGCTCCATCCAGTATCTCGTCCGACGCGAGTGATAACCCCTCAACTGCCACGGCAGGACCTGTCTACTGGCGCTCAAGTCGGCATCGGCGTCGGCATCGGCCTGGGTGGTTTAGCCTTCCTCTGCCTCTGTGGCTACTACTACATGGTCGTACGACGGAAGCGACACACGCAGCGGAGCAGGCAAGAAGCATACTCCAAGCCCGAGTTGGAAGGCGATCATCATCATCATCATCATCAGCATCATCACCAGGTCGCAAACTTTTCCCGACCATTTTCCCCCTCCACCGCCACAAAGGCCGAGCTTTCATCCACAACCACTACGACGGAAAAGGGCGTGCTGTCAGAACTCGCCTCGACCGAGGCCATGATTCACGAATTGCCGGGCAGCACGCGCCAGCCGTATGAAGCAGGGACAGGGACGGGGACAGACACCAACACAAGAACCGACGACGGGAGTGGCACGGTGGTCGGTTCTCGCGAGCGAGACCGAGTTTCTTGACTGATGAAACGAGACGAGACGAGCCATGAATGTTCTGGTCATCATCCATTCTTTCCCTCTTCTTCTTCTTCTTCTTCTCTCCCTCTGAGAGCTGGAGCTGGTAACCTCATTTATATACAACCAATCACAATTCCAATCCCAATCCTACATGTCTTGCCCAATTCCAATTCCAAGTTCCAAATCCTGTCACTCTGTCTGGACACTGAGCCACAAGAAAAGAAAAAAAAAAGAAAAGGGTCTCGCGGCGCGGTATGCATATCAGACTGAAAACTAAACTTAGAACTAAAAATGGTCGTGAGCGTGTCCGTGAGCGTGGTATATGAGTGTCTCCTCTTATCAAGCAAGCAAGCAAGACCTGCTACGATATCCAAGATGACAGAATAACAAGTGACAAGGCGGTACGAGTAAGCTGTGAGGTATTCGAGGTATTCGAGGTAGCTGAGATAGGTAGCTAGCCAGTATCCCACGGTGGTCTCATGAACCGCCGACCCGCCAAATCCAATCCAATCTACACATCAATCTACATAATGATATATCCCGTGCAAATCTCTCCCAAGTTCAAAAAATTGCCCTATAACTTGCTGCTGTTACCGGCACCGACCCCGCCACCACTGCTGTTGCTGCTACCGCTGCCAGCCTTGTCAGCTCGAGCCTCTTCCGGCACCGACAAACTTTTGGCATTCCCAAAGGCCTTGTGGACCAGGTCGGTCGGAACTCTCACCATGCCGTCCTGGATGGAGGTGCCGATGACCCTGCCGGTGTGGGGATCCCAGAGGAGACTGTGGTGGCAGCCCCGGTTGTCGGCGCCGTTGCTGGTCCACGACTCCTGGACGAACCACTTGGAGGGTCTGTCGGGCTTGCTGTCGTCGACCATGCGCAGGTGGTCGGCCAGGCCGTGGAAGATGACCGTGTGCGACAGCGACGCCATGGTGGTGCGGACGGCCTCGTACCCCAGCGCGCGCTGGATGAGGAAGAGCGAGTTCCGATCCGAAGCGTACAGGTGGGCCGCGGCGTGCAGGTTCACGTCGTTGGCAGCCTCGTCCTTCTCGCTCGCCTCTGCTGGGTCGTCATCCTGGTAAAGACGGTAGAAGAGCAACTGACGCCAGCGCGGCGCTTGCTCTCCACTCGGCCCACCTCCCGGTTCCACCTTGTCGTTGTACTTGGTCATGTCGACCCTTCGAGTTTCAACCCCGGGGAACGCGGCCGCACTCTTACTCCAGAACTCCTTCTCTTCCAGTTCCCACCAAAGGGCGTCGGCGCCGGGTGCTAGGGGATGGTCTTCCGGTTTGAGGCCGTCCAGGACACTGTGGTATTCCCTTTGGAGGTGGTCCTTGGGCATCTCCTGGTACTCGAAGTCGGTCCACTTTTTGACGCCCTTTTCCGATCGCTTGAACGAGACGGTGGCGACAAAGCACGGCGACGCGCCCTGCCCGGCATCCTCGGAGTGTTGATAGACGTCGACCCCTCTCAAGCAGTACATGCCGCCATCCCGGATCTTGCGCACGCGGTACACGTACGGAATGTCAATGGCGCCAGGGAGGATGAAGTACCCAGTCATTTGCTACAACGCCCCAAGGGACACCAAAGCCGTCAACAACAAGAAACGAGACCCGACAACATCGAGCTCAAGCTGGAAACAGGGGTAAAGGGCAACATACATGAACCACCATCCCTGGCTCCACGGTCTTGCTGGCAGCGTACATGGCCTGGGCGTAGACATGCCCGCCAAATGCTCTCCGAAACGGGGCCGGCGGCCATGCTGGAGTCAACGATTCGAAAACATTGTCGTCGACCCTTTTCAAGGCCATCAGCCGCCGAAAAGAGATGGGCTTGTTGCCCTGAAGCACCTCAAACCGGGTCGACATGGTTCGTGCGGGTCGTTTACCGAGGAGGGAGGGGAAGACACATTGACGAAACAGAAGCGAAGTCGAAGCACGAGCGATACGCATGCATGCAACAAAGCAAGCAAAGCATGAAAGCAAGCGTGGCGGACGCGATGTCAGATGGATCAGATCAGATCAGATCCAATGGCTCCTCTATCCGCTAAAACGCCATTGCAGGTCAGCTTTGTACGCTTTTTTTTTAAAAAAAAATTCAACTCAAGCTCCTATTTCCATACGAACAGACAAGACCAAAAAAAATAAATCCAAAACAGCAGAGCGAGGTATGAAGGATAGGCAGGACAGCGTACGCCGAGGAACTCGCGAAGGAAACGCAGGATTCGTAACAAATGTTCGGTATTGGGATAGGTCGCGTATAGGCGAGCAGGCGAGCAACAAGAAAAAACAAACCTCGGCAATCATGGGAGAGTGAGAGAGAGCCGATTTCCCAATCTGGAAACGAGGCTGAAAAAAGGAGGGTGGATGGATGAGGATGGAAAGGTGTGGTGGGCGGTGCTGACAGTGTCATAGGCTCGGACTCGCGGCGCTGCGCTGCTTGAAGATGATCGACAAATAAGACAAACAGGACAAACAAGACAGACAGAAAAACAACCATGTGAAAGGCTGTCCACCGCTACCACATAGTGAGCTTGTAGTAAAATGGCATGACATCATCGGCAACCTCCATCACATCCATAGCCTTGGCGACAGCGTCATTGAATCCAACCACCAAGTCCTGTCTATATGAGTTCAGAGATCAGAGTTGAAATACACAAGACGAGCCGGCAAGGTCCAGGATTGAAGAACACCGTTCACCCGCGTTGAAGTCTAAGAAATATAATACCTCAAACACCCCCCCAGAATCCACGAACGTTTTTGAACTCAACAATTGCAAAGTCAAGACACCAGACCAGACCAGACCCATCTGAGATATACTTTACCATGTCTACAGACCAGTCCTCTTCCTCAGAGTCCCAGGCCTCAATGCTCGGCGGCCACGTCAAGGTAACATATCTCCCCCCTTGATCTCATCTCTTCATCTAGCCATCTAACCAAACCTTAGTACGTCCAAGGCGCCATCTCCTCCGCCGTGGGCTACGACTCGGGCGAACAGACAAAAGCCGAAGCCGTGCAAGAGATGAAAGACGCCAAGGCACAATCAACTTCCACCACCACCCCTCAGCAACAGCAGCCCGCACAGTCGTCGATATTGGGCATGGTGGAAAACGCAGCGGGCAAGGTCACAGGTTGCGACGGCATGGTCGACGAGGGCACGAAGAGGATGCCGGAGAAGAGGGGCATCGAGGAACAGAGTGGGACAGGATGAAGCTCCCCCCCCAAAAGTGTGACTCTGCGCAAAAGAAAAGGCAAAGAGAAGTGCCTGCTCGGGAGATATACCAACAGATCGAGACCTAGGGAGCAGACAATCCACAAGGAAACGCAGATGCAGGGGCCCTTCGTGCACACAAAGAAACTCTGCTTTCACACCCAGTCGACAGAGGATTCTAATCTTTCCACCAGAACGGAGGATTCCTTTTCTGCTGTGGCTTTTGTTTTGTCAAGTAAAAAGACTGATAACACTCCCTGGAAGTCCTGAGAGCCACAGCCAGCCGATATACCACCAGAACGATTCAGTCTTATGTTGAAGTCAAACTGTTTGATCATTTCAATGGGGAAAACCAAGTTCGTGTTCGTGTTGTCTTTGTATCCGCATTTCTCTGTGTAAAAACAAGATCTCCTAGGCACCATATAGCTCCATTTTGCCGGACGTAAGCTCAGCCTGCTGATGCCTTATCCCGCCCTCAAGCCAATGGATGTCTTTCCGAGATTGGGATGTGCTTTTAGGTAAAGGTGTTGGAGGTTGATCCTCTAGCTGCTGTACAGCCAGTTTGAGCTCGTCGTAACGTATCATGTCGTGTTTCGTATCTCATGTCTCATCTCATGACCTCTTCATCTCCAGTGGTCCGATTTTCTAAACATGGAGGAACTTTTTCATCGAGTCGTCATACCCCAGTATTACTTCTCGACTTGGGCAATGGCACCTCTCCGTTAGCTGCCATTTTCTCAACAATCACGCTTCCCTCGAGCTCTTCATCCTCGTCTCTCATCCTGACATCCTCATCGTCTAACAGATCAACACCATCTTTACCACGGTGAAGATCGAGAGAGTCCCAGTCCTTACCTAGAGTTCCTTCGGTATCGGCATCATCGGCATCGACGTTAGAGTGCTTGTAGGAACTGCCATAGCGATCCTTTGCTCTCTCTCGGGCTCTGATTTCATCAGCATCAGGCTTCACCCAGCCCCCATCCGGTGATTCGCCCAACCCCATGTGGTTGGTATCGGGCTTCAGAAATGTCGGTCCAGTGGACGAGACGTACCAGCCCCGATCGGTCCACCGCGCGATACACTCTTTTGCGTACTCTCCGAGGGCGTAAAATCCCGGGTTATCTCGTGGAATAAACATGGAAACGTGCGCTGTAGTCTCGTCCGAAGCCTTGTCGTTGACAGCTTTGATCCATTTGAATCCGTTTGATGTTTCCTGCATGGTGTCTCTGCCTTCTTTTCGATCGCGGCTGACATGCACGGGTAGGTTGCAAAATGTCCTCTCCCTGCCCGCCAAAGTTTCCGTGATGCCATATCCGCCACTAGCTCCCTTCCCAAGATTGGTGTACAGATTTGCGCATCCAGCTCCTCGTTCTTTGCATTCCTGTTCCAAAGACTCGACCCGCTTACGCAGGTGCTCCGGCTTGAACAGCTCCCCCACAAACAGCAAGTGGTCGCTAGCCCATTTCCAGCCAGCACTCAGCTTCTCGCGCTGTGAGTACAAGGCTGCGGCACCGCCTGCGACCACAGCACCAGCCGCACCAGCGAACATTGCGTACTTCCCCCAAGCCTGCCATTTAGGGGCAGCTGCCGCGTCTGCCGTAGAAGAGGAAGCTGGCGCTGGGAGGGCGCCGATGGATTTGGCGCCAGAAGTCGACGAGGTCGACGAGACATTGGGTTCGGACTTGGAACCCCAACCAAACATGGAGGCAACTTCGGAGTAGGTGTTGTAGGCGTTGGCGACGACTTTGTGCCCGCCCTCGAGTCCATGGGCCACCATCCCCGGAGCCAATCCGAGGAAAGGGGTGTCGAAAGCCAATACGCCTTGGATATGAGGGAACATGAAGTTATGAGACATCGAATCTGGCTCATGGTGTGATGGTGTTGGATGGGAGGTGGATGTTGTTGAACCCAGTGTCGTGTTGGAAGGAAAATTTGGCCGTTCGGGATTTTGCGCCGAAGATCGCGCTGTGATGGGTTGCTCACTCGCGAGTTGCAGGTACGTCTCGGCTGCGACAATGCCACCCATCGAGTGGCCGATCAGTATGACATGAACCGAAGGATCCACGGTCGGAGATGGAGTCGAGCGCGCGACCTCTAGGTCGATGACCTTGTTTTGGAGCCTGCAATCATGATCTCTTTCAGTAGGGCGCTCCGCGGTAGACAGACAGACTCGCACAGCATACCATTCTCGAAACCGAGCCACACAGTCTCTGAGTTCGCCCCGTGTCTCGAATTTGGGATATGTCACAGTGACAACATCGATGTTCGGGAGGGCATGGCTCACGAGCGCCCGCAGATGTTCTGGGAAGACAGCAAAGGTGTCATCGCCGCCCTAAAGAGGGCAGCATCAGTATCCTGAGACCCAAGGGTACTGCAACAGAGAGAAGCGATAGGGTCGGCGTCACACGGTCGCAATCTGTCTGCTGGGTAGAAGACCGCATCCTCCCTCGCAACGAACTTACTTTGAAGCCATGGATAAACACAAGGAGTAGTGTCTTGCGCATCCTTGCAAAAAGGCTGCTCACATAGACGCTGCATCATTTGTGATGAGCCTTAGGTTCTGTTGGACACCATCCCTACGAGATGGCTCTATGTGTCGAGCGTTACTTCACCTCATTGTCTCCTTCCGCAGGATCAGAGAAGAGCCGGTGAATTACTGAGCCAGATTTATGGTGAGAGTGAATTGGCTTGGCATGCGTCACCTGATCGTAGCGGATCAAGATGACCGCCAGCCTTTCTTGTGTTCGTGTTACAGGAGTGTCACAAATCATATGAAAACAATTCGAGGGTTCATCAAGCTTTGGATTTCGATCGACTAGCTCAATCCCTCGCTGTTGGCCTCTCCCACGCATTGCGAGAGCCAAAGTCTCGTTGTCCAGTTCATGCTGGATCTTCTAGTTCTGTACACTTCTTTTGTCCTGTTTAGACAAGGTATTCTGAGCCCGCCGTATGTTGCCATAATACCATCTAATCCCAGCGCCATTGAAATGCTTTTTCGCTAAACCGAGTGCTTGGAGCACAAAAATAATCAAAACAGAGTCCGCCGAGCTATGCATGAGAAAAGCGCCATGCTTTCTGCACGGCCAAAGAAATCTACAGTGTCGAAGAACCGACTGCTAGAATGGGTATTGATGTTGAGTAATAGGCGTGGAAACATTGCTATGCTGCCAACCATCGGGATGAAAATTGGGGAGTGGTCCAACCCGGCGCTCTGTGTTTGCTTTGCTCAAAGGATGGTAGTGGATGTGATCAGCAGGAACATTCCTGACTGGCATCTGTAAAGCAGCCGATGGTGGTGGTATCAAGAGTGTGTTGACATGACGGACTGGTCGATATGGAGACGTGCGATGCGTTAAGAAGTATGAGGGTGATAGTCCCGGTAGAGTAGGAGTAGTGGTAGTGTACCCATTGGATGGTGATGTGTGTGCTGAAGGCAGGGTGGTAATAGCTCGAGAACCATCGCCGAGGGTGGGAACGGGATTTTGGAAGAGGGACTGCGGTACTGCAGATATCGGTGTGACAGGATGAGAATAGGTACCCGTTGTGGGTGGATACACGGTCGACAGTGCTCTATTCGTCTGGACCGGGAGTAGGGAGGTTTGAGGATTTGAAATCGGCAGAGAGGGAGGTGGTCTGGGAATGTCCAGTCTTGGGATCTCCATCAATGTTGCCGGAACGCCAGTGTTTGCCACGCTCGAGGGGTGTGTGGGAGAAACTCTCAAAGTACCTGGATTGTACGGAAGCGAAATTCCTCTACTGCCAATATTGTCCGAGAGCTGGCCAGGGAATTGTTGCCTTTTCGCTGGAGGGAGCTCGGCAGAATAGTCGGCACTCCGTTTTCGCTCCTGTTGATATCCTCTCAATCCAACTTGTTGCCGAAGTGGTGAGCTCGGAAGTTGCGTGGCTGTAGATGCAGGATGTGGTAGAACAGGGTAATGACTGTTGAGCGAAGGTGAGACACCATACGGACTGACACTATGATGGGTTGAAGGAGGTGAGGGCAACTTTTGGGGGAAGCTCTGAGTGGTGGGCGTGACAGGAGTGACGCCATTCGCTCTGCTCTCATCAACCAAGGGGAGCTTGGAGGCTTTGTCGTAAAACGCGCCAAACCTTCCCAATTTGGATTTCCATTCACTCCACTCTTCAGCCGAGGCGTAGAGGGCGTACCGCATATTGCTCAGAAATTCGACTTCCATGATGTGTATTTCGGTGACTGAAATACCAGAAACCTCTGCCCACGTCTTATTCGTGTATGTGTTGTCGTCCAGAAACTTATTTCCCAACATTAGAGCAATCGTCAGAAGTCGAAACTCACTGCCACGCTTCCCGCTTACACTGGGGTTGAATCGTTTGAGCCGATAAATGAATAATAGGGCGAGTAGAATCACATTCTTCCCGACCTGAGTGGTGCTGATGATTGTGGTCACCCATTTTCGGAAGCCAATGGCCGGTACGGCATCAGGAAGCAACCCTCTATCGACAGGTGCATCCTCTGGGAGATTTTCCGCGTATTGAAGTGTAGACCCTGTTTCGAACCAGAAGAGACATGTAATCTCTGCAGCAAACTCGGCCAGACTCCCTTTGCTCTTGTTCACTGATTCTGGGATTTGAAGGTGAGGTGCGATGGCATTCACGCTGTTCTGATCGGGGGCTCGACGGTTGTATACGCTCATCCCATTTGTCGGAGGTGCTAGAGCGTAGACATGGTTCACCGGGGCTGGTGCAGCAGCTGGAGTTCTGCGTGGACGAGAAGCGTTGGCTCCTTCTGGCAACCCATGGTCCTGCTGGAAAGTAGGTGCAGGAAGTGCAGCATAGCTGCTACCCAAAACTACTCCCGGCATGGCCCTTGACCCCGGAGGCGTGGGCAAGCCGCTGTTGAAATAGGTCTCAGAGTTATTCCACCTCTTGCACCCATATGCCGCTGGGTCTTGCTGAACCGCTGTGTTTGATATCGAGGTCAACCGATCCGAGAGGCCAACAGCACTGTAAATGGTAGACATGGACAACATGAGCGGTAACGTTACGGTAAGAGCAAAAAGGTCGAGGGTGGATAAGTGGTCGGTGTTAAGTAGTGTGAGTTGGAGATGACGGGTGCGGCAAGAGCATATCGCGGAACCAGGTTGAGGGTGAGAGACGGATGCTGGTATGGTGAAGGATCAGGCAGACCTTTTGCAAAGAGGCTTATGTGAAAGCAAGGAAAGGATAGTAATGTTCCCTGGTGACAGAGAACATTACAACAAAACGAGGATCAAGAACAATTCAAGTGAGGAGCATGGTCGATGTTTTGGAGGCTTTTGACAGAATTGGGGGGTTTGGAATGAAGGCAAAGGTATGAGAGAGGGTGGGTCCCGGATGTTTGGCAACATGAGAGGGTAGAGAGGACCTTCACCCACAAGGTCCTTTCAAACAGTGACTGTCCGAGCCCGGCCCAACTCAATCAGAGGGGACAGGATGATGATACACTGGAGCAATCAAGAATGACAAGAACCGTGATTAATGACTTGAATCCACGCGACGAAAGCAGTCAGCCGAGCAACGTACGCTTCGGCAGCCAGAGTTTGTGGCGGCACCAGGCAGTTGGACCGATGGAAAGGATCATCTTGTATTTTTCGCCCATCAGAGCCTGCATCGGGCATGGATGCGCCGTAACTCACTTTCCCAGGAACACCGGGGCCTTGTCTTGGATCGAAGGCGGTTCGAGGCTCGGCTGTAAAACCGTCAAGGGCCTTTTTTTTCCCCGTCGTAAGGTTGACGAGTCCGGTTGAACCCAGTAGTTTGCAGGCAAGGGAGACGGAGACGACTGCAAGAGCGAGGGGAGGGGGGAGGGAAAAAAGAAGAGCAGGAGCGAAGCAGTAGTCAGAAGGGCCAGGCAAGCCGCAGAAGTGGAAGGGAAGCTACGACGGCGGGCTGGGTACGCGCTGTGGCCAGCCAATAAGAAAGAAGTATCAGGGACAAAAAGATGGAGCGACAGGAGCAGACTGGCGCACGCTGGCGCAATGATTGCCAGAGTGGACTAAGACGGGCTGGCTGGCGGAGGACAAGTTTACAGTCAAAAAGAGTGATGGGATGTTTTGGAAAGAAGGATGGCCTAGGATGATGATGATGGATGGGGATGGGCGGGTTGGTTCGGTTTGGTTTGGTTTGGTTTGGTTAGGTGGGAAAGGGGGGCGGCCAGGACAAAAGCCAACGGGAAACGGGCAAACGGGGGTGGTCAAAAAGTGTGTTCAACGGCCCTTGGGTTTAAGGTCCAGGTCAAGGTCAAGGTCATGGTCATGGTTGTGGTCATGCACAAGGTCATGTCACGGTGATGAGCAATGAATCGCCGGGCATGCCAAAGCGAGACAGGAGGGGGGGGGGCAAGGGGAAGGGAAGAAAAAAGGTGTTAAAATGGCCACCGCCAATTCCATCCATGGTGATGGGACGATGATGGGGACCATGGAGACTACCGAGTAGCAGCTGAACAAAAAAAACTTGACCGCATTTAGCTCGGCATCATCGTATCGTATCAGCATCAGCTTGCCAGCGATCCAAAAGTTTTAGCCTTTTTTCCCCCTTGGGCTGTGTTGGGTGGTGCTGGTGGTGCAATGCAGTCAAGTGCACTGAATAATGTTGCTTTGCCCGTGTGGAGTGTTCTATCAAAGGTAAGTAACAGGGTTCAAGAGACTGGTACGACTGGTCAGTACTAGTGACATGGTTTACGGGTGACTAGGTATTTTCATCATGTCGTGTGTGGGAAGGGGGTCACTGGTGGTCCTAACATACATAGTACCTACATATTTTCAAAGCCTTGGGGAAATCCAAAGGGGCCTCGCAAGGGATTGATAGGGGGACGAATGAGTGGATGGGGCCGTGGTCTCTGTCATTGCCATCATCTTATTCGCCTTCGCCTCGGGGAGAGGGGACTGTTGATGCAAACCCACCCTAGTCTTGAAAGTGCAGCGAAGCCATCCGATGATATGACAAAATATCACCGCAAGTTCCGGATACATGATGAAGATGGAGTCCCGTTGCGAGGCGAGGCACGGGGGACATGCTTGGTGGTTAATGGGGTTACAGGAGGAGACACGGAGACTGGGTAGCTCCAGCAGAATAAAATTGAGACACTCTGACACTCTGGCCGGACTAACCAGTTAGCAGCATAACTTTACGAGGCAAGGCAAGGCAGGGCAAAGGGGGAGGAGCGACGTAGGAGCTTGGACATCCACATACATAACTTTGTACGAGGTTTCCGAGGCACACAAAGAAACAGCAACCAAGTTGAGAAGACTGGGGCGGGGCTGGGCTGGATGGCGTATGTAGGGCAAGCGCAAGCACAGGGTAAGGAAGGCAAGGGAGGGGAGGGCAAGGAAGCTAGTTGGTGCAGCTGAGAAGGTGAGAAGGTGAGAACGAGTGTTGAATGAATAATCTCGCTCCAGGATGGAGACGGACGGGTAAGACTTTCGTTACAAGGTCGCCAGGTCGCCGCTCCGTGGCTGCTGAGCTGCTGGATGAGCTGCGCCTGGGGGGGCTGCATTTGTGCGAACTGCCTGCCTGAAAATGCCATCGATGGGCAACAAGCCGGGAAATGAACGCTAAATGGAATCAAAGGGTTGGACGTGAGCATCGGTTGGTCGGACGACCCCTTCAGAATGGCTCATCAGATGGTGATCTGAACGGAATTGGGTAGTGGAAGCTGCCAGCTGAGTTGGGGGCAGCCTGGGGCCCGGGGGTCCAGGAGCCTCTAACTACGGGCCACGGGCTACGGGCACAAAGTATTCGGTAAGGAGCCCTGTCATCGAGAAACATTTAGCGAGTTGAACAAGCCCTGAGGTTGGATCCCGGCTTCTCCAGGCAGGCAAAGGGCCATGGCAGGTCACCGTGTCTTTTCTAAGTGGGAAGACAAGCCGAGGATGAGGTCTCCGTGCGCCCCTCCATGCCAGACAAGGGAAGGCCAAAAGAAAAACTTACGCCTAGACCGGATGCAGCCACTCGGACTCGCCAGAATTTCACACACACACTCATGACTCTGGTTGGGGGAAGCCCCTGGAAGCCAACCTTGGGCCACCAGAAAACGCTACCTGGTATGGTTTGGAATTTTCGGCTGGCCTCTCACCGCGCGTGCACAGTGGGCGCCCGGGCAAACAGCAGCTCCCCCGGGGCGACCCTATTATTGGAGGATCGTCTTGGTCTCCCGCCCCCGAAAGGGCAGTTTCGCATGATGACCACATTTCAATGGTCCGGACGAGTAGTAGTGCTCATAAGGTGGTGGCTTCAAAGTCATTTGATTGTTTGTGGACTAGCAGGGCTTCCCTTTGCTAGTTGGCCTGCTACAACTTGCTACTGCAGATTACGAGCGGCGGATAAGCGGTAGGCGTCGACGAGCTGGGTGCCGAAGCTCGCCCAGCAGTACGAGTACCTACATAGTCGTAGGCAGTGCGGCTGGTCAGGCAAAAGGCACAAAGTTATGCCTGAGTAACACTGCACTTTCCAGGCTTAGTAGTAGCAGTAGTCCGACACTCCGTCTACCGTTCTGAGTCCTTTTGGCCACACGACGCCCACTAAAATCACGGAAATTTTAAGGGGAGTCGCAAAATACTCAATACTGTAGGCACACAGAAGAGATGGCCCCGAGTTCCAGCCAGGTATCCCTCAGCTACGATCAAGGACGATCCAAGCCTTCAAAGACCGGGTCGCCACAACTAAGTTCCCGTCCTGGAAAGAAGACTCGTCAACCTGCGCCCTGTTGTGTCAGACCCTTTGAAATCCTGAGAACTTTGACCGGTGGAGCTTTTGAGATAGGTAGATAGGTAGAGCACAAGAAACTTAGCTTGCCGCATGACAAGGCAAGGAAGGTAAGGGGACACTTGTTTCCTCTTGACGCTGATCTCTTCTTTCTCCGTCAGCTTTCCATTCTGATTGGAGTCTTTCGGACCACAGTAACCCCTACGACTTGGGTCTAGGGTCACTGCGGCAGTGGCATTAATTCTCAATTTCTCGATGGATCGGTGCGGCGCCAGGCCAAAGGCGAGAGGATTTGATGTGGCAAGATAGTACGATACGAGTAATAATAATGAGACACTTGACATTCCCGGATCGAGCCAATGTTGGCAGGCGTGAAAACGCTTTGCGGGTAGCATGATCAGGCCTTGGCTGGTTAGATTTGGAGATGTGATTGGGCAAGGGAACAGAGTAGTGGCCGTGCAGGACGTCAAACAACTTCTTTGGGATAAGAGTGAGTGAGAAAAGCAACGACCGTGTTGAACGTGGGGCTGGCAGCCTGGGTCAGATGGAGATAGCAAGATGTGCAAATCTTTGGAGTCGATCACACGGGAAAGATATGGAGGTATGCAACACCAAAATTATTTACCAATACTAATAATAAGGTAACATCATGGATTACGAGTATTTTTTTTATCTTGACTTGCTAGCCGAGAACAATTTTGTGGACCATCGGGGTTGTGACTACTCGTGAGGTAAAGAAAGCACGAATGCCACATAGATTCATGGAGCTACGAGGGGAAGGGGAAGGCGCTGTGGCCCCATCCCCTTTCTACTGCTGAAGGCGGCGCTGATGCGTCGTTAATAGTATCTAGGTACGAGATGCTCGTAGTTACGAGTATCGTTTGAAAGCCGTGGATTCAGTCCGATCCTTGAAATCATCAAATGGGGGTTTCGGGGATACCAGGGCGAGTGGGAGACAGGACATAGCATGGATATTTAGCCAGAGTCCACAGCAGGCCACGCAGGCAACGAAAAAGAAAATGCTCATCCGTCCATCCCAGCTGAACATCTACGAGTAAAAATCGCGGGAATGGCGTAGAGTGTAATCATTTCAATACCATTTGGTTACCAGCAGCTCCTCGTACAGACTTTGTCTGAAATACGAGTAAGAGGTTGCAGAGGCGTTTTGATAAAGATGGAACCAGGTGTCAAGGACTTGCGGACGCGTGTAAGTTTGCTACTCCGTACCCGGAATTGGACATTCAAAGACAAAGCGTAAATATCAAGTAGAATGGCTTTTCAGGGCAAGTCCGGTAAGGAAAGAACGGAAGGGGTGGAGGCCTATTTCGTTGTCTTTGGGACTGAATAGCATCTTTGAACCAATAAGGAGGACGTGAGTAACTCGTACGACTAGCTGAAATCTGGACTTGTTCCTTGTCTCTTCCTTGTCTGACCCAAGAGGCAAGCGAAGCGGTGCGATGCATTCTCAGCATCAGCATGGCGTCGACAAAGAGGCAACCTAGTAACCTGATGGAGACCCTCCGCTTTTCTGCGAAACCATCTGAGCCACCCTCATCCGAGCCATGTCTGTTTCGCATTTTTGCCATGCGGCGTTCGAAGCTGCGAGCCAATCACGCGACATTGCGAGAACTGCAGCCAAGCGTGCCACGAGTAACTTGGGGCTTTCCTCGAGCAGGAAAAAGATTCTAACACGGGGCTCCGTGGCTCCATATTTCCAAGTCGAGGTTCTTCGTGACTCGCACTGAACAGTGGACGGGAAGCCGACGGAAGCGAGAAGGTCGGGTGGCAGGTTTCAAGATCAACATTGACCAATTTCGACGACCGAGCCAGGGCCTAGGTGAGATAACAAGAACCGAGGGCACGACCAGGCACTTTAGAACTCCGTACGAGGTTGCTAGAGGCACCGAGTATGCTGATCACATTTTGAGCGAACACGGCGGCTCAGTGGCACCAAGGGGGTTGGTGGTAGTGGTGGTGGTGATGGAGTGATTGACGAGGTGATGAGAGACGAGGGTGTCAAGGTGTGAGGCCAATAAGTGATGATAATGACACAGACTGTGTCATTTGACGAGATTTGTGTTTGGGTTTCTTTTGTCAAATCTTTCCCTGAAACAACCTGTGGTTGCCTGCCGGTTTACCTACTACTACTTGGTAGTACGAAGGACTCGTGATAGATCCTTAAGGACTCTGTCAAAGGGGAACTGTTGTAGCTCCATTTCATTCTCGCAGGGCATATGATCGAATGATGCAGAGTGACCAAAGGGTCATGAGGGTACGCAGGCACACAAATGAGCCTGCCAACCAACCAACCAACCTACTACTGCATCGTATCTCGCATCGGGCTCTAGCAGACGGCTCTCCTACGAGTACGAGGTCCTCCTACCGTGACGTGATCTCTCGATCCTGGACAATCCCGCTTTCTTTCTCCCCCTCCTAAATCCTTTTGGATATTATCGTTGCATGCGGCGGCGGCATCGGAACCACCGTCACCACCCCATCAACGACTAGCACCGTCAAGGGGTCGCTTGTCTATCATTATTTGTCTTCGTCATCCTTCGTTCCCGCCCGCCTGCAGTCTGCAGTGGCTGGCCCTTCTTCTGTTGTGCTTGTATTCGTAATATTGTTTCATTCTTCTGCCTCCTCCTCTGGTCCCAATCTTCTGGCGCTTTTTTGCTCGGATGGTTGCTCCACTTGCTGAGCCCATTCTCTCTGCCTGGTCCGCCAATTCGCCTGTTGATCCCTGTCTTCGGAAGAGTGCTGTGAGGTTGGAAGTGGAAAGGTGAACAAAGTGAAATCGAAGGTGAAATATGACACGCCTGCGCGTCTCCTTCGCGCCGCCCGCTTCCCTCCGCGTTACTGCAACCATTTTTGCTGCCACCAACCAGGCCCCCTACAATCCATTATTGCCCATCTTTGCCTTGTTCCCTTTTCTCCATCGGTTTGACTCTGAGGCTGATTTAATTTGTTTCCCAAAGTCCACACTCGAGCCAAGATCCTCCAATTCTCTGACTTCGCCGGCCACCGACGAGAACCAAGCCCCAAGACCCGCCCAGTTTGAGCCTGTCATCCCCCCTCGGGGCCTGTTTCTTCCTGTCGCTTGGGCTCGACCGATGCCTTGACTACTGCTGGAGTACACCTCACCAGCTGCAGTGCGTTCGTCCCTGTACTCCGGTCCTTTGGGCACTGCAAGTTTCAACGGTAGCCTGATATCCACTGGCGTCCTATTCGTCTATTGTGATTTACGACACAGTGACACACTCTCCTCCATCCGTGACTTCATTAGTGTCAGTTCCCGACTGCATCCCGGTCCTCCTGGTTCGTGGCCTTTCAAGGTAACAACTTTACAAGGTCTGCTGCACGTTGCTGCGTGGAGAAAAGGAGGCTGCACCACCACTATTGCGAGGCACAGAGACAGGGCAACTCATCTTTTTCGGCGAGACTAGGCCTCGACGCCTCTCCTTGTTTCTTTTGGGGCTACGCTGGACCCGGGAGCTTGTCATGATGGGACGCATCTCGTATCTGTATGCCACTGACCCAGGGGCAACCACACCTGTTCGGCCATCTTCCGCTTGTCTTTGCCCGACGCCACTCTCATGATAACACGGAACTCCTGCAGTTGTGTCCATGTCGCTCCTTGCTCCTTCTAACACCTAAGCTGGAATATCTGCCGTCATCCGTTGAGGTGACATGTTGTTTCGGGGAGCCCGCTTTGATTGTAAATGTGTTCCTTGGAGCTATCCTACTCGTTCCCCATTGGGGTTGTGCGTCATGACCTGGAAATGGAAAGACGGCGAGGCATCAAAATCCGCACTCGAGTCTCACTTCCTCTTTGACCCTGGTCAACACGATGAACATCTCTCCACGAGTCCACGTTGGCATTCGCCAACCAAAATTTGAATCGCTCCGCCTACAAGGGACGGAACCAACTGCAGCGAAATGCTTCACTACGAGTACGGAGTATACCTCGTTCTCAAGTTGTCAGGCTCGCTTCCTCCGACCACGGTCACCCTATCCTTTGGTTCCACCAACGCGGTCTCGGTCGGAGACCTAATGTGAGTTGGACAGAGGATGTCTTCAACGGCTCTGCTCGCCAAGGATCTTATTCTGCCTGGAGCACCGGTGGAATGCTTGCCGTGTCCAGGAAGGGCGATGACCCCCCTGCACGACGGGATTGAACGACTGCATCACTCATCATCAGGCCTTCCTGCCGGCCCACGCTGCGACGGCATCTTCCAACGATCCGTCACAGCAGCCGCAGAGAACCTTTTGATATTGAATTGCAGCTCGCCTGAACGAACCCAGACCTCGTCTGGTCTGAATCCAGCCATATTCTCGCCACTGTTTGTTTTCTGTGCATTGATTACTGTTTCGAGAAAGCCCCAGTGGCCAGACCTTTGCCTGGAGATATGCCGACCCAGAGCTGACGTCTCACTGCTACCCTGCTTCTCAACTCCACAGCTCAAGTCACCTCTAATGGCTTGGTAACCAGAGGCCTTTTGCATGACTATGTTTCTGACCACTTAGTTGTTGAGACATCTTCAAGGCGTACCCTCGTTTCTTCGCCTCTTTGAGGGCCTGGAGGATTCTTCCAGGCTGAAAGGCTGTCTCCAGAGAAGTTCACGTGAGGGCGTCTTGCACACACATGTTGCCTGTGGTACAGCGCCTCACATGGAGTAAGATTCATACACAATCCATATCCGATCATGCGTTCCTCCGATATTCCTGATTCGGCTTGGATATCTCTTAAGAAGATCTGGACCATCCCTGTGACGAACTCATGTGTTAAGCATTATACCTCCTGATGGCAGTGCTCATTTCTAGATCTGAGATATTTCTATTTCGAAGATCCTATTTGTGCACCAAGAATCTAGATAACTGATACCAGCTCTGAATTGGTGCCACTCCAATGCCGGCGTTGCTTCGACCTTCTGGGTGAGGAGAATGCTTGAAGAAATGTTGTTCCACCCTTGGTGAGAAGTATTTGTGCCCAAATCAGGCTGGTTCATCTCGTCACCCGCACGATCTACAGATCCGGTTTCCTTCTCGCCGTCTGGGTGTGCATCGTGCATGGATTTCTCCACAGACAACCTCTTTCACTCGTCTCGATGAGAGGGATGACAAGTCCGAACAAACACATTCGACATATTGCCCGTGGCCAACACTCAATATCTGTGTCAGTGGAAAGACTTTTCTGATTATGACTCTCTTATTTCACGAAGTTGTTGCCACACCATGTACTCAGTCGATTGCCATGCTTTTGACGAGACCATTGTGGATAATGAGATGTCCGTCTGGAATCAGGCCTTTGCTTTTCGGAAGGAGGGCATTGCAAATTCGCAGACCTTGTGATGCCATATTAGGGACTATTTGCAGTGCCCTCCATCCGTTCATGAAACCTGGGCTTTGCTCGGCTCACAGTCACCCAGCATTGTTTTGAGTGGGTGTCGCTGGCCGCAGGTATAGTGATATCCAGAGTGAAGCAAGCCCAAGAAGAGTCTGTGCTAGTCTTTCTGGAAATGCCGGACGAGTCTTCGGGGTCCAGCTGCTGCGAAATATTTACTCAAAACCCCATTGCCTGTTCTCTCCAAAAAGGTAGGCTGCAACATACCTTACATGGATATTGAGATATCCAGTTGCTGTCCCCCCCAGTACACCCCCTAGACCTGAAGAAGCAAGTCTTTGGAGCTTCATTAGGAAGTCTATCCTTACTCAATCCAACTGTCTACAGGTGGAAGCGGGCGACTCGGAGTTCGTTTCCTGCACGTGTCGTCATGCCAGCGTCATACTAAATGCAGTCAAATCACTTGGGCTTCGGGTTCGTTGTTTGTTTACAGTCGCGGCATCTATCAAGGACGACTAGACACGACCTCGAGCATCGCATATCCAAGATCCTGCGTGTGTGCGAGTCAACACCTACAATGGCCCCCGAGGCGAGCATCACCATCGACACCTCCAAGAAACAAAGTCCCATCAGAAATGCTGCTCAAGGAGCGACGTTGAAGGAACATCTCCCTCCCGCCAAATCAAGCCAGACATATCCTCAACAAACCTCGGCGGAGTCGGCTGGGACCAATGCCTCGCTGTTCTTTGTCGGGACGGCAACCACAATATTGGAGTGGGAGGGTCTGCGACTCATGACAGATCCCAACTTCTTACATGCTGGTGACCACGTCCACCTGGGACCCGGTGTAAGGGGCACCCGCAAGACGAACCCGGCGGTCGATTTGCACGACTTGCCGCATATTGACCTTGTCCTCTTGTCGCATTATCATGCCGACCATTTTGACCAGGTGGTCGAAGCCTCACTACGTCGGGACCTGCCCATTCTCACCACCCCCCACGCACACAAGCACTTGACACACAAAGGACATGGTGAAGCCTTCACAGCAGTGCATCCCCTTGACGCGTGGGAGAGTGTGTTTGTGAATGTCACCCCATCCTCTGTACCCAAGAGACAAGCCCATGTTCGCGTGACGGGGATGCCTGGCAAGCACGTTGGGGACGGCCTCGTCGCCAAAGCGAACGACATCCTCGGGGCGATCCCACCCACCAACGGGTGGATGCTCGAACTCGGATATACGGGAGACTCGTCAGCCTCTGGGCCAGGCTCCGACTTCGAGTGCGGGTATCGAATTTACATCTCGGGCGACACGCTCTATGTCTCTGAGCTGGAGAAGATCCCTGAGCTCTACACTCACGCGGGTAAACCGATTGATCTGATGCTGATTCATTTGGGCGGGACCACCGTGCCCGGTCCGCACATGCCCTTGCTGATGGTTACCATGGACGCCGAACAAGGGGTCAAGTTGGTGAAGCTGGTGCAACCGGAGGTTACAGTGCCGATTCATTACGAGTAAGTCTCGATTTTCTTTTACGAGGAGTTTTGTCGTTGTCTGCACGAGACAGCAGGCTCGCCGAGGGCCGTCTCTCTCTTCACTTCCAGCCGTGTTTTTTGCCTTCATCGGAAAAGAAGTCCCTTCATCCCATCGAGCTGGGGACATTGAAGCGCCCGAGCTGAAAAAGTCCATCACATGCAAATGGCGGAGAAAATTTCCCATCCACTCTCCCAGATTGAAGAAACTAACTTCTCTCAACCCCCCACCTTTTTGGTTGTGCGCAGTGATTACGACGTCTTCCTCTCTCCGCTCTCGGACTTCAAGGACGCCATCACCAAGGCCGGCCTCTCGGACAAAGTCGTCTACCTCGACCGGGGGGACGAGTTTCAATTCCGCGTCAGATGAAATCCGGCGGCAGGAGAGGGCACGTTATATAAGGAAAAGGGTGTGTGTTTTCGGGTGGATTCACAACCGAGGAGAGCAAGGCGGCTGGCTGGTTGTGGGAGCAGGGAAGGGGCAGGGAATGGTAGTGAGTGGCAGTGGCAGTGGCAGTGGCAGTGGCAATGGAATTGACGACTACACGAAGTTACACAAGGTGTGAGGGAGAGGGTTCGGAGGCTCACATGGCGAAATTCGTCTCCCACGCATGACTCCATATAACATGTTATATTAACAGAGTAGATACCTACGTATGCAGGTATATATTAGGCAATATGTATATCGACACCCTCTCAACCACCACCCACGAATGACTGAATGACTAACTGACTGACTAGTTCTTCCTCCCTCGCTCCAACCGAACGCGGGAAAATACAAAAAATACTTGCAGATATATATATATAGAGTAATACTACTCACTCACTACCAACCAGGTAGGTAGGTCATGTTCCTCGTTTTCTCTCCTCCTGGCCTTTCGCCTTTCGCCTTTCGCCTTTTGCCAATCCTCGCGTCCATGTCTTGATTCATCTCATTAGCGCCATGCTCCAAAAAGAAGCTGGCTGTCTATTTATTATATGTATTGATTGCGTCAAGCCCCTTCACATCAACAAAAGAAATCAACCCGCTAGGACCACGACAAAGTGTAATGGAAATATCTACCACCCACGACTAACAAGGGCCCAAGGCGCGAAGGGTCAATCACCTCTCGCTCGAGCGCTTGCAAGATACAGACAACTCCGTGTCAATAGGCGTACTCCCTTTCCCGTTCTCTCGCGCCGTCACGGCTCCTCAGTCCCGAACGCTGCGTCTGCGCCTCCGAGTAGTCCTCATAATTCCCCAGTCGTCTGATGTCTCCATAACTTTGTCTTCCTTCAGTCAAATGTCCGTAGGCCGACAACCGATCTCGGCTTGAAGAGTAGTGGTGACTCTGTCCGTGAGACTGCTGGCTGCCGTATTGGTGGCCAATCGAAGGATGTTGATGAAAGTGCGCCGGCACTTGCGGCGCATAGTCCATGCTCATGCTGCTGGCATCGTACACGGATTCCCTGCCTGTAGGGGCGTTGCCACCTCCATAAAGACTCGTTCGGTAGTCTTCACTCGAAGGGTCGAGGAGGGCTTCTTTGACGTCCCAATGGCCTTGCTTTGTGCCGACACTGAATTCGAGATCTTCTCTAGTGATGCTGTCCCAGTACTAAAGTCGCACGTTAGCACATGTGCATCAATCTGGCCATGTTCGACGGATCATTTACCTTGTACACCATCATGACTCCCAGTAGGTTACATACTGTGGCGAAGAACAGGCCGTCCAGATAGTGGCTAATGCCCTCGCAGATTCTCTTGCCAAACACATATAGGATGACTTGGCCGATGATGAAAAAAAATGCTCCGAAAGCGAGGTCACCTAATGGCCACCGATCCTGCAAAGTGTTGACAACAAGGATGACCTGCATGACAAAATATACCGCGAGAAAGATGGCGTTGATGATGTACAGAACGATGAACAGCCCCGTCGTGTTGGTCGGCGACAACCCGGCCCAGTTCTTGAAAGTGAGCAGACTGACGGCGAAGCTGATAATGAACATGACCAGACTAACGAGGCGCAGCAGCCAAACCGAGAGTGTGGTCCCGTCCTCGTACAGCTGAAACCCAACAAACCCATTGATCAACAGACTCGTGCACAACGCGGTGGCCAGGCCATTCTGCACCGCCACGAACCAGGGATAGGCACTCCCAGTTGTTGCCTGGATCACGCCTGCGTCTAGCACCAGGCTGACGATGGTCAACAGGCTGTATATGTAAAAGAATGTCAAAATCTCTTTTCTCCCGACCGCTGTGAATTTAGACCGGACGTGGAAGATCATAATGGCGGTCATGAAGAGGGCGGCAATATGGGCAAAATCGGTGGCGGCTTGGAAAATAATCGTGTTGCCTAGTTCGATGGATCGCGCACTGCATCCCGGCAGCAGGACAGGGTTTCTGGCTGTTGTAAACTCGGCGGGAGGACCCAGGATGTAACAAAGAGGTAGCGCAGATTGTCTGCATATCGACTCGAAGGACCCGAAGCCCATCTTGGGCCAAGTGCGCTCGGGCAGGCGAATTCGAGGGAGTTTCGAGATAACACAAGGCTCAATACCAAATCCCACAGGCAAGAATCAGGTGTATTGTAGCGGGCAAACAAGCGGAGTGAGGATGGATGTCGTAATGGGTGGGAGTCGTCCCAAGGGGTTGGCGGAGAGAAACAGAAGGCGACAGATAGTGAGGCTGTAGAAACGACTGACGCGCTTACTGTACGATAAAGAGAGACGGATTGAGGTTAGAGAATGACAGGGAAAAGCGTAACAATGTCTAGAAACGAAGATGAGGTCTCAGCGAGTGGAGGAGCAGGTTGTGGTGGTGGTGGTGGTGGTGGTTGATTCTAGGGCAACGAAAGGTCCGAAACAAGGCTCTGACTGGGGCCAAACACAGCCTTTCCTAAATTGGTTAGTGCAAAAGTATCTGTGCATCACCCTGAAATAGCAACACCTGTCAGCCTCGTCGACGAGTCTTGCGAGGCTGTCAATATGGATGTAAATACTTGGTTAACGAGCACGCAGCTCCGGCAGACAATCAATATCGAATGAAGCTCAAATAATGCCTGGTCCATTCGGTGTGTCCGCTGAACACCAGCATGCTCAACTGCTAATCTCTCTGGGTATATTTCGTTGCTCATAACCAGCACATTGTCCCTCAACCGGTGACATCCTTGCCCCAAATCGCCAGTCACTCGCCGCCTACCCAACCGCCCTGAACCGACCCATGAAGCTCTCCTGGTGTTTGTCCCATGCATACAAATATGGATATTCTTCAAACGCCGCCACCAGTCATGCCATTCGCTGCTCGCCACAATACGGGATTAGGCCCGTGCCTTTGACGCACGAACTTTTCTTGCTGCCTTGGTCACAATCTGCTTTGCTCTTTCTTGTGCAGCGGCTAGCTGGCGAAGAATGGCTTTCTTGCCAACAGGCGGTGAGAATCGCTGAATATCAACGGCCTCAGCCATTTCAAACAACGCCAGGCGAGCATTCGAGAGTCTGTCGGACAGCATGTCGCTAAACCTCTTACCTGGAACAGCGTAGTGCTGCGTCATGCGCACCACATCACCGTGTAGAATATGTGTTTCCGTTCTCAACCATGACTGGAAATCGGCAAGTGCCGACATGTTCAAAAAGTGCCATGCTCTATTGAGCAACTTCTGTCCCTGACTTCCGGCGCTAGCAAGCTTCGGAAAAGAACTGATGCCATCCATGACTTGTCCTTCTCGCACTCCCTTCCAGGAATCAACAAAGCTGCTCGCCATCTCTTGGGCACGTCCGCTCAACATGCCAAATAGTGCCTTGAGATGCTGGTATTCGGAAGCCGGTTGAGGGCCAAAGGAGACAGTGATCAGCTCGCTGATTTGAGGTTTCCTGATGGTCAGGTTGACTTCAATATCGCCATGAGCATCATATGGCTGCAATTGGACACGGAAAACCCCCTCAAAGAGCTCCTGTACAGTCGCAGGGACGGTCTGGTTCTTGCGCTTGAGCTCAATCGACAAGGGAGAGCGCTTCTTGCGACTCAAAGCGACCTTGGGCAATTTGACTAGCAATTGACCTTCCCCTCCGACCCCGACTTGGAAATGAAGTGCGTCATCTGCAACAGCAGGGACAACGTTAAGCGAAGCAATGTCTAGCAGTTGTTGAGCAGCCTGATTTTCCACCTTTGAACTGTCAGCAGAAGTTGCGGATGTCGACATAGATAGTTCCCTTCCTGCTGAAGGTGGATGTTCTTTTGCGGTGACACTGGCAACAATGTCACCGGAAATTGCACCCGAGGTTGGGTCCGACAATATCGGCCATAATCGGAGGCCCAGAAAGCTGTACACGCCGACGATCCATAGGACGATGAAGACATTCTTAATGAATGAAGCACTGACTTGTGGGAGCAGGCTGGTTTTGGTCGGAGATTTCTCGTTAGGTTCTTTCGACAAGGAGTTCCAGCCATCGATCTCGGAAACACGAGCTCTCTCAGCGCTCAAAACAACATACGCAATGTGTTTGTTGAGGGCTGCAGCATCCAAGTTCAAGAATGCCGCCATGTCTAGTGGTAACTGTGGTGAGACCTTGTGCTGCACCGACCACGACCGCAGAGGTATCGCCTCAATACATTCGTGGAGAGAATCGGATGTCACACAGCCTCGATAATCACCTTCCAAGCCCCGATCCATTCGGATCAGTACCTTAGGTATGCCCTGTCTTTCCACAAAGGAAATCATGTTGCAACTGGAACTGTTCATGTTACCCGCATCGTCGAGATGAACGCAAATGATTGCAAGATCCGGAAGAGTCCATCGAGGGTTGTCCACCAGAAATCTAGAGCCACTCCACATTGAAACAATTTCTGAGCGTGTTTGGCTGTTGCGAAGCGTCAACTGTTCCTGCTGGCCGAGACCACCGGATAACTGAACCAGATCATAACATTCAAAGTCAATCAGTTTGTCGATTGCAACAAGGTCGGCGAAATCTGGTTCTGCTCCTGGCCCAAAAGTGTTCGGTACCAGATGATACCTCGAAACAGAGGTTGGACTGACATTGTGGGATGCCATAGGCCGCGATACTAAAACATCTCCGAGTTTTCTCTCAAGTTCTGGCTTGAATTGTTCAACATGGTGGCCCAGTAGGAGAACTTTGAAGTAGTTGTGGACGTCCAAGTCTAGACCACTTTCCAATATAGGCATTCGAATGACGCTGACATATCTCGGCATCTCTCCATCTCCTTGACCACCATGAGGCAGCCTTCGAGCCTCTCCTTCGGAGAGAGGTCGGATGGTTGTAAATGTGTCGATGGGACCCTTGACATCTTGATCCATGTCCTGTTTCGAAAAGACTGCGCTGGGAAGGAAAGGGGGCCGCTGATGCCAGACATATTCTCGCTCAGGAGGGGAATTCATGATGGGTTGTGGGCTTAAATCTTCAGTGAGAGTGTCTTCGAGGCCATCTCCATCCGACAAGGCATCGTCGTGGATAGGGACTTCGTCAGAAACGCTCTGGATATCATCTGAACTATGCACATCTAGGAGAGATCCGACGTCGGTATGCTCAGATTGCAGGTCGTCTTCATTCGAGGATTCAGCGTCCGCAAGGGAGGCCCAGCTGTCGTCTAGGGAACTCTGGTCCGGTTCGGGCGGTGGCATCGTACCGATGGTTCTTATGGAGTTGGAAGAGGAGGAGGACGAATGTTCGAGCAGAGAGTCAAGTGAGAGATGTAGGGGAATCTCCGGATATCTGAGGTCGAACGGGTGTGAGGTAGTGTCTGCGGGGGGTGAAGACGGTGCCACTTCGTCTCGAAAGGTCTTGCTGCGGTTGTGCTCAGACATGTCAGTCATATTGTGCCGTGCGAGCACAGGAGACGATGCCAGGGATATGAGTCTCCGGGGCGGTCGATGGAGAACGGAACGATGTCTTGCAGTGAACTTACTACTAGAGGTGAAAATGCTCCAGAACTCCTTCCTGGAGGTCTCAACAGCGTTGCGACTTCTGGTGGATTGGGTCGTCCAATTCCGTGGTTCAACGAATGAGATCCGGGACCAGGTGATTCTGCGTGGACAGTGAGACGAGTCCGGCTCAGGCAGTGTAGGGTCATCAGCTTGGGTACAGGAGAGCGTTGAAGGGAAGGTTCACATTAACAGGAAGATAGAAGCAGTCTGAAGCAGTTGGTTGGGAGAGAATGGATCCAGGCAGAGGGTAGTTAGGCACCAAACAGTGCATCCAAGGTTGATGCCAGGCAATGATGGATAAGACAAAAGCAGGAACCCCGCAGACGCGCCCATGCACGCCGGACGCCTGGGTTCCTGCCCCTCCACGCTACGCTTTGCCCTTTAGGCGCTGTAGCACCGTGGGTGCCTCTCTGCAAGCTCCACCTTTGATAAGCAAGGCTGCACATACAAGTTGGGTGCAAGTAGGCTCCAGCCTTGTGGTCTCCATTTGGATCGTCCGTCTCCGTTGGCTGGTATGCTAAAGCGGTATATTTTGTATTCACACAAGCCCAACCATACACTTCAATCCCATGGGGTATATGGATGGGTTCTTCCCCCTTCGCCCAACCTAACCCAATTATAGAACGGCCCCAGGCCCCAATGCAACTCGTGACACCAGCTGTGCTGTCAGCATCAGCAGTCGGCAACATGTCCATCCCTGAATGCCAACAGCCTTGATAGCCAGTACCATCTTCTCAGGTCGGCTTCCCTTGCTGAATTGACATCTCCTTCGTCTCTTCAGCTCTTCCTTTCTTCTTGCATCACTCTGCTTTTTCAGATGCTCGAGGTAATATGTTCTGTACTCTTGAGAACAAACCCAGACAGTGTGCCTCTGAATCCAAGCGTCATTCCGATATTCCTTACACAGCACAGACCGTGCTGTTCCGACGCCAGAATGTAGCGTCTCTCAAATCTCACGGAAGGACACCAACGCCAAGCTGCCATGCATTAATCAAACATCTTGCTCTACCATTGCCAATTGTGTGCCGCCCGTAGCTTTTTCGGTCAAGGGGAAGCCCAACCACCAGCGACTTCTACCCATTCGGCGAGACAACTGCCTTCTTTTCCTTCCACGTCTCGAATGTCGGTGTCGCATCGACACCGACACCCGACGCCGTTTTCTTTGGGAGGATCTGGGGTCGCCCAGTACTCGTCTTCTTCTTGTCTTTCCTTCTCATCCTCAGTGGTTTTTTCTAGCCAAGGGATTCTCGGCAGCTGTCGGGCTGGCGCATTCGCGGGACAGTGCTGGATAGTCGTGTGGCGATAGCCAAAGTCGCGGAAATAGTGGATATCACGAGGAGCCAGGAGGGCTCCCGCCGCGAGAGAGTGTATCGGGGCATCTCCCCACTGTGTCAAAGTCAGTTTACGCGTATTTCGACGATATAGTTCTGGAAAACCCACCCTTTCCATCCAGAATCCTCCGCTCCGGTCCATCATCTCAAAGAAGTCATTGTACTCTTTGCTTCTGAACCAGTCCAAGCGTGCAATCTCGAAATTGCTCCAGAAATGGCACATATTATATTTCTCGCCCTCCATTGCTTCGCCGTCGATGTCCTCTATGTTTTGATGGCCAGGTTCAGTCTGGAGGATCTCGTTCGGCAGTGTCTTGGCTCTTCTGTCGTCCGCAGAAGCTTCGTTTTCAGGCTGGGGCTCGATAAACATCTCCCAGAGACCCTGAGACTTGATGTTGTGTTTGCGCTTGTAAGCTGAGGCATAGCGAAAGATATTAGGTACAGTTTCCTTCAGTTCCTTGACGGCGATGGTGAAACCATAGGTTTTGTTGGCCCTGGCCATCTCAATGAAAGGATCGTAGGTGATATCGCAGAAGTATTTGATTTCGGGTTCCAGCCGCCAGTACCATTCGTACTTGTCCAACAGCTCGTGTTTGTAGAAGAATCCCGAGTAGAAGCGACACATGTGATGGTAACTCTCCATGCCACCATACATGATTGCGAGGTCTCCTTGCTTGCGAATTCCCTCTTTTGCAACTTCATGATCTACCCAGTCCGGATATCCCCACATCGAAGGGTCAATCTTGCCGAATTCCACAGGGGAACTTGTGTAGTTGGTGACAGTGTCTTTGAAATCCTGTTCAAATTCTCCATCATTGAGAAAAACGTAAGGATAATGGAACCATCGGTTGAAATGTCTTTCCATGCTTTTGATTGATTGAATGACTCCTTCCAGCTCCTTATTCCGGGCAAGGACAACAAAAGCCGCGTTGGCTCGTGGTTGTTTCGCGGCGTCTTCGGGGTTCAGGCATCCCGTCGCAAATACTCGATCGTGCTTTTCGCTTATTTTTCTGCTGAGGCGTTAGAAGAAATATTCAACCAGGACAAGAGGGATGACTGAGGGCATACCGTATTGAAGGAGGCGTGCCAGCCGGGACCAATATTCGTCCCGGAGAGTTAGGATGTTTTATGACAAGAATGAGGATGATTAAGACAACCAAGCTGGGAAAAAGGAGTAAGAAGCCCAATGGAATCGATATAGACGAGTTGCCTTTTAGCCGGATGCGCCTGCGGAAGAAGGATAATCTCGAAAGCGTCTTCGGCTTTTCATGCTTGTAGTCGTCTACTGTAGGCGACGTGTTAAGTGAAGGTAGGCGTTTATACAGGCGCTGTGCAAACCCCATTATTAGGGACTTCTACCTCGGACGAAGGAGGGCTTTCCGCGCTGCTTCCAAACTTTTATCTCGCGGACATGCAATCGTCATCGAATGTCAACTTGGGACCTCGAGTGGACTCGTTGTATTTCCGTGCTGGATTGATTTCCAGTTGCCTCTTGACTTCGCAGGCGGCCAAGGTTCTGGATGTCGTGTAGGGTTGGAGACGGGAGCTGATAGGGATGAGCGCGCACAGAACCAGGGGAAGCTCAGGACCGGATGGAATGGCGCAATAGGATTATCTTGAGCGATACCAAAGCAACATAATGGGCTCACTGCGTTGATTCAACAAAGTATGAGGACAGATATGGCTCTTCATGGACGTTGGGAGAGGAGAAAAGGACTTTTGGCTTGAAGTTGCAGACACTTGGTGATCCACAGCACGACGGCCGCCAGGGACCAGAAACCACTTCCGGACGCAGCTGGACCACTGAGGAGCCACTGAGGTTGCGTAGCTGCCAAGACACCTACATATCGAGATATGTACTATTACTGACCACTCCGTATAGCAACTGGTGGCAGCGATATCATCAAACTCATTTCCCACCAGCACTACTTGATGGATGTGTATCACAATCATATCGCAGGTCAACCGGGGGAATTCCTCGCAGAGATGCACTCTCAAGAATACATATGACCAGCAGTCACAAGACAAGATGATGACGGGATGTTGACAGTATTACCACCCTCTGTGACTCTCCTTTTCAATTTTTTTTTTTTTTGTCAAGATGCTCCTGAATCTCCAGAGTGGCCAAATATCGTGCCCAAATATACTTACCAATAGGCACTTAGGTGGTTGACTCAGGGTTGCCCCCCTGCCCCGGGAGGGAAAAGGAGGCTTTAAAGTTGCCCCCGACAGTACCGAGCATCTACGAGTACGCCGACACCTCACCTAACGACTAACGCGGATAATTTCCAGGGGGCCAAGGCTCAGTGGGCGTGGCCTAAGAATTGCCTCTCGGGGCTGCTAGACTCGCCAGTTTCAAAGAGGCCAATCAATCACCCCTTCCCCTCAGAAGTCTGCCACCTCTCTCACCCTCACCCAGCCTCCATTTGCCACAGAACTAACGACGAGTTTGTTGACTTGACAAGCGAATTATGACCAGCATAAACAAGTGGCTGCCAACCACCCTGAACCTGTTGCCTACAGCCACTTCAACTTGCGACTCGGTTTCGAATTGCTTACAATAATGGCCTCTTGACTCTGAAAACTTCATCCCAATCAATCAACCTTCAATCGTGATGTTTTGAAACACCCTTGTTTGAGCCTGCCCAGCTATTGTTGGGCTTAGTTGGCCTCGAAAAGACCCTTTTCCCCGCGTTCCTGCAGCCACAACCCACCCTCTGCACGCGGCGGCCTACCCTACGTCTGGCATCACGAGCCATTGATCTTCACCGCATGGAATGATATAATAGTGACGACGCCTGCACGCGCGGATCGATGGTTGCCAGCTTTCCTCTAAAGTCCAGCATTCTCCTCTCTTGATCATGGCAGCAACCTCTCCTCTGCGCCCGTCAACTCCCGCTCGACCTGCTTTTGATACACCCCAGCTTTCTCCGAACCGGATGCCACCCGCCTTTCCCTCTCAATCATCCTACAAATCGGGCCATCTAGGTCTTGCCGTCTTCTCGCCAGTCGATCAGAATGGGAGCTTTTGCTTTGACCGTGTGATCAAGAGCGGGAAAGTACATTGGCGGGTAAAAAACAAAGGAGCCTGGAAACCATCATGGAAGCCGGCCTACCTCGTCCTGAGGCCGAACCTCTTGTCCGTCTACCAAAATCCCGACGAGACTGATCTCAAAGCTTCTATTACCTTGTCCGAAGTCACGGCTGTTGCACGCGTCCAAAAAGTACACACCGAGCATGTATTTGGCGTGTTCTCCCCATCGAAGAACTATCATTTTCGCGGCATATCTGAAGCAGACACGGAGGACTGGATCATGTATATCCGCTCAGAAGCAAGGACCGATGAAGATGACAACATTGCCTCTACCGCTCCGCAGCTTTCGAGTAGGGCTGGTGACCTGTCAAACACTTACGACTCTACCGATATGTCCGCAGACGAAATGCATCGTGCTCCAGGTTCACCCGAAGGTCGATCGAGTGCGATACAGAACAGACCCAGGCACGGGTCACTGCAAGCGAACAGCCAAAGACGGCCTTCCAATTTCCAGGAATATTCTGGAAACGAACAGTTCACGACGTCACACTCGGACTTCTCGGATTCCTTGGGGAGTTCATTACCGAAAAACTCATCGTCGTCGCTGGCCAAACAACCACCGGTTTTGACACCGATTGTTTCATCACAACAGCTCAGTGGCAAGGTCGAGGCCAAAGGAAATGCACAGTTATCCCAACCTCCGTCACAGTCGGAGCCCGTCGCTGACCCAGAACGGGTTGTTCGGCAAGGACATCTACAAATTTTGAAGTCACACAAAACCGGTGTCAAGGGGTGGAAGTGGATCTGGGTCGTACTCCGTTCCCGAAGCCTATCGTTCTACAAGAATGAAGCGGAATATGCTGCCGTAAAGATTCTACCGATGCACTCGATTGTCAATGCCGCCGAGATTGACCCCGTGAGCAAATCCAAAAACTTCTGCTTTCAAATTATTACGGACGACAAGACGTACAGATTCTGTGCGCCGGGCGAGGAAGAGTTGGATAGATGGCTGGGGGCTCTGAAGAGCGTGTTGAGCAAGCGTAACGAAGTGGAAAAGGCGCTCGCTGCGAAGGCTAGAGATAAAGAGAGGGAGAAAGGGAAAGGCAAAACCGGCTTGGAGGGCGTTGCTGCATTGCTCCTGCGCCAGCAAGCGGTTTGACTTGTCCTATTCGGGTTGCGACATTGGATATTGGAGACGATGCTGTTTATAATCCCGTCACGACCTGTACGAACCTGACTACGCATATCATGCATACGTGGACTGTTGTATATACGACCTGATGAAATGAGTGACCAGGGACGATCACTTGCTACGCTGTACGACGAATACAGCAAAGGCACGAGCATTGGCCTCCTGCAAAGACGATGACACTCTCTGGAGTACGAGGAATACGCTGTTTATGCATTGATGACTTTGGATGACCAGACTTTTTGGGACGTGTTGTATACCCCCTTTTGCGCCTGATTGGCACGGCATATATATAATACTGGATATAGCACAATGAACATGATTATATGTACCCAACAACACAACAAACACAACAGGAGAATTGCTCCTAAGAAGGCTTCGAGTCCTACCTGAGTTGTAACCATCGAGTCTTGTGTAGGTATGCATGGCAGACATGGACGTGCGGAGTACAGAGTACAGAGCGGTCTCATCTCATGGTTGTTGTACAGATGTAAATACATATACATATATATAATCCTCGAACAATTGTCCTTCGCGCCCATTTGACTGACCCATCCCACGCCGCTTTGCTCTCCCGCTAACGACTACTCGGTATTAGTCGACTCGCTCCCTTCTCCTCCCTTTCTCCCATGCCGGCTTCCCTTCTGCTCTCTTCTACTCCTCTTCGTCTTCGGCCTGCTTCTGCCACGCTCCCTTGTCTCTCTCTCTGCTTCCTCATGCGTCGGCGAGGCTCCCTTTTCGGCTCCAGTCTTACTCGCTCTCATGTTGCACGCACTCAGCCTTGTGATAACCTCGGCTCACAGAGGTGCTCGGGGAGATTACCGGATTGCTTTTGATCCCACCAAAGATGTATATAGACTCAGCAGGTTCCTAGTTAGAGAGAGGGGGAATGAAGTCTGCCCTTTGAACTCAGGCGAAAGAAGTTATCGAAGAGACTCACTCTCAGCGAACTAATCTGCACACGACTCAGGTCCGATTCCAGAAGCGAATCAAGTCTGTCGTATAGACTTTTGCGAAGCAACAACTCCAACCTCATCATGTATGTGTCATAATCGGAATAAGTGGTCTCCATAGCTGTCCGCTGCTCGCATATCTGATAGAGACGTTCCGCTTCTTGCTCGAGTTTTGGAATTCCTAGAGATTCAACGTCAGCCATCTGCCAACAGTAAAAGTGCTGAGCGTGTGATGTTACTGCCTGCCCTTCACGGGGTTTCAACATCGACCGGAGAGCAAAATCACACTTACCACAGACCAATATTGTCCCGGGTCGACCGAAGATAAGTTGCTGCTGCTCTTCTTCTAACCTCGCAGATTCCTTGACACTGACATTATTCGTTCCCATGCCGAATGCCGTGTTTAAATAGAGGAACAGCTGCGTGTCCCACAACCTATACATTATTTCTGCGAACCGAGCAGGGTTGAATACGTGATATGCTTGAGAAACGACGAATCAGTTACGAGATCTTTGAATGGGTTCGAACCATCATAAGAATTACTGTGCGTACCGTCAATCATCGCATCCTCTAAGCCATCAGCTTTACTCGTTGTACACTCTTCCAGTTCATCCTCTGGCTTGTTTATCGATTTACTCCTAATTCTCGTCCGTAATTGTCTCATGTGAAGCCATAGTCTCCTTGCGGGTAATTGCGTGAGCAATTTCGCACGTTCTTGACGGACGTGGGCTTTGAAGCTTTGAGGCTGGCTTTGAATGAGTCTGTCGACCCTGGTGACTAGGTTGGTGATAGAGTTTGCTTGAGACAGGTCGTAGAGGATGGTACAACCATCGCCACCTGGTCTAGATCAGCCTGACTCTGTGAGATGCACGATCGCGTCAGGGAACGCCCCACGTACCTAATCTCGAATACCGGCGTATAAACTCGGAAGATATCCCATCAAAGCACTTGAAGAAATTCCAATCAAAGTACTGGGCCCTAACGTCACTGCCTAACTCGGCTGCAGCAGCTTCGAGGAGTTTCAGGTAGGCCGGAACGTTTGCTTTTCTCCAAGCGTCCAGTCCAAGCCAAGGAGAGGGAAGAGGCGAATGACATTTCAACAACTGGTCGTTGGAGTAAGTTTGTTTGAATTCCAGAGGATCAGCAGCGAGATAATGTTCAAGCATGTGCTTGAACTTCTGGCGGTCGTTGAAAACAATGCCCGACGTGGTGATAGCTTCTTCAAAGAATATCGTATTCAGTAGTTGCAGATGCTCGGTGCTTACGCGGATAAATTTGAAGTTGAATTCGTCATCTTTGCAGAACTGTGATACCGGCTCACCCTCGACTGGTGACCCAAAGTATCTGACTTGAGGTCGTTCAAGAGGTAGATCTATCAAATTCGAGAGCCTCTGTGGCTTGATCCGATCGAGACCAATCTCAGACTTTATCACTTCCAGCTGCTCCAATCTCATTCTTTCTTTATCTGGATCATCCCATCTCTGAAGCACGTTCTTGCGCATTATGATCATGAGATTTGGGCTGATTGGTGCAAAAACATGCCAGTCCGTCCATTGGGTCTCATCATTCGGCCCTTCAAAAATACTGTATGCGTTCTGCGTAAGCATGAACTCATTATCAGAGTAAGGCAGATTAGCTGGGCAGCAGAAAGATAAAAAGGTCGATTCCAAATGCATAATGAACCACGCGGCATCTGGAGGATATGCTTTCTCAATAATCTCTCTCTTCCACCCTTCCTTGGTTCCCAGTGGGACACTGAGAAAGGCCAGCAGATTGTTGAGCCAGACGGTTTTCGGATCTTCAATCCCTCTTTCCTGCATGTAGATCAACATGTTATATCTGTCATCGGCGTCGTAGTCCTTCTTGGATTTCTCAAAGCGTCGCTCAAATGAACGGTTGCGGTAAAGCATAATGAAGAGAAATCTCCGTAATTCGTCCTTTTCATGCCTCCTGAGCGAAAATTGACTATCCCCGCAGTGATATGCAGTCTCAATTTTTTGTAGAATCTTGGCTGCTCGCTCTTCAAGTGTGCAGAGCTCTTTCTCCACCATGCATTCTGCAACCGACGAAGCTGGGAAGATAGAAGGATCGAGGTACATATTGTTCCTACCAAATGTCCTCGCCGCCTTGCGACTTTCAAGTTTGCCATCTTCCAAATTTAGGAATGACACTTTGCAATACTTTCGCGCTTTCGTTCTCTGTAGGCCCTCGGCAACAAGTGTTTCGAAATTTGAGAACTTGCGCAAAATGAATTGGGGGATGAAGTGCTGGTATTGGGAAGACATGGTGATTATCTAATGGCCATCGACAGTTAGAGACGAATAAGGAAGGGAAAGAATGGCATTTATCCAACCTCCAGTGCTGAGCATTGGTACACAGAGCCTCAGCAGCCGGCCGTCATTTTGCTTAGAAGTCAATTATGAGTCAACAGCCTGATGGAGATAGTTGCCTAACTCCTGCATATTCAACGAGAAGCGATGTCTACTTCATTGGTTGTTGAGATGAGCTGGCACGTTTGTGAGGTATAACGATCTTTGCGCTCGGGGAGTCATCTTCGGTGTGTCGTCGTGGCGTGCGTTGATTGGCACCAGTGCTGCGTACAAGTGCATAGGAGGCGTGGGCCCGGTACCCTAGCTAACTAGTTAGCATAACATCAGGCAGCGTAGGTGTAGAGGCTTGCTGGGTTCATCTCAGGATTATTATCTGAAATAAATGCCTAGCTGACAGGCAGGTAAAGCCGATTGCTGGGGGTCGAAGGCCTAATCTGGCCCTCCCTTAATCCTTACACCCTCTAAGTAGGGTTACAGCTGGGCAATTATAGCCGAGGCCCAAAATGGACCCCTGAGCCCGAAATGGCTTCTCCGTTACGTGCCTGATTAAAGCGGCCTCGCTCCCTTTCCTGAACGAAAATGGTAAGGGATGAAGTACAGTTCGGGAATGATATAATAGATATACATATACAGAGGTATGATGCTCGGTGTAAAGTGGCCAAAAGGGAGGAAGTGAGTATTCGGATGTCTTAACCGGCTCTCAATAGAACCAACCAACCACCCACGATTCGGTCGAGGTAAGAGGCGAGTCGCTTGATGGGACCTGTTGCCTGAGGCGCGTTTCGAAGGTCGGAGAGACATAGATGAGTTTCTCTGAATGTGTCCAAAGCCTCTTGCTCCGGGTTTGGATCCCTCCCACAAGTAACCCTTGCATTCGTCCCGTCTCTACTGAGTGCAGTGGTCATATCCCCATCCTTCGACGTAGCTTGCCCGCCAACGGCGCGTTGATATTCACCGACCAAAGAGCCCTCTGACCCGTCCCCAAAACCCTCTGGGTCTGGCTTCGACCACCACATCTTCATATTCCTCTGGCGCTGATCTAGATGCAACCTTCTCTTGAGGCGAGGCAGCGCTAAATTCCTCCATCTCTGCCTGCTCAGTCGGATAATCCGTAAAATCTTCTTCAGGCTCAGTCAACGGCGGTTGTTCCCACAATGGCGGTTGCGTATACCCATTCGCCATCTCTTTGGGCATCCAGCCATCATTTATTCCACTGCCGATGACGTGCACACTCTTGGACACAACAGCTTGGTATTGCTGCTGTGGTTTTCCCTTCGGAAATTCGCCCTCATCATCAAGTCCAAGTTTCGTCTTCCAAGCCTTGGCCAAGCCGAAGGGCGCGAGGGCGCCATGAACGACGTTACCTGGCCAGGAGGCTGCGAAGAGTCCGTCGTTCAAGTCGGCCCAGTACATCTTGATCTCACGGGTTTGTTTGGCCCATTCCGGTTTTGTGGTGGTACTATGCGCCTGGTTCGCGCCTGTACTCTGAGACGTTTGTAGTGTTGCTGACTGCGTCTCCGAGCCATTCAGCCTGTCTTGAGCGTCAAATGACTTGAGGGCTGATTCTCTAGCCGCGGATACATGTTCCCAGACCGAACCAGCCTCTGTGATTGGGAGTTCGTTATTGTTGAACCATTCCTCGATCGCTCCCTGCTCCGCTGCCTTTGCAATTTGTTGGCGTTCCTTGAAAACATCCAGGTTCTGCTGTTTCAGTTCTTCTCGTAGTTGTGCGGAATCATACTCTTCCGGGGCCTTTAAATCGTTGTGGGATTCGCCGTTCGAGACATCAAGCTTACGGCCACGGATAATGCCATGATGCTCCATGCTGAGCTGCTGAATCGCGTTGCGTGTGAGAGGAAGAAGCGCTCGTTCGTGCGCGGGAAGATCTTGGAGAGCCAGCGCGGCCCGGCTTCGAATCTCTGCCGCCTTTTTCTCCAGTTCCTTGCGAATCTTGTTGACGCGCCGTCGTGCTCGGTTCGTCATCTCCGAGGCTTTTATCAGCCGGCTGGTTTCCACCATCGTCACCTTTTCCCAAGGACTGGGTCCCGACGATATCCAGTCAAGCACAAATGCAACATCGGCAACACTGGTAGCTTTTTGGTCCATCAATTTTCGCGCCCGTAGCTTCTTAGGTAGGATCTCGTCAAGCTTAGGAATCTTTCCAACGAGTCCATCGCGAACCGCCATTTCCTGAAGGGTCACAGGGGACCCTAGCTTGGATTTCACGATATCTATGTCCTCTTGTGTGGCTTTAATCAAGTCCTCGGGTGGGGATAGTTGTCTTTGCATCGAAAGCTCGCGGAGTTTTTGAAACGCAAAAAGGCCTTCTAATGCGCCTGCGGCGGTGGGTGGAAAGTGTATGGAAAAGTATGGCGTCCACATATCAGGGCGCACCGACGCGGGCACAGTCTTCTTGCCGTGGTAGAGCAGTTGTTTGAGGATTTTTGTTTCCTGATACAAGAAGCTCGTTAGCGACTCACAAACGCAAGCACGACTAGTGTCCATTACCTGCAGAGTCCTCGTCAAGCTGTACACAACTTGATTAGTCCGAATATGGCGGTAGGCATAGATGTCTAAACCATGTCTTTGATGTCGAAGAGCCTTTGCAACTTGCATGTCTTGCGTAGCTGCTCTATTTTTGACCGCATTGGAACCTCCTGCTCGCCACTTGCCCTGAACCCATTTTATGTTGCCATTTTTGGGCACGACCGTGGGTTGGAGACCTTGATTGGGATGAGGTTCTCCCTTTAGCATTCGAGGAGGTCGTATACGTGGCATCGCAGGGATGGACATCGGGGGTATCTGATGAGCCACTGCATTGGCAGTGACGGCCGCCATTATGGACACTGTCGAGTGTCGATGGCTGGATTGCCGTTGTAATAGGATCTCTGTGTCAACAAGACATGTCTGATTTCATGCAATGCGTCGAACATTCGCCATGACAATTTCACGGCGCGGACAATAGAGTAAAGCGAATGGCTGTTACTGAGCGAAAGTCACAGCTCCAAAAAATCCATGTGCAGAGAGAGCTGCGCGCCGACTACGGCGAATCATTTGCTCTTGGCGTGTTTGTGTGCATGAATCGCAGCCTCGCTCAGCCTCGTTCAATATCTTCTCCCCACGTCGAGGTTTTGCTGACTGGGATACATGTCCTAAGTCCAATGTAACAGGAATTTCTACACAGTGATCTTCTGTACGCTATGTGGTAATAAATAACATGCATCGATTTGGTTCATCTCGGCACACTAAACACAATAAATGAAAAGTGTGACTACTCAACTGCTACCAAGAGACAGCAAGAGAATCTTTTCCCGCCGGTCCCCTGGACCCGATGCCCCCATGAGTTCGTCCAATCTCGTAAGACACCTTTCTGTTGGCAGGTCCAATCCAACTTTGGTCCAACATCAAGGCTTCGCTAGCGTAGGTGCAATTTGCAAAAATCGTGATATATTCCTCCATTGTCATTATTTCATACCATTTTGGCTCATCACCATAAGTAAGAAGTGACGTGCTCAATTTGCTACTGACGTCGAAGACGCCAGTCCTGAAGGAGCCGATTCGGTGTTGGCTGCCGTGCCCAGTGGCATCCAGTTCCTCGGAATATCCATACTCCTGTTCACCCGTCCGCCGGGGGTAAGGGGATAATCTACACGTGACCGATCCAGCCGATCGTCTTCGTCGGCAGTCTCGTCCGCAAGGCGAGCAAAATAATCCGCCAATGCGCTGGTCGAATCTCCAGGGATAATGTTATCGTACAACGGGGGTGGAGTGACCAAAGGTGGCGGTGGTTCGTCTTCATCAAAAGCCGGTGGGTTGAATGAGGGACTCCTCAGTAAGTGTATAGGCCTTGATTGTCCAACATTGGGGTCGTTGTGCACATGTGCTTGCGTAGGCATTGTCAAGCCACCTGTGTCATTCGTCCAACTCCGGCTCACACCCGGTGCTGGAGCACCAAAATCCGTCGAGTTATTGACAGATTGGATCCGACTTTGAGATATAGGGGGAGTGTTTCGTCTTCTGATGGCTGCGCCTGGACATCCGCACTCAAACTCGTCCGTGGAGGATGGCATACCGCCCCCAGCGCTATAGGCGGGAAGGGAGATGTTTGCTTGTGTCGCCCGACAGGAAAGAATGTTAAAGGGAGAGTCAATTGATATTTCAAAATGACGCCGTTTGGTCGAGTCATTCTCATCTGGCCGAGAGAGTCGCATCACAATCTTTCAGAGGCATTGTTAGTCCTCGTTAAGTACGCAAAAGCAGCGGTCATGGACGTACCTTGATCCAATGATTGACCTGAATGTTGGAGTAAGTGGTATCAAAATGCAATCGCTCGCTCCGTAGTTTATCCTTCATCTGATGGCAGCTCGGCAGTTGCACATTGAACTCCATCTCGGTCGGACCAATACTTCCAGCATCATTATCAAGGTTACCGAGCAAATTTGTTTGGTCTCTCGGAATATCCTCATCACCAGCAGCAGCCTGTTGACGATAGTCATAGGGAACACCACCGCCCGCAAGAATTCGCATTGAACTTCCAGGGTAGGAAGTCACACTATGTCCATCAGCCCTTTTTTCAAAGAGCTGCACTTTTCTTGTCGGTTCCAGCCTGTGTACCTTTTTGTTGTTTGTAAAGTATTGTATATTCTCTGTCACGAACACCTTGATCCTATGGCATTGAACCTTGGCGAGCGGAGTCAATTTGAAGGCGATGGGCACTGTCGAGCCGAGCGGAAACGATTTCCCAGAGATCACAATATCGTAGTGCAACTGGTCTTCCCAGTTGCGAGATATTGCAATAGGTTCGACCTGCTCCAATGACCCCTCGGCAGGCGCTCGGATAAGTGTCAACTCCTTCGTGCCCACCAAGTTAGCCCGGAACGCTCCGGAACGCTCGACCAGGGCTTCCAACTCGTATTTGACGTGGCCGAGATCGACGCTTATCGATTCTGGTAACCGCGAGTCGAGGGGAAGCTCGAAATTGTAGACATAATCACCGGGATGGAACACTTTGAATCCTTTTTGGGCAACAGTCGGTCCCCCATTGATTGTGTCGCCTTTGCCGAAACTCCTCGAATGATTCGCCTGGAGGGACAGTCGCTTGAGATCACGGGAAGTCGGGTGACCTTTGGCGGGAGAGGCACTTCGCTGGAAGAGGTCAAATGACGATGCCGTCACGCCAACTTCTTTCGACTCCACCGAGGCACCTTTAGAGAGCTGGACGAGATCCGCACCGTAGCTATACTCGGCTTGCGGGAATTGGGCATTGAAGAAGGACCATGTATGGTTCATGATCGTGGTGGTGTCCCGGAATTCGACGCGCTTTGGGGGTATTCCTTCCGGCCATTCCGTTTCTGACTTGCCCCGGAAGTTCAGAGATATTGATTTCAGTTTTGCCTGCTTTTGCACTCTCAAGAGGAGACTCCCACGGAGCATTGTGGTGCTATGAGTAGATGGGTCGTTAGGGTCAAACCCTTGCAGAAACAAGACCGGCTCTGCCAGGGCAATGGAGACAGAGACGCCATTGCCACTAGCGATAGGTTTCTCATCTGCCAATAGGGTTATGTTTGCCGCAGGACGTGCCTCGGGCGACGGCGGTTGAGCGGGAGCAGTTCTAGCATTGCTGTTGTGTCTTGATCGATGGCTTATCCCACTGACCACGCTGGGACTCCTCCCCCGTCGTTCCGGTGAACGCCTGCCAACGTCGGCGAACACCATATCCTCCGTACCCACTGAACTTCTTCGTAAGGACGCTCGATCAGATACTACCGGGTGAAGGGGAACTGGTTGCGAAGAGACGGTGGGAAGGTTAAGTCTGAAGAATCTTTTTGCGTGTTCGCGTGAGAAAGCCAGCTTCGCGGGCGACCAGAGGGTAAGACGATGGTAGGGTATACAGTGGTGGCAAGCGGAAGGGTAGGTTGAACTTGTCTGAAGAGCAAGTCGAATTTACTGGCTGGGTGGAATGAAGAGAACTGGAATCGATCGTTGTCAGCGTCGCTTGTAGAGAGAGCAGTACAGAAGGAGGGGAGAGATTGTATTTGATGGCAGTGGACAATCCGTAGCAACCAGCAGGATTACCCGTGGGAGGGGGAGTGAGCGAGTCTATAGTGCCAACTTCAAGTTGGATTCCCCAGACCCGCAACTTTGTTTGAATTGGAACGAGCTGTGAACTCTCGCCTGCTTTTGCGCTTGGCCTTGGAAGCGTGGAGGAAACGCACCTAATGTGGCAGCAGCAACCATTCAGCTGAATGGACAACTGCGGTGTGTAGGACTAGTCGGAGTTCAGGGCGTGCCGTCTACCGGAATAACCCTCCTGGGTGTCATTGGCGCATTGCTTTTGTGTGTGATATCGAAGACAAGAGGAAAGAAAACTCGAGATGGAGGAGCTCGAGCTGATGGAAATGTTGCTCACTGACCAGAGTGAGACAGTCGGGGGTTTTCCAGAGCAATAATCCCCGTGAAGTATTGTGCTCTGTGCTTTCCAGGGTGCTGGGGAAGACCGGGACAAATGATGATGATGATTGAGGATGAGACGAATCGAATAAATGCCACGCCAACAGACAGCAGTGAGTGGCACGCCCGGCCCGGAGAAGCCAGGCAAAAAGCCTCAGGTGCTCAGAAGCAGCTTAGGCTCGGTGGGTAAGAAAATCCCAGGCTTGCAGGCTTGCCAGGTGCTCCCTTGACTGAGCTGCGGGTGGATCAGTTGGTTGAACTTGGGGGGTCACCAGGGCGGGGAGGGAAGGCCTCTTGCCTGTTTTGTTTTGTTTGGTTTCGTCAGTCAGTCGTCAGCCCGCCAGTCGATGATGGCGATGATATAAAATGTCCAAAGATCTTCTCTCCCCTGGCCAACTGCCACCAAGCCGGTTTCTTGTGGGAAATCGTCTGGATGGATGGACAGACTTCTTCTCCTTCTTCAGAACTTGTTCTGCCCGTCTTTCTCCCGCACTCGGCCAACCAAGCAACTGGGTTCCTTTCGTTTCGGCTCGGCGGATATTGATCCAGCGTAAACAGCTGATCAGCAATCTGGCTCCCGCAACAAAGTGGAGAGAGGGAGAGAGAAGAGGAGCGCAAAGAGGCGTGGCCCTGTGGCTCCAGGGACTTAATAACTTTGCTGCATCTTACTCATGTCGTGTGCCTGACTGACCTCTGGTGTGTTAGTGTCCATCAGGCCCAGCCTTACGGGTGCACAATTGTCTGACCACACTCTCTGCCTTGATACTCTTCGCTATCATCGAGCCATACGATCTACAGCGGGTCACCAGGACCAAAGACAAAGCCTCACCCGCTCCCGCTGGTCGCCACGAGCACTGGAGAATTGAAATCATTTTTCCTGGGCCCCTCCTCAAACCTAGGTACCGCTCCTCTCGGATGTCGTGGGACAGCTAGCTATCGCCCCTCAGCGAGTGACAACTAAAAAAAGGCAGAAGGAGGGAAAACAAAAGCCGAGACTCCCGCACTCCATGCTGGCCACGTCGGCCTTCTTGACTTTCGTCAGTATTCCACCTCTGCTCTGCCATTAAGTGCAATGCCTGGGCGTATACTTCCGCCGTTAGAGATGGTTACTGCACACCGGGAATCGCATCCTAAGATTCGAGTTGTGACGCCGTTCCAGTAATTCTGATTTTTGTGAGCCTCAGATGTCATCAATGCCTAGGCTTGTGGTCTCCCTGCGCCGAGTCATCCCGTCGGGCAGAAAGTTCGAGGCATCAGCACTCGCAGCCCAACCATGTCCTCTCCATTTTATCATTCCGGGTCTAAGCTCGCAACAAGCCGTTCTCCTCAACACACTAAACTCCACAAATGCGACATAACGAAGTACTTTGTACTCGATACTTGTGGGCTTTTGTCACGCTTTCCGTCATTGGCGGGGGTTGGTCTATCTGTGCCTGTTGGCCGCTTGTACTTGCTTCTTTCTACTCCCAGAGGGTTGCTCGTACAAGTGGGTCACCACTTCAATTTACTGCATGCAGTCAAGTCAGGTTCGACGATAAGCAGCCACGACGTATTTTTTATTATTTCCCATGATTCCTTATTGCGGGAAAACGAGCCCTAGATATCTGCGTTGTCTGTCGAAGCGACTGTGCGTAGCATTGTGTCTAAATATGGATGGGCAGATCAATTTCCCGCTAAAGCATGTGCACCTTCGAGAGGCTAAGATGACGGCAGCAGTATGTGAAGACAAGGTACTCTAGCGCACCTTGAGACACTTAAGTCTGCATTGTTTGTAATGTGGTTGCTCCTATGATCTATATAGATGGCATATACTTCTCCCTGTGGGCACTGCCCTTCTTGGTATGTTGACCCTGCATGAGCATTTACTCGCAGATTGGCCTAGCCCTCGACTGTTTACGGGTACTCAAGCACATGCTCTGGAATTACGCGTCTGGCTGAGGCTGAGCCGATTTGGGTTCGTGCCTAGTGCTCCCAAGGATTGCCCTATAGCGGGGATCACCTTTCTCTGCTGACTTTTGCTTGACTGTTGGACTAACTCGCTGCATCAATTCCACTTTACCATCCTTTTCGTGTCCGCGTTTTCTGACCGGAATACATCCCAAGATGTCCGGGCTAGATGGAATGGAAAGCGCTCCCCGCGCGGGTTACCACTTCGATGATGGGATGTCAGCGGCTTCTTCGGCTCGCTTACCCAGTATCAGATATGACAGTCGGTGATTACTGTACCTCGGTCTGGGACAAGTACTTAATACAATATGCAGAAGTCGGCCTGGTCATCATACCATGTGGTGCCAAGAGCGTGACATATCATGCGATATCTTCCGCTTCGCCACAGTTCGATGCGGAACAGGGCATCGAGGAGTTGTTAGACGGTCTCCGTCTGTTCCCTCACGTGACTATCATTGTCAGATCCCCGGATCGAATGTGATTATATCATATTGTGCCCTGCAGCACACGAGGACGCTAAAGAGGAAACCAGGGATCGTGAGCGAGATAGGTCGGTGTAAGGAGAGATAGTCCGTTCGGCTCTCGGACCTGTTTTGTATGCTGAGAGCGATGCACGGTACGAGATAGACGTTTGGCTCCCGGGATTGACGAGATCTCCAAGATCCCGCCGGCCTCAATGTCGATGGAAGTCTGAGAATCACGATCGACACACGAGATCAGCAAATCGGCTACCAGATGCACCACGACGTCATACAAGGTAAGGGAACGAGCCAGTGCATCAGGGGCACAAATAAATGTACCCCATATTGCCAAGCTCCAGAGAAGGCTAGTGTGAGCCCCCGCTTCGGCTAACTTGCCGCTCCAGCACAGCACGCGCCCTCTTCGACGCGTCCGCAACGCAGAAGCGCCATGATAATTTATCTCAGAGACAACTCCCAGGCGAAGGGGTTGTAGGAGTTCGTGATCTATTTTGACCATGCATGATGGCAAGGACCGAAGCTCGGGGTACGTATTTCCAATAGAGATTTTCTGCTGGCGTGCTAACTTGCGTTTCTCAGGATCCGCCGAGCAACCGCTCCAAGGTGTCATGTTATGTTTTACTTCGGTTGGACCAGAGGACAGGGTCAGCAAACCAACATGAGTGAGCCAGGGCTCTATACTAACGAAGTCTACAGAGCCGATATGCCGACATGGCAATGCAGATGGGAGCTGAACACAAGCTCGACTTGACTTCCGATACGACCCATCTCATTGTGGGGAGCACAGACACCCTGAAATATCAGTATGTTGCTCGAGAAAGAGAAGATATCAAAGTGCTCCGCCCGGAATGGATCGGGGCTGTTCGAGATCACTGGATAAACGACTTGCCTCTGGACCTCGACAGTCTCACACAACAATATCGGATGCCCACTCTTGCCGGTTTAAAAATCTGTATCACAGGCTTCGATGACCTTGCATTTCGTGCCCAACTGCAGAAGAATGTCAAAGAAAATGGCGGGGAATACACAGGAGATCTGACTAAGGATGTAACCCATCTGATCGCTGCGAAGCCCGAAGGCAAAAAGTATGAATATGGTATACAATGGCAGAAAAAAGTCGTCAGCCTCAAATGGTACAAGGATACATTGGAAAGGGGCATGCAATTGGACGAGCGACTCTATCATCCTACTATTCCGGTTGCTGAACAAGGTCTTGGGGCATGGAATCGAAAAGCGAGGCGTTCTCCTCAACTTGGCAAACGCACGAGGGAAGACAATGTCGGACCAGAACCTTCTCGGAAGCTCCGGAGGACAGCCAGCGCCAAATTTGGAAGTCAGACGCAAGATATGTGGTCGGATATTGTGGGCGGTGCTGGGTTTGAGGCCAAAAAACTTGAGCGTCCAGAGCTGAAGCCTTCGGTTTCTATGCCTGCCCTTCGAGAAGTTGCCAGGACGTCAGCTGCTACCAGCAACCCTGAAGCCGAATCCATCAGTAGAGTCTCTGATCACGGCGCCAATCGGTTCCTGATAGGTCGCCTGTTCAGGGTACAATTGTTCGAAGAGAAGAAGGTAAGCCACCGAATTGCCTCATTCTACCATTCCCGCATAAACGCTTACAAAATGCTAGAGAAAACACCTTGAAAAAGTGTTAGTTGAGTACGGAGCGACAATCATCAGCGAAGGAGAAGAGACCGATGAGACCAAACGTGACAGTATAATTGCCATACAGCCTCATGATGTAGGCAAGAAAGATTCAACACCACCCAAAATCATTGCAGGTGGTTCCCAAGTGGTGTCCGAATTCTGGCTTGAAAAATGCATGCTCGCAAAGTCTTTCGTCGACCCATGCAAATACCCACTCGGACAGATACTCCGGGGATCCCTTTCGTGTTTGAGAGATCTGACCATCAACGCAACTGGCTTCGATGGTCTAGAAGCTGTGCATGTATCCAAGATCATCACGTTGCTTGGGGGTAGTTACTCGCAGATGTTCACTGCGGCCGTCTCTATGCTGATCTGCAAGGCCGGCAGTGCCAAAAAGGACAAACTTGATTTTGCACAGCACGTGGGCATTCCCGCTGTGACTGAGGAGTGGCTGTGGTCAACAATCAAGAACCAAGCCAAAGCTAATGTCGAAAGCTATCTGTTCAGACAGACTCGACCGCATACAGCGAACAGTGAGAGGCCAGCGAAGAGAAGCGCTCTGGAAGACTATGTTGAAGTCAGCACGATTCCTCTTCCACGAAATGCGGGTGACTATAGAGCAAACCCGGAATCCAGGCCCAATGGGACTCGAACGCATGACGGATCCGCGCCCGACAAATCAAAGAAATCAGATTCTTGTCTCAATGTTCAGCGGGGGGCGGAGGAGATGCAGGGCCAAGTTGAAGAAGGTCCATCTGCTTCTGGTGGTGCTGGTGGTGCTCCGGGACGAAATGAGACAAAAGAAAAATCAGACGACAATGGGAACTATACGCCCCGGATACTATCCCCAAACGGCGGAAATGCACGTTTGGCGAATAACCAACAATCAATCCAGCCGTTGGACGCTCTCTCGAGGAGAGAAGACTCGACATCAAAGGAGAACGCTCCAGCGCCCGTCAAAAGTGGTGGGCGGGCTGAAGTTCAAAGCAAACCCACAGATATCGAAGCAATCAATGGCGCTATCAGAGACATCCTGAACGAGCACTCCCGAAAGAAATCTGTCGGCAGCAATCAAAACGATCCCCTGAAGAAGAATCGATTATTCGGGCGAGCGTTGAGCAACCTGTCCAATTCATCAACAGCCTCGAATGTGAGGTGGTCAAGAGCCAGTTCTATTGACAGTATCAACACGGACGGGATTGGCAGCGAGATTGTTACTATCCAGTCAGCCGAGACCCAGAACGGTGAAAGCACATCTACAGCTGAGAAAGGCACCTTTAACTTCATTGGACGGGCAAAGCGGACTCTAGCTGCACTCAAATCAGCTCCATTGGAGATGGACGATTCCGACATGCCCAGAAATGCCGGTTTCCCAACAGAGCAGGATGCAGCACCACCCATGACCCAGCTGGGTTATGAAGACTCCGAAGAAGCGATCCTGTTGCGGGAGAAACTGGCTGCATCGAGGAAAAAGAGATCCGGAGTGGATGGAGCAAACGAAGAAGACATACAAGTTCCACAAGCGAGGCGATTGAAGACTGTGGAACGTAAGATTCGAGATGATGATATGCTTGCGAGTGTCAACGCGGGATGGGGTGCAGGAAGACGGACCAGGCACAAGCAACGAAGTCCACCAGGTCAAGGGATTAAAGAATTTTGAATACTCGATATTATTTGTCGGTTGCCTCTGCGACGACTTGATGCAGAAATGTGAACAATCTGTGATGAGCAATAAAAGAATCTCGACACGATTTCCAGCTCTTCCGAGAAATGCTTCCGCGTGGGATTCTTGCCATCATTCGAACCGGGTTACTGTAGAGGTGGAACCAGACAACAAAGGCAACTAATAAGATGATCGACATGACAGCGAAGTTTCAAGGATCCAATGGCCGCAAGTGTCAGAATTTTAGTATGTCTTCTCATGCCAGGACGGATCCGGGCCTCGTCCTAGGCCGACTTGATGCTCCACTGATCGACCGTGCGTCGATGAATCTCGAGGGGGGGCCAAGAAGGGGAGGGAACAGGCAGGACTCGTAAGGGAAAATATCGGGTGGTGTGGATCTTGACTTTGTCAGAGGGGGATCACGATCGATGCTGTAGAGCTGATAAGGTGCGGATGGACGATGGACTGACTTGGCCTGAGATGAGGATAGCTGAAACTCCGCGTTGAGAGCAAACACTAGGGGATCCAGGGCACTCGAAGCCCGAGATCGACAGGATAGAGGGGTGCCTGACTGGTCCTGGGGATGCATTTTAGGACCATCGTCAGCAGTAAGTGAGTGGCATTATTGAGTGTACGTGGTGTGCGAGGTACTGGAGTGGAACAATGAATCTGGCAGATCCAGCCGGGGGGGAATTTTGATACCGACCCCCTCGTCTGGGAAACCCTCGTCAAAGATTCCCGGGACAAGGTTCTAACCATCTGGCTACTAGTGCCTGCTGCTCGGTAGGGCTTCCTTGGTACCCTAGCCGCCTAACAGTTAGGTACCTAGCGTGCACAGGGAGGGACCTACGGAGCAGAAGTACTCCGTAGGTAGTACCCGTACTTGGCAGGAACTCTTAGGGATGTAGCCGCTGGGTACCTAGTAAGAGGAAGCCCATGATCTCATCCCTTCTCTCCGCCCGGGTCCCGCTATCACCGCAGCCGCTGTCAGAGTTGAAAGGTGACAAACTGCGGCGCAGTCACAAGGAGCTGCGTGTGACAAAAGAGCCCAAGTTTCAGGTTAATCCAGAACAAACCGCCGTCACCATCTTCGTTAGCCTTACCATTACGGGGACAGTTATTCAACTCTGGCCATCTATTTCATTCGTTTTTTTATTGTCAATCTTGCGTGCGGTTAACTCGTCCGCACGAAGGTTTTTGGTGGAACTGCTCATTTCATTCGTCTTCTTGCACTCAAACTCTACAACAGCAGCACATCAGCCGTCTCTCCACGCCCTACCCGTCCGCAGTACATGCCCTAGAGCTTTCAGCCTGGTCTAGACCCACTGTCTCGCTGGGGTTTGTCGCTAGGGTTTGCTAGCCTGGTGTTTCAGACTCTGCTTCGTCCATTCTGGTCTCGCGACAAGTTTGCCATCATTCCGCTCAATCTCCACCCCTTCACTCCTCTTCAAAACTGCCAACGCTGTCATCAAGTCGCACTACCGAATTTGTGCTTTTGTGAGCTGATCAATCCCAGCTTACCGCCGTCTCACCAGCACCAGCAAGGTAGAACAAACTTTGAGACGGACCTTTCTGGGGACCCCCCTACCTACCTATGTCACAGAATCAGAGACCAACAGGATCCGCCAACTGCTATCCTTCTGACTCGATCTAACATTGGAGCGGCCTCCACTCGCCCACCCCTGCCCGCCCTACAAAGAACAGAACTATTGAGCAAAGGAGGGGAAAAGCTGTCTTATAAACAACATGGCCGACCTCGCCCGTGAAGAGGCTGACCGTTACTTCTCCCACCGTGACCACCTGACTTCTCATCCCGAAGATCGCGACGACAAGGACGACTCTGACCTCGATCTTGACCCCGAGCCTGCATTTGACAATCTCTCTGACCCTGGTACTGACGACGAGAGCGCCGGCAACATGGCGACCATGATCACCACAAAGACCACCTACCATCTGCCCTCCCAAGTTCACTATGCCAACACTGGCCCAAAGGGAGTCATTGCAGACGCCCAATCCTTTGCCCGCGCGAAACAATCGACATTTCGACAACGGCTGACCAGCTTTGCCAATAACCTGACCTCAAATGGCAAGGCAGCAGCGATCCCGACCGTCACAGAAAAGAGTGACAGGCGCAGAACCCTCATTTCTGGTTCACCCAAATCGACCACATCTTCCAACTCGGACACCAACTTGACCCTTTCCGACGACGAAGCCGACTCGGAATTCATGAAAACCTGGCGAGCCAACCGCCTGCAGGAGCTCTCTTCTCAATCACAGTCTGCCTACAGTGCTCAACGAAAACACTTTCCTAGCCAGCGGACCTGGGGCATGTTCATGGAAGTGGATGCGAATGGCTACCTGGACGCAATTGAAAAGGTCTCCGACGAGACGGTCGTCGTCGTCATGATATATGATCCTTCGTCTAGTGCAAGTGCCGAGGTGGAAGACGAGCTGAGTATGCTTGCCTACAAGCACAATACCACTCGCTTTGTCAAGTTACACCATGAGGTTGCGGAGATGGAGACGGTCGACATCCCCGCGATTCTGGCTTACAAGGCTGGTGACGTTTTTGCTACGATATCCGGCGTAAAGGCGGACGGTCTGGAGGGTCTGCTGCTTCAGTGAGTAATATGCTTCATCCTGATGATGAAAAGGCTCAAGCTGATCCCCATTGTCTACAGAAACCGTGTCCTCCGATGAGATCTCGACCACCAGCTTGTGAAAAGCTTCTTGTCCTTGTTGCCCATCCATGTAATAATATCATCGCCATGCCGATTTTAAACTCAGATCCTGCCCACCTTGTTGCGCGGCAACGAAACAAATGCATGATGCACATCTTTGTCACATATTCTCCGACACATTCTCTCACGAGCCATTAGAACTCGGTCCTCTACGATACCAACGACACGTATCTGCTGTCTTTGTCCGACTGACTGGGCATTTTGTCTCCTTTGTACATACGATAGCTGGTGAAATACACAGCATCAGCCACGATCAGATCGCCTTCACCACGGCCACATCGCCCACTCTCAGGTACATTCCCCAAAAAAGAACAAAGATGAAAAGGAGCCTGGAAGTTCAAGCACACAAGCTCTGACTTCAGCCTCACCAGTTTACGATCTATCACTACTAGATACCGAGCCACCATCGGTGTCCAACGACTCTGGGGAGAGGATTTTGATGTGTGGGTGGATGGACCACAAACCTGCAACATATAGACTCTTTGGATACCTACCTGCCTGTTGTACATGCGCAGGCACAGGAAGAACTCGCGTTCTGCAATGGGCAATGACATCTGCATTGGCATGCCCAAGAACCAATTAACTACATGTAAATAAAAATTCCAAGATATTCAAATGAATGAATGAATGAAGCAGTTCATGATTCAAGATTTTTTTCTATTCATGTTCATTATTCGAGCCTGTGCGTCCCCAAGAGTCTTCCTTTTTTTTTTTGGACCTCACAACTTCAGCTTCAGGGATCATCGATCCACTTTGGTTGCTTGCGCACATTATCATGGCTTCGTCGTAAGATCCATACCAAGGTATGGAAGTTGGTGATGGGTGGTGGTGGTGAATAATGACAAGCGCACAAAAAGGAGACATGAGACGGGTTGTAGAATCAAATCCTTGCCTTCCCTAGAGTACATCGTCCGATCTCAACTCCCAGTGCGTTGCTAGTTGCAAGTTGCAGTCATGTCATGTCATTCGTGCCTGTCCCACTGAGATAATTTTCCCCTTGAAGGAAACATAAGACGAAAAGACACTCGAGATCTAAACCACCATTTTCCCCCTTGAAAAATCCCCCAGTCGCTCTCCCCTCAGGAAATGCTGCAGGCTCGTTCGCAGATGCTCAGATGTGCGCGCAAAGCGACTCAATCATCAGAAGCGACATAAGATTTTGCAGAAAGCAGAACCCAGGTCATATCATGCGCGAGCCGTTCATAGATGTGATGGTACAGAGATCCAACCCTTTTGTTTCCCTGCTTTCTTGCCACGAAATGACACCATCCTATCGAAGCCCGGGATCCAGAAAAGAGTCGGAGAAGGACATGTGGTGGTCAAGAACGCTGGACCATTCCAACTCCACCTTTAAAATGTGGAAGGCATGGTGCTCAACAATCTGCCTATGCAGATGCCGAGATCGCGTTCTTTTCCGTTGTGAAGTCCCAGAGCATCTTGATAAGATTCTCAGGGAGGGTGTAGAGATCAACGTGAAATTCGCCCTCTGTAGACGAGTCAAGCATTAGTAACCGTTTGTCTAGCAGGAATGCACAGAAAAGGGGGGACTCGGTATGCACGTACGCTCGGCATCGTTGCGCATCCACGACTCTTCACTCTTGTTGTCATGCACCATCTGCACGACCTGAAGAAGGTCATCTTCACCAAGCTTCTGAAGGCCTTCGGCCAATTTGTCCATGTCAATGACTTTGCTGTCACCCTTCTTTTTCTTCTGAGTTCCCCCGATCTCGCTTGTGCGTTTCTTGCTGGCAGTTTCGGTGCCGTTTGAGGTGGACTCTCCTGGAATAGGACCAGAGTTGCGAAGTGTTTCAAGAAGTGCCCCTTTGGGGTTCTTGAAGGTGATGATCTGTTTAGTCTCATAACGCGCGTTGGCGAAATTGAGGTCGTGGAGGATACTGTGAACCTTGCCACTGAGATCTTTCATTTCGATTCGTAGTTCGAATTCACCCCATCCATCTTCGGCAACACGGAATGGTGGCTTCTTGAAGGCTGTAGGGACGGACAGTGGTTAGCAAGTTGACACACAATGGCAAAGAGGTGTTATGTCAGTGATACATACTTTGTGTCGCTTTGTCGCCAAATGAGTCGTGGAGAAAGTATGTTACCGACTCAAAAATGTCCGCATCAATCTCCTGCTTTGTGTCGGCGTGGAGGAGGAAAATCTTCATAGACCAATGTCTGAGAGGGAATCCGGTCACGCCACTGTCGGCACCTGGACTGTAGACATCATGTCAGAACAGAATTTTGAAAAGTCGCAAGCAGTTGCAAGTGCTGAGCGTTGGGTTGGAGCATGTTCGAAACTCCAGGCACATGAAGATGAGAGGAGGTATACGCGGGGTGAGGCGCGAGTTCAGGAGTCAACTTACATGATCTTTTGCTCCGTCACAATTTTGACACTGCGTTTGACCTGTAAAGACCGTCAGTCGCGCTGTCTGTTGAGGCGAATGCGACAATGCGACACTGCGACTTACGTCCGGCATGATGGAGAGCTGTGTTTAGTTGAAGTTAAAGTGACGGCGAGTTGGTGGGGTTTGTAGATCGTCTGTGTCGTGGCTGGTGAGGACCAGGTGAGAGGAGGGGAACTTGAAGATGTGGTGAGCGACAGTGTCAGGGTGATCGATTCGAGAGAAGTCGGACTGTAAGTAGAGGCCACGCTCAGTCTGACGCAGGACGTTAACCAGAGAAAAGGTAAACAGGGGTTGCCAACTTGGTTGTCGCACTTCGTGGGAAGATGCTTTGCCGTTCACGAAGAAGGTAGAGTGGATCTCCAGGGATGAGGTGGGCTGTCTTCATATATACATCATAAAGGGCAACTTAGCCGAGGATTAGCGCTGGGGCGATCAGTTACGAATTTCGGGTTAAGATAGAGTGACAAAAGGCGTTGCGGGATGGTCTTCTTCACAACTCCATTCATTCTTGCCAAGGCTTACCGTTGGGCAGACTGCGTCTCTATCTAAGGTCAGGTGATATGAGAGTTTCAGAGCCTATGGTAAACCATGAATCACGTCTCTTTCATATGCGTGGCTCTGCAATTGCTCTGTTGGTCGGCAGCTGTAGATTCCTTGCTGGATCAATCATCACACAAACCCCACTCGCTATCGGATGTATCATGACTGCTGGAACAGAGACTCGTTGTCCTGCTGGGCCTTGATGAATGCTTCCTTGAAGAGATTGGCGTCTGTGGCGGGTTAGCACATGGGCAATGGGAGATGTAGAGGCAATGTCATACTCTCGCTGTTTCCGAACCGGATAGCAAGGGTCTGCGCTTCTGGCTCGCCTTCGCTGACATCTGCTGCAACATTCCAAACCCAGCTTCGATCGCTACCCACATTTGGTGAAAGCTTCATATCAGGGGTGACTAGATGTAGAGATTAGCCAAGAGCCATTCGACGGCGAGCACTGCAGACAGACGAAGACTTACCATAGTGATTTGCGCAAACCTTGAGAGTCTTGTCTCGGCGCATCACCAATCGCGTCTTTCCGTTCTCCTTGTGCTTGAGCAGCCGAACATCGCCAGTGCCTCTCTCCTTCCACTCCTTCGGCTCGCGGTCGAACTTGAAAAGTTTGGCACGCATCTTGAAGACCTGTTCCTCCATTTCCTCATTGGTCTTTGTCTCGACTTTCTCGGTCAGTCGGACCACGGGTTCGAATTCCACGTCTGCCTCCTCCTCTTCGGCTTTGTCCTGTCATATCAACAACGTCAGCCCAGGTCTTCCCCCTTGAATGGGTAGAGTATATCTCACATCGTCTTCATCCTCCTTCTTCTGCGCTTTGGAACTACCGCTGGGTTCATCCTTTGCATTATCATCCTCTTCGACCTTGCGCTCTTTCTTGGCTCCACCACCAAACATGGAAAAGACAGAGTCCTTGACGCCAGTCGCCGCTGCGGTGGCAGTGCTCGCGGCAGTACTGGCGGCTTTGGCAGCAGTCTCGGTGTAGATGGTAGACTTGGTGTCTTGAGCAGGGGCTTCGGACGCAGGATCACCCAGGGGATTCGTCACGAGATTAGTCTCTTGTTCAGCAGGTCTCAAGTCGGACGACGCAGTCTGATCCGCCGAGGGAGTTGGTTTGGCATCACCCGAGTCGGCCATGATTGCGAGGTATGCGAACGACGAAACGAGATTCTAAATCAGAGAGCACTCGACAATAGCGGACGCGAATTGAAGGATAGATGTCTGCAGATTGAGGCGATTGCAGGTGTTTGTTGGCACCCCACACTAAAATATCAAACACCTACTGAGAACCCATGATTTAATTAACATCCAGACACTTGGGGCCCTGCAGAGCCCGACGCCAAGACAACCAGACAACCCCCCAGCACCAGCCAGTGACCCCTTAATGACATCATCCCCTGATCTGGCCTCTGGTGGCCCGCCGTCAACCAGTTGGTGTGATGGTGAATTGTGTTTGCCTGCTCATCTACCATCGTATCAACCGCATCGCTGCTAGTGAACGCTGTTCATGCGCTGTTCTCTATTGATTCTCCTACGGTCTTTGGAGGAAGACGATGCTCAGATCCAGCAGAAATGTCACTCCTCCAGCTGCCAGACGATGTGATTCCCTCCATCTTAACCCACCTTGATCCACAGGACTACCTCGCATTCTGCCGAGCATCAAAGGCCGTATACTTGAAATATCGACAAGATTCCGTGTACTGGAGACATGAAGCCTCGAACACATTCCGTCTCCCGATCAGCCCCCTTCTCGCGGCCGATGGCCCTCGCTGGTACTGGCTGTACAAACGACTCAAGACCCAAACTCGTCTTTACACTTGGGGCCAAGGATTGAAAGGGAGCTTGGGACCTGGAAGAGCTCTCCCAGTGCCTCGTCGACCACTGCCTCAAGGTCCACATCATATTCCCCAGAGGGTCCTTCCACGCGTCCCACATCGTCCTCTCCCAACCATGATCCATTCACGACCGTTCCAGCGAGCCTCCTCCACCTGGCCCACAGAAGTTCACATCCCCGACGACGTAGGAGTGATAGCTGATCTTCAGTGTGGAGGCTGGTCCACTACCATTTTGTCCTCAGACGGCAAGCTATACACCACCGGCTCAATCGATTCTATGGACGGCAGAGTGGTAGGCGAATCTTCCGACCACTTCCGCCAGCTCGAATATCTAACTCAGAGCACCTCCGCCGTCCGACAATTTTCTTCAGGTCGTCGTCATATCCTGGCACTCACTGATGAAGGGAAAATACTCTCCTGGGACAGAATTAATGCCAAAGGCCTCATGGTCTTCTCGCGGATTGGGACAGATTTCGGCGGACGACCTACTAGAGTCGCTGCAGGTTGGGCAGAGAGCTCTGCCTATGTGCCGAATATAGGTATCGTCTATTGGACCCCCATTCAAAATGACCAAGTGGACGAAATGCTGGATGGGAAGGAGGTCAAAGAGAGGATCATTCCAGGAACTGCGAAGCGAACAGCCGAGACGGGAGACGTGGAGGTCCTCAAACACATCGTTCTTGAGAATTACATCGTTTGGATCACGAACGAGTCCAAGGTCTACGCATGTGCTGTCCATGTCGACAACCCTGATCAGCCTGGACCAAGTCATCCTCCATTCGAGCTCCCGGGCTTCGACGCACCAGATCGTGAATTGAAAGATATCCAGGGCCAGTTTCACAGGTTTGGTGTGTTCACAGCAGCAGGCGAAGTACTTGCTGGTGACGTAGACTACATCAGACGTTGTGCTGAAACCGTTCGATCCCACCCCGACGTGCTATCATCAGAGGATTGGTCTACCATGACCACACTGCTTGCCTCCAGACCGCAGGACATACCTGCCATGCAGCATACAGGCGTTATAGCACTTGCGTATGGCGACTACCATTACCACGCCCTGCACGCTAACGGCAAAATCACTTCGTACGGTACGGACTCCCAAAGCTGTGGTTCACTAGGTCTTTCTGGTCCGGAACATGGCGGTCGGTTTCGTGGCTTGCGCAGAGAAAGACCTGGCCTACGAAGTGATGCTGTGTTACTTCCCATTGCCAATATCCGTGGTCGTCAAATCTGGTTTGAGCCTGAACGGAAGGATTGGCTGCAATGGATGGAAGACCAGCTAAGTCAACCACATTTCGCATTGAACGGCCAGCTAGCCCGCCATATCTGGGACGTTGATGCGGTAAAGCAAGCTGCATTCAGTGAATGGGTCGAGCAGGAAGGCAAGCATTGGGAAGAAGGACCCGCGAGCAATGTACCCACAGAGTCAGATGCTCAGCCAGGCAAGAGCCAGACCACAGAGGACTATGCCAACCTCGAGTCATACTTCCCAATAGCCATCGCAGCTGCGGGCTGGCACAGCGGCGCTTTGGTTCTGGTCGACGAGGATAAAGCCCACGAGGTGCGCAGCAAATGGGTCGTGTCCAGGCAGGAAAGCGACGAAGATAAGACACGCTCAATGCCAGGTGCGTTTGAGAGTCTGGATCCCGACGAGGTCTATGTATGGAAGAGAGACGGATTTCCCAAGGTGCAGTTACCGAATGGGGTCGAAATGCCTGGTGAAGGCGAGCTGAGGCCATGGAGAGACGGGAGACCGACCATGAAGGAACTGGGCCTTGAATGATGGAATCACGTTCAAATCAAAGCTGCCGCCTTTTCCGACGACCTTTAAGAGCCAAAGAATGGATCACGCGCAATTGAACAGCGTTGCCTTCAGTCATCTGCTGTAGATGGACAACAACACAGATGTTGCTTTAGCCGCACCCCCCCAGTGACCGGTTTGATCTCTCCTTGGACGTCGAACCCTTCAAGCGGGACCATCGTCCTTGCTGTCTGAATATTTTACGGCATCGGGTCTCTGTACCCACCCATCCTGATCTTTCACTTCCTCAACCACCTCCACGGTCTTCAGTGCTTACCTAGTCCCACCACCGCTTCAGCGTTGTGTCGTGTCTTACCATCCTTTGTCAGTCTTACTCGGTCGTTTGAAGGTCAAATATGGAATTCATCCAAGTTCTCGAGCTCTCTCTCCCTCTTTGTCCCTTTGCCCCTTGGCCTCTGCTGCGCAATTCTTCTCGTCGCCCAGCTGAGACGGAGACGGAGATGGAGACGGAGACGACTCAGATGGTCTGGCCGGGCATCGCGAGCCGACCAACGCTGAATCCGGCCAGTGCTACATACATACGTGCGTGAGTACATACATATATACATACATATCACGGGTCGGGTCGTCAACATGGAAAAATACTATTACACGAACAAGATAAGAATGGTATTGTTATTCGTGATTTCTATCCCAGGCCTGAGGTTTAGTATGTACTGTAGGTAGATGGTATACATGGCGGTGCTTGAACACAGAGTATATACCCAATCTCAGCCGCCCAAAGTCTAGGTACCTAGGAAGTCAGGACGGGTGTCTATGCCCATAGCCGTGCCCGTCGACGCCATAGCTGTTTCCTGCTGTGCCAGAGAATACCTCACCACCACCACCACCACCACCACCACCACCAGCAGTAGAAGTGGCGGCGGCACCGTCATCATTCTCGTCGTATTCCCCGTTCTGGGCCTCGATGCCACGGCTAGAGCCGCCGTGCGAGACCTCCTCCTCCTCCTCCTTCTTCTCCTGCTGGTCAATGAACAAGAAGCTGCCGACCACAACCCCCGCGCCGACCCAGTATACCCAGCCCTCATAATGGCCCTGGAGGACCATTTCGCCGACCAGAGAAAGAGGGATTGTGAGGCTCAGCCCCACCGTCACCAGAAGTGGAGAGGTCAATACCATGGCATACGCCCAGCAGAGGTCCGAAAAGAAACTCGCGCAGCTGTTGATGAGCAGGATCGTCCAGATTCTCCTGGAGGGAGGGAAGGCGAAGGGCTCGAGGCCCGTGAAATGCAAAATGGGGAAAAGCGGGAAGAGGAGGATCAAGTTGCAGGTGCCGACCAGGCCGAAGAAAAGGGGCATGTTGAGAGATCGCGGCAGCGCTTTCAGCGTCGTCTTCTTCAGGGTGATGGTGTAGATGCCGTAGATGATGGCGGACAACAACGCAAAGGCATCCCCCAAGGCGAGTTCCGACGGAGATTTGTCCGGGAACGTGTCCTCGCGTCTGAGGATCGATCTCTCCCCCGCTGGCGGTGAATCAGGGGAAGCACCGTCCGCCTTGCCTGAAAAGTCCACGCTCGAGATCAGCATGATCCCCGCAAAGGATGCCAGAACGCCACAGAGTTTCCGCCAGGTGAACTTCTCCGTCCCTGTCAAGGCGCCGATGAAAAGCGTCCAGAAACTCGATGTCGAGGTCAGAATAGTGGTAGATGCCACGGTGGTGTACTTCAAACAAGCCATAGCAAAGTAGTTGGCGCTGAACCAGAGTATGCAAAAGGCAAAGGCTAGCCTAGCCGTCGGGATGATTCCCAGATGCTTATCCCCTTCTTCCACATCGTCATGCCCAGGACGGCCGTTATCCGCGTTGGAACCGTTCCTGCTGGGTTTCTGAAAGAACGTCTCGGACTCAAAGTCCTGCCCGTCTTCACCATCTTGTGTATCGTCAATGATCGACAGTCGTCGATAGCCTGTTCTCTTGACTGTCCGCAACACGCTCGTGCGGATCGTATCGTACAAATCACCATGGTCCCGGTGCCGTCTATATGCGATCTGGAGGAGTGTAGGAATCATGCCCAGCATGAAGGTCGAAGTATTCAGATAAGTCAGAAAGAAGGGTTTGGCATAAGTGTTGTCAGCAAATATACTCTGTGGATGTCGCATGCGATTAGCACTATTCTCCTAAAACCCCAAGGACTGCACAACACCCATGCATGCCATACATACACTACCGAGAAAATTGGACATGGTCCATAGGAAGACGACAACAAGCAGAAGAATCAGGCCCAAGGTGTGAGAGGCCAGTCCGGTGAGCCGTCCACGGGCACCGCGTGCTCGAGGTTGGAGGAGTCTCTGCCTCGAGGAATTCCCCGAAATGCCATTGTCCTCCATCTCAATGGGCTCTTCTTCTGAGGACTGAGATGGAGGGAGACGGACAGGCATACTGTAGGCCCCTTCCCGCCCAACATTGCTTATGAGAAGGAAATTTCACTTAGGTAAGAGCACCGGCACGCGGCTCTGGCGCCCCGGCTCGTGGGGGGGTTTTCTGAACGAGAGTGCCGTGCGAGTAGTAATGATGGGATGGATATTTTTTCTGGGTTTTCTTTGCCCAAACATCTAAACGATAAGTGGCTGAGAGCTCAAAGTCAAAGGATAGATAGGGGTGGGTTAAGGCAAAGACTGGTCCAAGTATGTCATTGCGCAGGAAGCGGCACCAGCGCCACGAGCGCCACGAGGGGCGGAAGGGCATGCCTGTTAAGGTATAAGCGGGCATTTCCGGCCGTTTCAGCGCAGGCAGGGCTTGAAGCGCAGGCGACGCACATCGTCAGCACCTCCACTCCCAACTTTGTTCTATCCATGCATCTGAATCCAAAGTACTTTACCTTGGTTAAAAGCAACTTAATCGTTCCCAATAACGCAGTGCGCGCGCGCAAGGGAGAGAGACAGTATCTCGACGAGCTCGGCTGCTGCCCTTGCAACTGGGATCTTACAGTCTATTTCTTCCCTCAGACTAGGGGATGCCAATGACCCTTTCTCCCCTCAACTGCCGCCCCTTTGGCTCAAGCCGTGTACGCCTTCGTCTCAAGCCAGCGGCGCCGAGAGATAAGACTTTGTGACCCCACCATGGCTATTGAGCGCACCTCTCGTGAAGAGACCCAGACGCGCACGAGTCGAGGATGGTATCTGAAGCCAGAGACTGCTTCCAGCTCACAACGGCGGCGCGGTCTAGCTCAGTGGCTGTCGTCGCGCCGTCACAAGTCCTTGCTCAAGAAGATGGCATACCGTGCGAGTAAGATTTGGTGATATACTGCTCCACGGAGTAGATCTCATATTTCTGCTTCTTCGCCTGACAAACCAGCTCATCGTCGGGGGGCAAGCCATTCGTTCGCCTCAGAGAAGAGCTTGGCCTCCTTAACGTCTGTGCCTGGCACTTGACTTGCAGCATAAATCTACCGGTAGTTAGCACGAGTGATTCGAGCCAGCAATTCCAACTGAACTCACCGCATCCCATATCTTCCAGGCTTGATCGAGACTCTTAGTCAAGTAACCACTGCCGCGAAGTTGTGCGAACCAATTGTACTTCCCTTCTTGCTGCTTAATGCTGGTTTTGAGTGCGTCGGTTGGCTCGGGTTCTTCGCTGACGGCGTCCAGGTACGTCTTGACCGCGATTGCAAGCCCGGAGCCATTGTCGCTGGAAAATGGGAGCCTATGGAGTCGAATTAGTCGGGCACATCGCAGAGATCGCGTAGTACACGAACACACCTTTGAGCAAGAGCAATCCAGTCTTCACGGTCCCGATCCACGTCACCGTTCAAAAACATGCTCGTCATGATTGTTTCCAAGAGATCTCTAAGGGTTGTGCGGACTGCCGAGATCTTCCAAGCGTATGTTAACAGCTGACGATCGAGAGGTCCGACAAATCCCATGGGCTTGTGCCGGATTCTACCCAAGCACGCAACCTTGGAAATGAGGTTTGTATTGACTTTCCGGTCGTGATCTTTGTCTAGGGGAGAGTTAGCAGCCTTCGGAAGAAAGAGAATGGTCGAACCAACCAGTCTTTGCTACCGGATCTCCTGAAGCGAAATTGCCAGTGAACAGCCCAAGTCTCAGCATCTCCACGCCAATGATGGTACACTCCTCGTCGGCGATCGTCAACGCAGTTTCCAGAGCCTTGCCCCAGGTGGTCACGTTGTGTTGGTCATCAACGTAGCCACGAACTTGTAAGTACCGGAAGACTGTGTTGACGGCTACCTCATCAGCTGTTCGAAGAGCTGGGTGTTCCAACTTGCCGAAGGTAATGGTCTTCTTGGCAAATGTAACGTCTTTGAGAGACCGCAGACAAGGTAGAAATAGACCAACATTCTGTTCAACGTCAGAGGATGCATGGCTGCAGAATCTTGACACCTACCTCGCCTTTGCCAATCACAGATTCAATATTGGCCCCTCGGACTCTCCACTGGACCAACTTTGGTTTCATGGCTGGAGTGTTCCGGATCTCGATTGTCAAGTTGCTTGTATTCTGAGAAATCCAGGGGTTGACCTTGATGACCCGCGACTGGTAGTAGTAGTTGAGCGACTCTGCCAGGATTTTGAGCGCTTCGGTTCGGTACGGGTTGAGGAATTCTATCACCAATTTTCGATAAGGTTCCGAATCGAAGACTCCCCCCGGAAGTGAAAGGGCGATTTCTCCAGACGTGAGCCAGTTTGGTACCTGCGGGCCGAGCATGCCCTTGGAGACGTAGAAGAACAACTCCTCGGGCAGTCTCTGTCCAACAAATTCGTGGACGTCGCCGGGCGCCTCGTCAAAGTTGAGGGGCGCAACGACACCGTTCTTTTCCATTATCACGTGGTGCCTGATGGTCATGATCGCCTTCTTGTAACGGTCGGCGTACTCCATGCTCTGGGCTTGAGGGTTGTCTCGATGGTAGTTGCAAAGCTGCATGACACTTTTGCCGGCCCCGTTAAGGAGGGTGATGGCGTCCACAATGCCCGTCGGCTTCGCCGCGGCCATGCTTTCTAGGATCGGGAAGGTCGGAGTGAAGGAGGTCCCAAGCAAGAGTTGGGCGTCTCGAAGCACGTCCTTGTGGGCTTTCAGTATATCCTCGCACGCCGTGCGGCTGACCAAGCTCAGGGTCGAGTCGTTGAGATTGAAATCCGTCACCACCCTGTCCACCCCAAAGAGAAAGCACTCGGTGCTGCCCATGACAGCATCAATGTATTGATCTTCCAATTTCAAAAGATAAGACAACTAATGCCCGGTTCAGTCTCCAACACTTTCCATCAGATTTTCCCGTGGGTCGACTCACCTGCGCAGTGGCACTGTATGGAGCAACCATGTATTGAACATTATTATCAAACAACAGTTTCTGAAGCGTCCGGGTCATGATGTCGACGGGGTATTTTGCCTTTCCAAAGTCTGTCACCGTGCGCTTACTGTCCCCGTTCATGTAGTGATGCCACGCTTCATCTTGTACCCTTCGGCTATCCGCCAACTGCGAGTCGGGGAGGCTTTTGTTCACGTAGTCGAGGCCGTTGAAGACGAACACCAATGTGATGCCATTTTGTCGCAGGACGGTAATGTCGTCCTCGACGGCTTTTTTGAAGACAAATGGCTGGCCCCCGAGGGCATGCTTGAGAGGCTCTTCGTTGTTCCCGTTGAGGCGGAGGTTCAGGTAGTATGAGGCATCGACACCGATGACGGCGTCTCGCAGCATTTGCAGCTGGCAGAGTTCGACATGCCTGCTTGCCCACTGGTCGAATTTCTGGACTGGCTACAAGGTGAGAAGAGCAATGGGCACAGGGTCACGAAGGGGGTTCCAATACCTGACATGCTAGGCCGCTGGCAAGAGAAGGCAAAGGAAGAACAAGTTTCAACGCAGGTGAGAATCAGCAGTCCAAGAACACAAAAGCGACCGCTGAAAAGAAGGAGTGAATGAGTGAGTGAATAAAATCAAACAGCTAAAGACAAAATCGCTTTTGTTGTCTGAAGCAAGTCGGCGGAAGAGCAGGTGGATTTGTCTGCGCTTTTACGGGCGTGGAACTTTCGAAAGGTCAACGTTGTAACTTTTGAGGATGCAAACTGCGGGCGCTAACAACCACTCGGGTCTAGACGAACGCGACGAGTACAATGGACCTTGAGCTCCGGAACTTGGTACAAATAATAAGACTGTGGTTTAAACCAGGGAGGGAACCCGACTGGTGCCCGCTGCGTCTCTTTCTCCGCCTACGCAGCCCCATCTTCAGATGAGGCGCATAGTCGTACTCGTCACGTAGACTCGTTTACTGAGTACTCGTAATACTCGGAATCGCATTCGCAAGGCTGTACGTCGTACTATACCATCTACAACAAGTCTGATGGTTTGCTGGAAGTGAAAGCGACGGCTTCTCCTCCCTGTTATTCAGTGAGCGCTCTCTACTTCCCTGCCCTGTGCTCCCCGAAATCCATAGGTTGCATCCAGCCGGGACAATAGATGGTCTTTGGCCGTTATAGCTCGTTTGCTGGTCGCGCCGCCTCCATATCCCACCTCCTTGTCTTCGTCCAGCTTGTGCCGTGCTACCAGTTTACTCGGGATAGGTGTCAATTCCACATCATTCCCTGGGTGGGAGAAATATGCTATCGAGTACCGGTCCTCGCCCCCTCTTCTTTCCTCCTTGGGAAAGATGACTCGGTGTACCGTGCTCTTCAAGATTCCGTTGGTCCAGTATGACAGCAAATCGCCAATGTTGACGAGGATCGGCGGGAATGTCTTGGAGTGATATCCGCTGGGGATAATGGGAACAGGTGCCCAGGTGTCCCCCGGGGTTCGGATCTGGAGACCTGGTTGTGAGGGTCGCTGGAACAGCAAGGTGATGCTTCCGTAGTCGGAGTGAGCGCCAGCTCTGAGATCGATTTCTGGTTGATAGTCTACATCGGCAGGGATGGCAGGATAGTGCAGGAGGCGGACGGTGCACCCGCTGGGTTGGGTATGCCGTGACGAAAAGAAACTGCGCTCTTCAACCTCGAGTGCCAATCCAAGAAGGTCAAGCACCCGATCGCAGACTTTCTTGCACGCCCTCTCGAACTCGGCCAACTCATCAAAATAGCTCCCCAGAACCTTGGGTAGGGGCTGTTGCGGCTTTCCATTCAGGAACTCTCCAATGTTCAAAGCTTCCTTAAAGTCGCCTTTGCGCTGCGTCTTGGGGTCGAGGTTTTCACCGTGTAACCCGGCCCAGCCTCGATCCGTCTTGTCGATCCGATAATGCTCCTTTTCTGCTTCAGGAAGAGCAAAGAACTGGCGAGACAAGTCGAATTCCCGATCCACCATGCTCTGCGTGAAGTCGGTGCCATTGGTATCGATGTAGAGGAAGCCGAACCTGGTCGCAGCCTCCAATACCCGCTTCCCAACCTCGAGACTGAATTCTGAAATGTCAATGACAGGCAATTGTATGGCGGTGTCGACACCCTCGATAGACCCCATATTGACTGGACAACTCAGACCCAACGCCAAAGGATCACGGACGATTTAAAAGCTGCTACTATTTCGAGGCGGCGTACTGGCAGGAAAAGAACTTATCAATGGGTGGTAGTTGGGTGGTAGTGACCTTGATATATATTTACAAGATTTGACTGGTATCAGCGAGCGGCGAGCTCCGAAAACCCTCTCGACGCTGCAAGCAATAGACTGCGAGTTGTCAGTCGACCGCAAGAACGGGACATCAAAAACAGAGTTGATACAGATGCAGGTTAACTATCTCAATATTCATCATTTTGTGCACTACTCGGCTCGTCATATTACACATCTAGTGTGTCAGTAACAATCTTCGCAAGACCAGCAGCCCCGTGCCCAGACCGTCGACGAGATCCAGCGTAAAGGTCCAGCAATCCAAAAACACCTCCGCTGCTCATCGTCGTCGTGGACAGGTCCGTTTTTCCCGCGTCAACGCCACGTCCTCCGCTCCATTCGTTGATGATATATACTCTCAAAGTCTTTGCATACTTCGTTCAACAATATCGATTCGCTGTACATCAATCGTGCTGGGTGTTTTGCCAAAGGCTGAATGCGGAAAACCATGCTCAAAGCTTCATGCCTTGAAATGTCAATAAACTCCACGGCGCCAACGCCAATGACGCTCGGTCCAAATACTCCACGGCTATGCAATCACAAACGTGCAACTTATGCATTGGCCCTGCGATTGAGATATGCATTTTCCAGGTGGCACCAGTGCCTATGCATGCTCCACGATTCCCGCTGGCATTCCTAGTTAAACGCAGTTAGTCTCAGCATCTCGAACATTAGGGGATTAAATGACAAACTTTGCTGCAGTATTTCGTGCGACGGCACCGCCTGCATTTGGCAAACTGGCGTGTGTACTCCTCCCATTTCCCACACTTGTAGTTGGCGCATTGACGAATTCCTCCCCGGGCGTCGTCCTTGCGGCACAAATTGCGCATGACCACGCATGCCCAATATTGCATATCTTTGGAGTGGTGACGAACGGTAAACTTCTCCACCAGGGGGAAAATATTGTAGTCGTCGGGTTGCAGAAACTCTTCGTCTTCGTCTTCGGTGGGTTCTGGAAGAGGTGCACAGCCTCGCATAGGCCCGTAAATTTTCTCAACCTCTCGATCGATCCTAAGTCGGGGAACTAAATGCGTGGCTTGGAAGTAATGCCGTAGGTAGCAGTATTTGGAGATGTAAGCAAGTAATTGCAAGCCCATTAAAACATCCTCATCGCGGGGCATCAGGGCTGTTGTGGCAGTGGCAGTGGCGTTTCTTAGGAAGAAATTGGGATATGCGTTAAGAGGGATTGCAGGAGAAGCAGCAGTGGCAGGCGGAGGGGGGATAGGCGACGCCCCCAATGCCTCGAGACCAGCTGCCCCCAAGGGATTGCCCATACCTGCGGTGATCGGTGTCTGCTGCGCAATATCCACATTGTTGTCAATTTCTCGGGCCTGCTGCGGAGGTATGGCGAGCGTCAGTGGTTGCCGGCCATCCAATTCGTGAAGATCATGAGGACTAGGATCCCGAGTTTGGACCCTGCTACGACCATCAGCTGGAGCCTCGGGATCCAGGAGGTCGTCGTCGGGGCCAGCCACGTCCTCCATACCAATATCGTCGTTATCGCCGGTGGAATTTTGATGTCGAATGGACGGCCTTCTCACACGGCGGCCAACAGGAGAGAGCATTCCGCGATGAAGTGGTGCAGATGGAGTAGTCGGTGAGTCGGGATGAGATGTCACCCCCGTGTTTAGGGGTGGTAGCATTGAAGGCAGTCTATCCACCTCCCGGACAGGTCGCAAAGAGAATCCGTCGGAAGCATCCATCGAGGGTACCGCAGTAGCCGGTGGTTGCAGGTTAAGAGACCTGTGGAAAGAATTCCTGCTCTCTTGACCACGGTTGTGATGGTGCAATTCACGACGAGGAAACATGGTCCGTTCGGGAGGTGACGTGAAAACGCTGGGAGGCATGATGCTTCCTCCTTCCGCAGGGGCTGTTTCTGTGGCACCAAAACTCTGCGAAAAGGATTGTGGGAGATCCAAGGACGGTGGAGGAGCTTGGCGACGATTGGAACGGTGATCGGTAGCCGCGTGCAGATGCTCGAAGAAGGACGTCCTTGTTGCGGGATCTTGTGCGAGTTCTCGAGATAGTTTGGAGGACTTGAAACTCCCTGAGTGCTTGGAGCCATTGCGTTTCTCCTGCTCAGCATCGGCCTTTGCCTTTTCCATCTCGATGACCAAGATGTAGTCCCACAAGATTGTCGCGATAACAGGTACCATATCTGCTTCCACGACACGCGTGCGCACACCTTCTGACCCTCGGACACCAATATTCACGATGCATTGAAAAGCAAGATTCCATTTCCACATGTGCATTTCATCTTTGCTCCGACCCTCCTTTAATATGCAGACCAGGCGCTCAACGCCGCCATCGACTGTAAGGATATCTCGAATACGTGCAGAAGAAGTCGTCAGGTATGCCAAGTGATTGAGGGAATTGATAAGGGGGAGGGTCGAGGTGCAGTCCAGGGCTCGACGGTCATAAAGAGTGGTGGTAATATGGACAGAGGCCTTATTGACATTGGGTATGCTGAAGTTGACTTCTCTCATGTTGCCCAATAGTTCTCCACCATGCAATGCCTCGATGTCCTTAGCTTTTGAGGTTGGACTGCGATAAGTATATTTGTCCTGGGATTTCTCACAGCGCAATGGGGGTATGAGCTGTGGCAACTCCTGTCACGTCCACCAGTACTTAAGCTGCGGCGTCGTCAGACAGCCGATGCTGTCACCAAGACAAGATCTTGTCTGGCTATCCACAAAGTATCAAAATATGCAAGGACTAGCAGCCATCAAGCGAAGGAGACAGATCGGTGGAGGGTTGGTGTCGATCGGACGATGAGGAGCAGAGGGTGAAGGAGGTTTCTAGGTTGGGCGAAGAGTCTGGGTGTCGGACAGCCAATAAATGTGGAAGATTGTTCCTTTGATGGTTTTTGATGAGCAACGACTTCGCGGACGAGAATTCGAACAGCAAGAGTAGGGGGAATTAGTAAAGACTGTGGCGGCTGGACTCGAGGACGCGGAGTTCGCAATTCGGGAGGCGGAGGTCAGGCGAGGCGAGGCGAGGCGAGGCAGGGCAGGGCAGGATTCGAGAGATCCGCTTGGAGGACTTGGCCAGCTCCGGGTTGGAACAACTAAACGCAGCCTGGAAGATAACGAAGAAATCGGGATCCGTGCGACGCAGCAGAACAACAGGAGAGATGGAAGGGGGTTTGGTGATGATGGTGAGGATGAATGATGGGAGGGAGGAGGTGGTGGTGCTGAGGGTCGAGTTTGAGTAATGGTGGTAGTCCGTGTCGATTTAGCGATTTAGCGTGAGGGTCGCAAGGTTGCAGAGGCTGCAGAGGCGCGAGCTGCGAAGCGCAAGGTGCAGGGTGCAAGGTGCGAGGGTGCGCAGTTTGACCTGTTGTTCACCTTGTTGGAGAGAGGCAAAGAGAGCGTCTCAGATTCAGCAGCTTCACTCTCGATTGGCACCGCTGTCTTTTGGTTCAGTTCATTTCTTGACCCCTGCAACCTTCACTCTAACCACTCTCCCGGGCCTGTATACAAACCTAGTTCTTACAAGTTCGTTCAATCCGGTCTGGGCTTTTTTGCACTAATAGTGATGCTCTAGCCTGCGGTCCTCATTCCTCGACCCCCGATCCCCGTCCTTCTCTATCCGTTCAGCGATTCTCCCTCTGGTCATCCATGCTCAAGTGTTAATTAGTGGCGAGGCCCTGATTGTTAAATGACAAGCACCCGCACTGGCCTCTCGTGCAGAAAGAAACAGCTCTTGTCGCTGATTTTGCTCGTTCTCCACTGGCGCAATCTTGCGGACAACCATCATCTTGCTCTGTAATTGGAGCCGCGCCTTTTACGATTGACTACTACAAGACTGGGCTGTTTCCAAACCCCAACAGTCCTGACCCATTCTCCAGTAGGAGCAGGGATCTCCAACCATGGCGCGAAGTCAGCACTTTTTTCTCTTTCCACCTGGGTGAAATTCATCCTGCAATAGACGATGACCACATCAACTTCGAGAGCCAACAAATCAAGTCTCCGTGGTAGTCAGACATTTTGGTTCTTGAAAGAGACTTGGATCCTTTGGGCGGTCGAAATAATCTGGCTCACCATGTTGTCTATGTCACGAGAGACCACCAAGCATCGGGCAATTAGTCAGACAAGATAAATCTCTGGCGACCCTGGATGCTTGTGGCAACGGTCTCCATTGCCAATCGAAGGCAGGGGGCCGGAGTTGGCTATACCTCGCACTTTGAGTAACACTGGTATGTATGTCCTCCGTCGGCCAAACCCTGTCGGGTGATCTCTACTTTACTCATTGTTCTCGAACTGTTGCTTGGTATTGTTTTGTCTGCGTTGCTGCCCGTGGTATTAGGGGTCACCTTATGCCCAGTGCTGCAAGAGTCAGTGCCACAGGTCCAAGCCCATCCACTCCCGTCGAAACCCGAGGTCTGGAACTGATCTACAGATTCTCGCCCTCTCATCCATGTGGCCTGGAATCAGCTAACGGGGTATTGGTCCGTTCATCTTTCTTTTCCAGCACATCGCGCGATGCTTTGGTTAGATAAAAACACACACACACTTTTCTCAAAAAATTTCCTCATGACGTGGTGCAACAGGATAACCCTTTGATCGAAAATCGACTGGATTCCCAGGAACTCGCCTCCAAGCCTATTTTTGGCCGATTCGCGCAGGGTACAAAAATGGGGGGTGGCTGGTTGTTGTTCTGGAGCGGCTGTTCGGCCAATCGCCAAAACCCTCTCGGTATCCTAATCGACTCAGGTAGATCTTCTTCCGCATTACTGTTAGTGACCTGACGTGTCATGTTGGCAGCCGCTTTGGATGCTTGCTGCCATCAGTGAAAGACGCAGGAAATGCACTGTTTACTGTGTCGTTTCTTGTCTTTGGTATCGGGCAATGCTCAGACCATGCACGCTCAAGGGGTGCAGGTCTGGCCAACGGCGCTTCGTCGACGTATCGTTCTGTTTGTGCGATCAATCCGTACAGAGCCATGCCATCGACCTTGATCTGTTGGTTGATGCTGTAATTAACCTTTACGAGGTCGACGCGCCCTCACAATCCATTGACAGAAAGCGAATGGCCGCGAGATCATGCAAGAACTGTACTTGACCTCGCTCCCTTCCCCTGCGTTGATTGACAAGGGTGAAACCCGAAGCATTGATACTGCCATATGTGCTGTATCAACAGAGATCTAAATTTATATATATCTCTATTATATGCAGCCTGAGCTGTACTTGGTCCATAGCCATTTCCTTTCACTTTACGGGGATACGTCGACGGGCTGACGGGTATCAAGGGACCCAGCCGAGCACGAGAGCGCCAGAGCGTCGCGTGGGAGGGGCAAGTACTTTTAGGTACGTGGGTATCTCCAAGAGGGTACCCAGCGAGCCAGGTACGAAGTGCCTTAGGTGCATTCTGGAAATGCTGCCCCTCTAAAGGCCCGACCACGGAGGGCTAGTTCGGGCTGCGGGGTCGCCTACGGGGCCTGGATCAAATACGCTCGGGGGCCTAAGTATTCCTCCGAAGCACCTACGAGGTACTTTGTAACCAGTCCATCCCGTGCGACAGGATCGTCTTGGCATCCCCCTGCAGTGAGGATATTAAATCGCAGACAACCGAGTTGCTTTTCGTCAACATTCACATTCCTCTCTGTCCTGCTGCTTAGAGAAGTAGTCGTGAAGGGGTCCAATCATCGTCCTCGTATGACTGAAAGAATATACATCCTGGTGTCCCAGCAGGACAGTATACACAGGAGTTCCCGAATTCTCTCAACTTGCAATGATGCTTTTACAGACTCCGTTCGTCCCTTTCACTGCGCTTCGCAGACAAATCCCCATCATTCCCAGCAAGTCCTGGTCCATAAGGCGGTGACGCGGCTAGCGGCACGATGTTGTCTGAAGGACACGATCGACGAAATTCGCTGAGATGAAATGCCCCTCCCGTTCCGTGCTTGAGGGAGGTGTGATCAAGTACGGCCCGAAACCTCGGAATTAGCGTCCATGCAGGCCATAAACAAGACATGATATAAATCATACTCGTTGCACGACTTCTCATCATGCCCTCATCTTCATTGGTGCTGTTGTCTCCCTGCCGATCCCGGACTTCCCACCATGTCACCCTCGAAGACTTTAGATCAGAGCGACAGCTATTCTAACAACACCCTTACTCCAAAGCCAACGAAGCGGTCACACCCAAGGCCCTCTGCTTTTGCTCATGTGGTCCTGAAAACAACCGAGGACAACTATCGGCGCATGGTGGATTTCTATGTGGACATGCTGCAGGCCGAGGTCATCCTCGAAGCAGATTACTTTGCCATGCTGCGATATGACGATGAGCACCACCGAATAGCCATTGTCCGCAAGCCCGAAATCACACCACGAGAGGCGAGCCCAAACACCGCCGGGCTTGACCACACCTCGTATACATACGCCACATTGACGGATTTGGCACGGACGTATCGCGCGCTGAAGGAGCGAGAGAAGCCCATCGTCCCCATATGGTGCGTCAATCATGGCATGACCACGAGCATGTACTACCAGGATCCCGACGGGAACAAAGTCGAGCTCCAAGTGGACAATTTCGACCTCCCTGACGAGGCCGACCGATTCATGAGGAGTTCGTTGTTCGTGCAGAACCCGATTGGCACCGACTTCGACCCCGAGGAATGGTCCGCTGAGATCCTTGCCAAGATGCTGCCTGATGGCAGTGAAGGACTGTCGAAAGATGAGGCCAGACGGATCAAGACCAGGAAGGAAATTGGTCCTCGGAATAGGACCCCCGAGTACATGTGAGCCCGTACAATGTTGATGGCCCCGGGTGGTAAGGGGTGACTTACTCCTGCGACTTGTCTTTAGGGGAGTGATGGGGTATATGCCTGTCGGTACCATAAGTCTTATAGGGCAAACCGCCAAGCTATCAATTACAAAGTTGTCCGCCAAGTAACAGGCAACTGGACATCTCAGCTCTGTTTCATTTACGAGGTAAAACATGTCGAGCACTGAGCCTTACAAGGTACGGCGTCCAGGGCGTCGTAGTGGAGCTATACTACATTTAGCGGCCACGTGTAGTGAAGCTAGTCTATATGTAGCTAGATACCTGCCCTATACACGAATAGAGAAAGGATATGATTACCTAAGGTACTTCACTGATGGTGCTGGGAGTCCCTCCTCCTCCGTCCTGGCACCTCTGGAGCCGGTCAAGTAATGTTGTAGTTCGGCCCGTGAGGGCAATTAATGCCACGTGCCACGACCAGTTTCCGACTCGCGGAGATACATGACTTTGTGTACGAGGTAAAAAGGAGCATGATTTTGAGTGGTCGCTCTCGCTCTCGGCCCGCAGACCAGTCAGTTTCTGTCGGCCCGAAGAGACGACGAAAATACCCCAGGCTCCAGACGTCGAGGGAGAGAACACAGAGACGCAGACACCCGCGCGTGGTAATACCCCGGATCGACCCCGGTTTTTACTCTCCCTCTCTCCACAAGGCCCGGGGGCTTCTCCATATCTTGCCGTCTACTACAAGTATGGAGGTGCAACCGAAACCAGATGATGTTCCGCCCACATGAAAAGGAATCTCCTCCGAAGTTCGCTTGCTCGCTCGCTGGCTGGCTAATAATCAACGTGGCACTCTGACCTTCTTTCTATTCTCACGGTCAAAGGCGATCCGTGTTTTCACACCATGGGAATGCCTCGAGCAGGTAAAGACGACGATGTTGAAGAAGCCAAAGCTGTCGAGCTTGAAGAATGCCAAAGCGTGCCCGGCGCTGTCGTCGTCGAACAAGGCAATGGCGCTGTACTCCTTGACGTTGGCCACGTCAAGGGGCAATCAGGAGGAACCAATTTGAAGTTGACCAGGGATGGCCATGTCAGTGACTCCCTTCCCGACCCCAATAATGAAATGACTGACGCTCTCCCTCCTCTTACAGACTGTCCTCGTCCCACAGCCCACGGATGATCCCAATGACCCGTTGAACTGGTCCGATCTCAAGAAGAATCTCCTCCTGCTCGCCATCAGCCTTGCGGCGTTTCAAAGCGACTATCAAACTGCCGCGGGCGTCCCGAGTGTCGGTCTCCAGGGCGTTGAGTGGCATCTCTCTCCCGTCCACGTCAACTACGCAGGGAATCTCAATGTTTTGATGAAGTACGTCTCTGCTGTATCCCCTGAAAAGAATGGGCTGACTGTATTCTTTCTCAGTGGGATCGGAGGACTCGTCTGGATTCCCCTGATCTACTTCTGGGGCAGGGCTCCCGTGTTGTTCTGGACCAGTTTCATCGGCACCTTTCTCACTCTGGCGACTTGCCTCGTCCCCGATTTTGCCGGATACTACGGCCTTCGCGCGTTGATGGGGGTTTTCCTCAGCTCCGGCCCTGCGGTCGGCCTGGCCTTTATCCAAGATGTCTTCTTTCTCCACGAACAGGCGAGGAAGATCGGCATCTGGATCTTCGCCGTGCAGGTCTGCCCGTACTGTTCGCCCATGTTTGGCTCGTACATTATTGCCGCCACGGGGTCGTGGAGAGCCACGTTCTGGGTCGTGTTTGGCCTGGAGGCCCTGGTTCTGCTCTGTCTGGCCCTCTTCCTCGACGAATCCTTCTATCGGAGGGACCTGCCGCTGTCAGAGCAACCCCCGCGCGGGACCAGGATCCTGCGACTCGTCGGTTGGTGGCAGTTTCGGGTCCACCGTCGATACTTTGCCAGTTTTGCAACCTCGTTCCTCCGCGTGTTTGAGATCTTGCTCAAACCCATCATCATCCCGTTGTTGGCATTCTAGTTAGTCTCTTCGCAGGGGAAACCCCCTTCCTCCTTTTGAAGCCCTATAGGTGCATGCTAACAACGGTCCAAAATCCAGCTTGTTGAGCTGTATGTGGGCGATCGGCATCAACCAGTCGTCCGCCATCCTCTTCGCCGAACCCGTGTCCGCGGGTGGCTATGGAATGAGCCTCAATTCCACGGGCTACTTGTATTTTGCGCCCATTATTGCCGTGCTGATCGGCGAGACATTGGGTCATTTCATCAACGACGTGAGTTTTTTTCCATCCCTCTCCCCCATATTTTGCACCCTTTATTCATGCCATTTCACGAAATAAACATATCGACATTTGTCCACATCAAAAAAGACATATGAGCAAGATGGAAAGTGAATGCTGAAAAGAAAAACCAATTCTCTCTGTCTAGTGGACCACCGCCCGCTATGTCCGCCAGCACCACGGGGTCTTCAAGCCCGAAGCTCGTCTGCCCCCAGTCTACCTGACCCTCTTGCTCACCGTCCCGGGCCTCATCCTCGTGGGACAGGCGTTGGAAAAGCATCTGTCATGGGTCGCCGTCGCCTTCGGCTGGGCCATGTACACCGCCGCGGTCATGATGTTCTCGGTGCCCCTGTTCGCCTACGCGCTCGACTCTTACCGCAACGCTCCCGGCGAAGTGTCGGCGTGGTTCAACTTTGCACGCATCATCGGCGGCTTCTCCGTGGGGTATTTCCAGCAGGGCTGGGGCCTGCGATCCGGGTTCGACGTCTCGTTTGGTGTGCAGGCCGCCATCGTCGCGTCGGGGGGCCTGATCATTCTGGCGCTCCAGATCTACGGCGAGAAGCTCCGCGCCAGGGGCGGTGTCCTGCGAGACTGAGACACTGAAGCTCTGCCGGGTAGCATGCTGCACGGTAGAGATCATATAGGATGTAGATACCAACGTGCAGGACCAACTGCAACGCAAGGCTGTCGAGATGTATACTTTTTCTGCTGGGGCCGAGTAAAAAGTTCGACGTGATTCAATTCCGAGCCACAGAAGCTGCCTATTCAATATATTACCTTTGCAGTCAAGTCCTTCGTATGGTTATGTTTCAAAGTCTTCCACAGCCCAAGGTTATAGGTCCTGACAGAAAGACCGTTGAGACAAAGCTTGCTGCTCGCTCTGAACATTCGGCATATTGACTCGTGGGTAAATCTTTTGCACAAACGTCCAATAAAATAGACGCGTTCTTCGGCCCGAAACCTCTTCCAAGGATGGATGGATGGAGTCTGTATACTTCCGCTTGCCACGATATATATGTGTGATTTATATATTGAATGCGGAAAAGAGATATAACAATCGTGCTTGTTATACATGGCATAGCCTTCGAGATACCCTATATCTATCGAGTCAAAGCTTCATTCGTCTCGTGCGTGGGAAATCAAGACACAAGTCTCACTTGGGATCAAATGTCGTCTAGCAACCACAACGCCAGTGTCGGCGTCAGCTGGCCCGCAAGCCTCAAAGGGGAGGTGAGGACGTTGGTAGACTTGCTCTTCCAACTGCTCGATAGCAAATCGCCACAAGCTGGCTCTCGGCTGGTCCAAGAAGTGTTCACCGAGGATGCAAAGTTTTTCTCGTCGTCGGGATATTTCCAGGGACAAGGTACGTTCTGTATTTCGGTTGTGTTACATTCACCTCCATAACCCGCTCCTGCCATGCCCAACACGGCAAGAATTCAGAGAGATATCATGGAATTCCGTGTCTGATACGTTTGTTTTGGTGTTGAATGCAGACATCGCCTCGTCACGCGACGGCATCTGGGAAAAATTTGAGATTCGAAGTCACGAGCTCCGCAAGATCTATTTCAACGATGCCGACGACGGACAGGACTTGGATCTGTTGATCGTGGGAGGTGCCGTCGTGAAGCCACTTGGTGGAAAGGCGACGGCGCTCGAGTTCATCGGCCGCGCCATCGTCGTCCAGGATACGGTCAAAGGCCCCCGGGTTCGTTATTATCAGCCAATCGTGCCAGGTGCGGCTGGGCAACCAATTCTTGCGCATGTTTAGACGATCGAGCTGCTTCTGTCGGATGTGGAAATCCCATGTCGCCGGCAAAGGTGTGGATATATTGGGCAAGGGTTGCCGCAAGATGAATGCTGGCCCGTGGAGCCGTTTCAAAAGTATTCCGGGCTGCCGGCTCTATGGTCGGAGAGAGTGCAATCGAGTCGCTTGGTAGTCGCATTGATCCAAAAGTCCCAATCAATATTGGCAGTCTTGCCTGGACGCCTCTATTGCATCTCTGCAACGCTGTTAACTTGTGCCCATGTAGTGAGGTAGTTAGTTCAAAATTTACCTGGCATATGCTAATTTCGTGCGTGTCAAATACTCATTTGGACATTGCGAGTCATCTGTCCAGAGGCTTCAGATGAGGTTCTTTGGGCTTCGGCAACGACGCTTCGAGCGAGGGCCGCAATGTCTCGAGCAAATGGGAAACTGATCTTGGACCCTGTGATGAATTCCATCTGGCCGAAAAACCCCGCCGCCACGTCCAGGAGCGCCAGGTCTGACTGGACCGAAGGCGATCGTGGGTTTTGGAGGACGAAGACGAAGAGGTTCACAAAGGCCCGCATGGGAAAATGTAACGCAAACCTGGGAAAATGGTTTCAGCAGTATATCGGATAGACGTCAGTGTTGCACACTCACGATTGGGTACCAACACTGTCCATATCCAAACTCCGTACGGTGACAATAAGACTCCGTGCGGCGTTTGCGACCAAATGCGAACTGGCGTGGATTTGCTTTTTGATCTGCTGAGCCAGTTCTGTATCTCCACAGTCGGAGAACGATTCTATGACCCACGGGTACAGAAAAGTTGAATGTGTCGCCATGACAAGATCGTAGAAGGAACAGTGTGCCGTCATTAGTCCCAAAGCCTTCCTGTTCCCTGGCATCTTGAATTGCTTTAGGAAATCGGTGGGCCGGAGCTGTAGCGGTATTGACTCTTTCCATGCTTGGAGTTGGTTGTCAAATTGCTCCACGAGGCTGAGCATCCTCTCCGGAGGCTCTTCAAGCGCTCGGGTAGTGAGCATCTGCTTACTGATCTGGTGGTAGAACCGACAGGTCTGGATTATGTAGGTGAGCGTCTCAGTTTCAATGGTGCTCCCTGGGTGGACTGTCTCGGGTATGTCGCAACTAATGTCATCATCGTCAATCAACTTGGAGACGGGTCAGCTGATAGTCTCGTCAAAGCTCTGATCGCACATACAGAAGGTTGGCCACAACGCTGTGCGATGTGTTTCTCGGTGCAATACACCGCCCAGAAGAGCCAAGTAGACTGAAGCGCTTCCGAATGTTCAACAGCGTCGGCATCAACTCGCTTCCGATGAAGACCTAGGGATTGAGCAAGAAGTGCTGCATTTGACGCCAGGCCTGAGCTCAATGCTGGGCTTGCTAGACCTTCTGCAAACAGAGCCTGAGATTATCGATACTTAGCACCCTCTCTTCGAGATGTAGCAGCTCATGTGCTCACCATTGTCAGTAGAGCTCGAACTGAGAGCAGTGTTGGTCTGGTGAGTAACAACTCGCTCTGAACAGACAAGGAATTGGAGAAATAGCTCCAGGATTCTCTTTGAACGTCGGAAGAGTTGGCTTCTGGAAATTGGGAGCGATACATCCGACAACCCCCAGCGTAGACAACATTTCGCAGAGCGTACCAAGCAGGGTCGTCACCCTGTCCTTTTCCGGAAAGGTGAGACCGTAAGTGCTGTTCGAACTCCGGTCGGTAGACGCTCTCCCAGAGGTTGTCCACTGAACGCTCGAAATAGGCTTCGCAATACAACCAAGCAAGTGACGGCTCGGGCTCAGCGCTTTGAGACATGGGCTGAGTGTGCTCTAGTTTCAACTGCCGCGCCCAGCTGGCTCTCATTTCCTCGGCGATTTCAGCAAACTCGTCAGATCCGTGTTTTTGGCAAATCCACGCAACTCCCGGGCCAGAACAGATTGAGAGCCAGTATCCAAACCCTGCCAAAGTCACTATGAGAAGAGGTGTCGAAATGGAACACACGCACCGTAGTGGTTTGGAAGTATCTGTCCAGACAATCAGTATCATGCCTGATCGAAGTTGGATCTGCCCGTCGTGCCACTTACGCTTTCAAGGCCGTGAGGACTATGCGTCACTGCGTCGGCGCCCTCATTTAAATGGGTACCACGATATTCCCCGATAGGAGGCGGATTTTCTGTAGGGAAGATGAATAGGTCTTGTATCAAGTCGTCGTTTTCTTCTAGAGATTCTGGTGCGCCAATCTGAAGCAATGTGTCAAGGGCCGATAGGTCTCCAGCAGGGTCAAAGAAGCCTTCAGAGAGAGGCCACAGATCTCCGTCGTCAAAAATACCGTCGTCAAAAAGGACATCTGGGAAGCAGAGACTGTCGAAGGAACAGCTTGGATCGTTTGGATGTGAACTGGATTCAAAGTGGATGGATTCTGGGTCATCCATGAGGACAGTAGTTGAGTGCTGCTGGTTGCTTTTCCTGTAATATTGATTTCACGGCCGATACATTTTATAGTAGCAGGAGAAAACCATTGTGAGGGTAGCAGGAGTCCGGTAAAGTTCTCTATACGAGAACAGGTGACGGGGCAGCACGTCCAAGTATGAGGCTTGAGGCCATCCAGGCGGTGCTCCGAGGTAGAGGGTCAAGGTGCGGAGGGGCTTGACGTGGAGGTGCGGAGGTGCTAGATGTCCACTAGTGACCACCCTTACCACCCATTACCACCTAGGTACTTGCCTTAGGTAACCATTAACAAGGTTGCCAAGTTGGGGGTTCAGGCGGGGGGAGGGAGGCTAGGCACATGGGCACCTAGGGTCCCCTCTAACGACAAGCACCTCCCAGCTGCCTCTCAGATGCCGCCCAGGCTGATTTTCTCTTATCCATCCCAAAATGCCCCCACCTCCTCACCATGCAGTCTCTGTTGATGCGCAACACAACTTGCAATGCCTACACCGTCGGAAAAGCAGAAAAGCGACAGAGTACCTATTGCTTGTCGAGCTTGCAGGCTCCGGAAAGTGAGATGTAAGTTGCTAGGCCCTCAGCCATTTGAAACCTGCTGTTCGCCTAAACTCCCTCTAGGCTCTGGTGGCCATCCATGCAGACATTGTGCAAAGTCGTCAGCAGAATGTGTCTATCCACCCAAGCAGCGTCGAACAAGGACAAGGACGACGCGAGACAACCACAATCATACGGCTGTTAGCAGAGATGTGGTGCCACCAGTGGCCCCGTCAGAAGACCAGGAAGCTAGGCACGACTTGTCAAACCCTTCCTGTACCTCTGTCGAGAGACCGTCCTCATCAACCAGTGCCGATCCTATTATTGGTATAGTAAGAGAAGGTGTTGCAACAACTACTACCCCGACCATCCCTGCGACCTCGAACTCAATATCACCTTCACGGGCTCCAAGAGCACAAGACAGCGAATGCTCGTTGGGTCCAGCACAGTTACACCTCTCGGCAGGATCGCCATCCCTGGAGAAAACTGCGACTGCGAGCCATGCTGGAGTCGATATCTCTGATAGCTCAAATACTCTAGTGGGCAGCGTGACTGAGGTGGAGGACGCCCGGGTCTGGCTGTCAACTTGTTCTAATGCTGGGGTCGCATGGGTGTGTGAGACGACCGCCAGCCTCGCTTTTGCCGACATTGCAGAGAGATTCGGTAGAAGCCTTCAACCATGGACCCCAACCAGCCCGTGGCCTAGCCTGGGCGCAGCGAGAGCAGAGCCGAGCGAGGAAACCGCTTGGGAGTATGTCAACGGTGAGTTCTTCCCGCACCAACACAACAGCAACAGTGAGGATCCTAGTCTAATGACAACCTGCACAGCATTCTTTGAAAATTGCTGGGAAGCTCGCTTGGGTCTCATCCATCGCCCAGACTTTGAAGCCCAGCTTCAAGCGCATTTTCTCGACGATTCCTCCTCCCGCAATGATTATGCCGAGATCGCTCTCCGCAACGTCGTGTTTGCGGCTGGTTATCGAAGCATATTGCTCAAGACTGCGAAGATTCCATTCCATGCAGTCCGAAAAGAGGCTTGGGAAGGCTATTTCGTGAACGCGTTGTCGGTCTTGACTGGACTCCTCTTGTCGCCTTCAAGACTTATGGTCGTCCAAGCACTGGCATTGATGGTAATGAGCCTTCCTGACTTGCAAGATGGAGCTGATCCTCGGAACCTTAGGCTTGCTACGTCGAGGGACTTGGAAGCCCTGACATTCAGCGCGTGCTGTGCCATAATGCGGTGCATGCGGCACTAACGCAGGGCTTACATCTTGATCAGGAGTCGGACCATCGAACGAGTTCCTCGTCCGACGACCGTCTGAAAAAGACATGGGTGTGGTGGGCAGTTTATGCGCTAGAAAAGCATTTCTGTCTCGTCAGCGGAAGACCATCGATGATTGACGACGACATGATCCGTGCATCAATCCCATCCCATGTCCCTTCCAACAGCACCATATATCTAGAAGCCAACACTCTGGCAGCTCGGCATGCAAAGATATGCTCCCGAATACTTCGGGAAACCATGTCAACAAAGGCATACAGGTTATCTCCTCATGCCCTTCTTAGGGTTGTGAATGACATTGACCGACAGCTCAAAAGCCTGCTTGATGATTTTCCGAACGACCTCCAGGTTGGTGCGCTCGCCAAACTATCGGAGGAGACACATCCAATGGCCCATCGTATCCACACCTTGTATCTCTACTTCGCAATCCATGGAAGTTTATTGGCGCTTCACTCGCACTTTTTCTACCCCTGGCTTTCCGCCCGGCTTTGCGATCGTGGCTCAGATGCTGGCTTGGAGGCGCAGCTACATTCTTCATCAAAGACGGTGACGGAAGCAGCCCGGAAGATGCTACTGGCCGTCCGGACAGTAACCACAAATGCAGCTACACCTACATGGCTGGCCGTTACTTATCCTATATATGCACATCTGAGCTTGTTTGTCCACGTGCTGAAGTATCCGACCTTTCCCACCGCAAGCGCCGACCTTGGCCTACTCGACATATGTGCTGGCCATTTTGGGTACATCGATTTCATGACCTCTTCTGAAATATCCATCTCTTTAGCGAGAGAGTCCGTGGGCCTGGCTGCTAAATTCGTCAAAGCTGCCAATAAAAGACACGATAAAGATCAGACGTCCAGATTTAGCCATGGGTGTGGGAACCAAAGCACAAATTCTCAGAGCAAGCGATCAGACAACGAGAGCCCCCAGAATGCACACCCTCGGTCGGTTTCTGCAGCACTAGGTCAGGTAAGTGGGCATTTCAAGGTAAACAGTCTCGGTCTTTGCTAAGCTGTTACCATATCTAGGGCGACTTTACAACAGTGGATGGCGACTGGAATATGCTGCCATTCTTGGACCCTTTGGGCACACACGATAATACTTGGGAAAGTCTCCTTCTCCAACATCCCTAATTCAGGGCTATATGTGTAATTCGATTGTGCGGAATCAAGTCCTGACGTTCGATGAATGGTCCGAAACTTTCAATGTTGCATCGTCCGGTGTTGTGCAGTTCAGCCTCGAAGCAGAGATGACCCGACCGAGGCCGGGCCGCTTCCATGACTCGATGTACATTCTACACTGGAGTCATTTCAGACCATGGACCAGGAGCTACTCCAACTATCACCTGATCGAGACAGAGAGACTTATTCATCTATACCATCTTCAACGGGAATTGATGTGTCGCCGTTCTCACTGAACCAGTGATACTTGTCAAAACAAGATTACGGCCCTGGTTGAAGTGCTGAACCAGTGAATAGTGCGGAGAGGAGTTGCGGACCGAAAGCCCCCCACGCGGTCCGTGATCATGATTCGCACGCTTTCCAGTGGGCAGAAATGTGATTATAGGGCCATGTCGACCTACATCTGACACGGTCACCTGGCCGTATACATGATACGGACCGAGCCCAGTCCAACACGCCGTGCCAGCTTACCCAGTACCATATACCCAAGGAATGTGGGGAATTTGGGTTTCCCATATGAACCCCAAACGCTTCATGTACAACAAGGGATTCTGATGTATTCGGTTACTTCTTGATTTCCATCAGCCTTTCGCTTGGCCTCTGATTGTGCAGTCCTGAGCAAAGAAAATGAAGGACACCAGCCTATCCAAGGTTATTGTTGTGGGAGCCGGCCCGGCAGGGCTTCTGCTCGCCCTGATGCTCGCAAAGCACGGTATCAGTGTTGATGTAGTAGAAGCAAAGGACGCCGTGGATTCCAGACCGCGTGGTGCAGCATACGGTCCAGCGGCTGTCAGGTACGCACATTACATTTGTATATCTATTTCGAGCCCTCCTATCCCAGCAGATTACATATATTCTTGTGGACGGTGATACTAACATGAATACTGCGCAGCGTACTCCGCCGTGCTGGTGTCCTGGACCGAATCCGCCAACAGGGCCTGTGCGTCGACTCATTCACCTGGAGGAGGGTGGACGGCACCGTCATCAACCGCCTAACTGGCATGAGCAGAAACCCTGACAAAGGCGGTTTTATCTGTCTACCGGTTTACGACCTGGCATGTCTCCTTTACGACGAACTCAGTCAGTTCCCAAACGCCCAGGTTCATTGGAACCACCGTGTGACGGCTGTTCTTCAGGACGAAAAAAGAGCCTGGGTCGAGTGTGAGAATGGTACAAGCTTTGCCGGTGATTTCGTCGTCGGCTGTGACGGTGGCACATCGACTGTGCGGAAGTCTTTGTTTGGCAGCAATTTTCCAGGCCACACTTGGGATGCCATTATGGTTGCCACGAATGTAAATACGTGGCTCTCCCCCCCTTGTTCGGTGGCTAGAAAGTGGAGAAAACAATTGATATGCTGATATTTGTGCTCGATTTCCAGATCCGCGGCTACGATTTCTCAAAGTATGGCTGGGAAGATACGTCCTGGATTGTCGACCCTGAGCATTGGGCCGTGGTGGCTCTGATCGACCAGCAAGGCACATGGCGTGTCTCATACGGAGAGAAAGGTTCGCTCTCCCATGACGAGCTTTACGAACGGATGTCGGCCAAGCTGCAACGAATACTTCCGGGGAATCCCACCCCCGATCAGTACACGATTGAAAGATTTAGCCCCTACAAACTGCACCAAAGATGTACCGAGAACATGCGGGTTGGTCGGATCCTGCTCGCAGGTGACGCTGCGCATCTGAACAATCCCATGTACGTCTTGGGCACATGACGCCCCTTGATGCTAGTGCTAATGATTTTCAGGGGTGGTCTCGGTCTCACCTCCGGCATCTCCGACGTGGGTGGATTGGCTGATTGTCTCGAGGGAATACATGACGGCAAAGCGGGCTACGAGATACTCGACCAGTATGATCAGATTCGACGAGAGATATACAGAACTGTCACCGATCCCGTATCAACGGCCAATCTTGCTCGCGTACGAAGTGACCCGGCGGCGTTGGCCGGTGGTCAGGACCCTTTCTTCGCCATGCTCGATAAGTCCCGCGAAGATGCTAGCGTTCTTGACGAGATTGAAAAGGTCTGTGTTGACGTGTCTGTACGGGGCCGTTGGTGGTATCAGGCTGATTTGAGATTCAGAAAGACATGGGACTTCTCGTGGACTTTACTCAGTTCTACCACACAAGCAAGGTGAATGGCCACACCAACGGTCTGGCCTCGAGCCATGCTTCTCTCACCCACTGGGACCGGTTGGTTCGCTACGTGTCGGCCAAGACTGGCCAGACACGATATGGCGAGCCGCTGGCGGACTTGAATGCAGACATTGATCAATTGGTGGCGGAAGGGACTCTGAAAGTTCGGCCCTTGGAAGGATCCAACTGGCTGGCCGCAAGACCATCGGCCGACGAGAAGGAGGATCTTGTAAAGGAGCTGCTCGGTCCCCTGACTCCAGGAGACGTGCCCATCATCCGTTGCACGGGCCTCAACTACCGTACTCATAGTAAGTCTAGGCTTTTGTTTCCGCAGTTTGGGCCTCGCTGAGCTGGCAAACCGTTAGTTATTGAGTCGAATTGGGACATACCCACGAATCCGACACTATTCATCAAGCCCGGACAGGCCGTCGGCGACACGCGTGCGCCCATCCCGGTCCCCAAGCTCTCTCAGTCCAAGTGCGACTACGAAGGCGAGCTGACCATTGTCATTGGGAAGGACGCCAAGAATGTCAGCGAAGAGCAGGCGCTCGACTACGTGGCCGGGTACGTGGTTGGGAACGACGTCTCGTGCCGCGACTGGCAGCTCGACAAGGACAAAGCCGGCATGATGCCCCAATGGTGTTTCGGCAAGTCGTTCGACAAGTACGCCCCCGTGGGGCCGGCCATCGTGAGCCCCCAGGTCCTGGGCGACGCGTCGGGACTGCGGCTCCGGACGTACGTCAACGGCGAGCTCAGGCAGGACGCCGACACTTCGGATCTCTGTTTCGGTGTCAGAAAGCTCGTCAGCTTCTACAGCACGGGCCAGACGCTGGAGGCGGGCAGCTTGATCATGACAGGGACGCCCGGTGGCGTGGCCGCGGCCATGAAGGTTCCGCAGTATTTGCAGGACGGGGATGAGGTGGTGGTGGAGATTGAGGGGATTGGGAAGTTGAGAAACGTGATCAAGTTTGACGAATGAGGAGACATGGGGCGGAGATTTGCAGGGACGTGTGTGGTTAGAAATCGACAGTGCTCTTTACAAATGTACAAGGACATTATCCATGTTGGAGACGTGAGCCCAAGCAAGTTCTCTATCAGAAATAGACGGGGGCACGTTGGTAACCACACTAGTCTACCAAGAGAATAGTCCCGGATTTGCAGTATTCATTATACCTAACCAGGGCTGTCGGGTTAATGGGACGGGGTAATACTCCTCGTCCTGGGGAAATCGAATCCCCACTCTCCGGAACAAGTAAGCGTTCTTCCGCACGTACGGCCCGAGAGAGATCCCCAAACTTCGGTCCGCGAGGAATTAGCGGGATGGGATTAATGTCAGGTGTTTACAAAGGACAGAAATACAACCACAACCCCAACACTAACTGATGACTTAGTTGAACTGCGGGCCGACGATCGAACAATGGTGACTTTGGGCAGTTGAAGTGGGAGGGGGTGGAGGAGCTTCGTTCTCAAACAAGTGCCCAGGCTGATCGGGCTTTGGACGTACTTTGACTGGAAACCAAACCCTCGTGATAAAGATGGATAGACACGGGTGAGGTCCAAGGTAGAAATGGTCCCTACAGGCATTGAGTGGTAGAAGGAGTCTGATGGTGGGAGCGTCGTTGCCAAATCATATTGACACATATAAGACTGGCTTGAGCCTTTTTTTTTCAATGCGAGAGTAAATGCGAGAATTCAATCAACTACGTTGGCGTGTTTCTTCAAGGGTCACATCGTGTTAGCTATATTGAACGACTCTCCCAACCTTTCCCCATCCTGCCTTACCTCTTTAATAACAAGTCAGATTAGAACGATGGCGTCCCCAGCGGTGGTCCTTCCGCCATCTTTACAGGAGAGTCTGGACAAGACACAGGTCTCGTATGCACAACTGGGTAGTTCGGGACTTCGTGTCTCGATCCCCATCCTGGGGACCATGTCATTTGGTATTTCACCTCCCACCACGGCCTTTATGTTGTTGTTGTTTCGTCCCTTTCCTGCGCTGATAGAGGGACTCATCCTCAGGCCACAAAGCCTGGCAGCCCTGGGTCCTGGACGACCCGGACGAAGTCGACGCGATCCTCAAGGGCGCCTTTGACCGCGGCCTGAACACCTGGGACACGGCCAACGTCTACTCCAACGGCCTGGCGGAGCGGATGATCGGCCACACGCTGAGAAAACACAAGATCCCTCGACACAAGGTCGTCCTGCTGTCCAAGTGTTTCAGCGCCGTGGGCGAAGAGCCGGACGTCCACGTCATCAGCTACCCGAGACAGGTCTCGGCGAGCAAGGACTACGTCAATCAAGAGGGGTTGAGCCGGACGGCCATCTTCAATGCCGTCCATGGCAGTCTGGAGCGGCTGGGGACCGAGTATATCGATCTGCTGCAGATTCACCGGTTTGACCCAACGGTCCCGATCGAGGAGACCATGAAGGCGTTGCATGACTTGGTGCAGAGTGGAAAGGTTCGGTATATTGGTAAGTCTGTCCATGCGATGCTACCACCATGCACTGGGGGTCGCAACGGGCTCTGCTTTGCCCATCGAGCGAGCTAGAGAGGAACAGCCAAAATTTCAAGAAAGAAGAGATCTAAAATGATGACCCCCAAAAAACCAAACAGGCGCGTCAAGCATGTGGACGTACCAGTTTGCACAGATGCAACACGTGGCCGAGACGCACGGCTGGACCCAGTTCGTCTCGATGCAGAACCACTACAGCCTGTGCTACCGCGAGGAGGAGCGCGAGATGAACCGGTTCTGCCACGACACGGGGGTCGGGCTCATCCCGTGGGCGCCCCTCTACCGCGGCCTGCTCGCGCGCCCGCTGGGCTCGGACAAGACGACGCGCGAGGCGAGTATCAAGGGTGCCTTTGCCGGATTGCACGGAGGAGACGTCGAGATCATCACGCGGGTGGGCCAAGTGGCCGAGACGCGCGGGTGGAAGATGAGCCACGTTGCGCTCGCGTGGATCGTTCAGAAAGGCACGGTCCCCATCGTCGGGGCGAGCAGCCTGGCCCGGTTGGACGAGATCTGTCAGGTGCGAGGCAAGGCGTTGACCGAGGACGAGATCAGCTATCTCGAGGAGCCGTACCAGCCGAGAAATATTGTCGGTCATCACTAAATGCGACGAGAAAGGAGAGGACTTGTAGGTAGATTATTATGTACAAGACCAAAAGAACCCCAGGGGATGGTGACAGGCTTTTTGTACATCAAGAGGCCCAGAGAGGAAATCAGCCGGGCCTCAACTCGACTTGGCTGTACGACACTCTTGCCCATCCTAAGAAGCGTCCATACCCTGAATCCCACTGCCTTTGACCTCGACGCCACCGAATTGCAAAGCCTCGGCCGGCACGACGGCCGCAACCATGCGTGCCCAGCCCGTCGAGCTGACGTTCCTCCACGAGTGATCGACGCCGCGTTGGATGGCCGAGTCGCCGGGCCCGAGGATTCGCTTCTCTCCCGACCCCAGCGTCAACTCCATCTGGCCCTCGACCACGACGTTGAAGTTCACGCTGATGGTCCGGTGCGACGCCGACTCGTATCCCGGAGGCAGGTCCAGGATGCGGCAGGCAAAGCCGTTGGGGATCACGATGCCCGGCGGGTTGTCGATCAGGTGCTGGTAAGACTGCAGGTCCCGCTCGCCGGCCAAGTCGACGGGGACGCTCTGACAGCCGTAGCAAAAGGCCATCTTGACCCCGTCGGGGAGCTGCTTCGACGGAGGGTGCGGGGAGATTTTGGAGGAGAAGATGGACACGCCGTCGTCGGTGTTGGTCGTGACGTGCCGTTTCACGGGCGTCAGACTTTTGGCGTCGGTCATGATTTTTTTGTTGCTGGAATGAATCTTGAGTGTTGGTCAGACCGAGTCGAGATACCATGTGAGGCTGTCTTCTAATATTCCAGGAGCAACAAACCATTTGTCTTTAACGGCAGGACGGGTCAACTGCTGCTGGTCGACCGAGAGTACAATGGACAATGACAGGATGACCATCTCTCGGGCCAGGTACTTTCGGACCGACAGGCACCAAACCAAACGGCATCGAGTCTCGACATGGCAATTCCAGTTCCATACGATACGAACCCATCATCCCGAAACAAGATATATCCATCGCATTGTGTCAAAGACCCGAGGGCTGAACAGTTCCCAATCCCCACGAACCAGAATCCTCTCTGAAACGCAGGAGAAAGGAACACAAATATGCCGGCCAAATTCACCAGACTGATCCGGTTCGAGGATGCCCAAGGGGCGATTCACTACGGCGAGGCTGGCCCCGACTGGGACCAGGATCTCCACGGCCAGACTGTCCCCACCTACGACATCTCGGACCCATGGGCTGCTGAGTTCCCTTGGACGGGAAAACAGGTTCGAGTGGCAAAGGTGCCGTAGCAGTTTTGACCCATCCATCCTCTTGTGCCTGTCGTTGGTTTGACTGACCATACGATTGTGAAGGTCTTGTGTCCTCTGCCGACCACTCCACTCATGTACGCCATCGGACTCAATTACAAGTCGCATGCCGAGGAGGCTGGGGTAAAATCCCCTCTCTTTATACTGAGCAGAAATATGGGTAGTTAATGGGTGAGAATTCAGCTTCCGATTCCAGCATATCCCGTTGTCTTTACAAAGTACGGTGGTGAGTTACGTTACTTGCCCTTCTGTTGCCGACATACGCTGAGAACGAGGGCAGATATGCTGGCCGATCCGTACCAAGACATCCCCGTCCCCCCGGTGGCCCAGTCCGAGATGGACTACGAGGGAGAACTCTGCGTCATCCTGGCCAAGGACGTCAAGGACCTGTCCTCGGACGATGACATCGCCGACTCCATCCTGGGCTATACTGTCGGCAACGATGTTTCGGCCCGCTTCTGGGCCTGGCCCCAGCAGTCGGGCACTCAATGGGGGCTCTCCAAGTCGTTTGACCACTTTGGGCCGATCGGGCCCGTCATCGCATCGCCCGCCTCGATCCCGAATCCTCAGAATCTGCAGCTCAAGACCAGCGTGAATGGGCAGATCCGGCAGAAGGGCAATACCGACAACATGATCTTTGACGTGGTCACGATTCTGAAGCATATGAGTCGAGGGACCACTCTCAAAAAGGGGAGCGTCATCATGACCGGGACTCCGGAGTATGTTCGCCCTGTCGCGCAGTGACTTCAAAAAAAACTACAAGTTTGTGGACTAACGCGTGAGAATCATAGTGGTGTCGCTGCTTGCGCTACCCCTCAGGTCTATTTGAAGGCCGATGATCTGGTTGAGGTGGAAATTGAGAAGATTGGGAAGATTGGTAACAAGATGGTCTATTGATGAGGAGATTGGAGGAGATGGCGAGCTTGTCAGGCGAGTATTGACGGGTATTTTGTCCCAAAGCAGCTTCGACGAAGAAAAAAAAACCCCCCTGGACATGGGGTGGTTGATCTGTATTTTGCTGGTCAAAGAGGATGAGGAGAGGCTGCTACGGTCACCAAGACCAAGTTCTGTACTGTCGTCCGGCATTCGAAAGAACTGTACCGTGTCTCGCCCTGCCATCTTTGCCCCTCGTATACTCTACTGTTCGAGTCATGACACAGAGCGCCCTTGGGACGTCCGCCTCCGTCTCCGTCTCCATTGCTGCTCTCGGGATAGCGGTCTGGAACTTCGGACCGAAGGGAGGGTAGAGCCACTTGGTTCCGTGGACAGTAGTTCTCATATGGATGCTGTAAGCCCATGCTTCTTAGACAAGAGCCTCAGGCCTTGCCCACCACCCTTCACCCTCTCAAACCTCGTATTGTTAGTCTGTCAACCCTCCTCCAATGGCACCAAAACCGACCTACGTGCCTCCTCCAGGCCTGCGAACACAGTTGGACGACTTTAAGGATGTCGTGAACCGCAAATATGGCCTGCACCTTGGTAAGGATCTCACCTTGATATGCCTTCCACTCCATTCCCAGCTCTTTCGCTGATGGTGTCCTGCATCAGAAAGCTATGCCGACTTGCATCGATTCTCGGTGACGCGGCTGAACGATTTCTGGATGACGGTCTGGGAGTTTGCGGGCGTCAAAGCATCCGTCCACCCTTCCAAGGTGAGAGCAACTCCCGAGTGACAAGAGACAGGAATTCAGAGAAAAAACTAGGCGATAGAGGATGACAATGCTGTCATTGACGAGTTCCCGAGTTTCTTCAAAGGCGCTCGATTGAACCTGGCCGAGAATCTCCTGGATCCCAAGTTCCATGGCCTGGCCGTCGTCGGCATGAACGAGAGCAACTTCTCGTCGCCGGACGAGTATTCATGGCATGACCTTCGGGAACTCGTGAGACACTATGCCGCCGCTCTCAAATCATCTGGCCTTCAGAAACAGGAAGTCGTGGCGTGTGAGTAGTAACAAACCCCCACAAGCATTGCCCCCCCCTTACCTCGATATCAAATGATCACACCATGCTCACTTACTTTCTTGAGGAGAACAGTGGTTGGTTCCAACTGTATCCGATCGCTCGCATTGCTCCTCGCTACCACCGCGTTAGGGGGCATTTTTGCCTCGTTCGCAACCGACATGGGCTCCAAGGTTTGTTACAACCCAAATACCAAATCGATAAAAAAAGAGTAACAAACGAGGATCCCATAGCTACTGAGTGACCGGCTTCAATTGTTGCAACCGCGTCTTCTGTTTGCCGAGTCGACGTATGTGTACAATGGCAAATGCCATGATATATCTGACAAGCTCGATCTGTCGATACAGCATCTTCAAGAAGGCGGCAGGAATAGGACCATCATCATCATCGGTCCCAGACAGGGCCTCAAGTCGGAAACGTCAGTTCCCCTATCATCAATCTCATGTCGATGACAGTTTGACTGAGCGTCTAGCCTGCCCTTTGAGGATTTCCTGGCCCGTGACACCGGTGCACGGCTGGACTTTGTCCAAGTCCCCTTCAACACTCCCGCCGTCATCATGTTCTCGTCTGGAACGACGGGGACTCCAAAGGGCATTGTCCACTCACACGGGGTAAAACATCCCGTGGCTTCTCCTCCTCTTTGGGTGGCTTCACCCACCAAGCCGGAGACTGAAAGTCAAAGCTGACATCTCCCCCCAAGGGTCTCGTCGTGAACGGTCGGAAAGAATATAATCTGCACAACAACTTTGGCCCTGGCGATTTGTTCTATCAGTACACGAACGTGAGTGTTGTTGCCATCCCACCAGGATCTAGACTTGCTAACCTCCCTCCCCGGGGCAGATTGGGTGGACCTTGTGGAATATCTCGGTCCACGCGCTGTTTGTCGGCGCGGCCGTCATCTTGTACGACGGCAGTCCGTTCTACCCATCGCCTGAAGGGTTCTTGAAGGCGTTGTTTCGTCTCAAGTAAGCCCCCAAACGGCATCACTGTGATTGATTCGCGAAGAAAACAGATACTGACGACAGCTAGGGTTACATGCTTTGGCGCCGGTCCTCGTTACTACGCCGAGCTTCAAAAAGCCTCGGTGAAGCCAAGTCAGTCTTCTTGTTTCTTTGCACAGTGCTCGCGGGGACAACGAGCAGTGTCGGAGATATCATCTCTTTTGTCACAAGACCATTTTTTGACCCTTTGCAGGAAACTATTGTCGGAGCCTTCACTCCATCATCTCCACTGGAGCCGTCCTCACCCCCGCCCTTGCAGAATGGCTCGTCGAAGCGTTCGGCCCCGTCTGCCAGCTCTGCATGTCCGGCGGCACCGAGATCTCCGGCTCATTCCTGCAAGGGTCCCGCTCTCTCCCGTCGTACGCGGGAGAGTTGGCGGTGAGGGGCCTCGGCATGGACGTGGCAGTGTTTGGCGTCGACGGCCGAGAACTGCCCGACGGCGAGAGCGGCGAGTTGGTCTGTCGGAAACCGTTTCCCAACATGCCGGCCATGTTCTGGGACGACCCTGGCCGGAAGAGGTACCACGCCTCCTACTTTGAGCGGTTCCCACGTAAGGACTCCGAAAAGCATTAAATGTGCAGAAACTCACATTGCCATAATATGTGTTAGATGTGTGGACACACGGCGATTTCATCCGCGTCAACCCTGCGACAAAAGGCATCTATGTCCTTGGCCGAAGGTGAGTGCTGCCCTACCTACCGGACAACAGTCACAGCGAAGAGACCTCGTCCCCCCTACTGACGGGTTGTTGCCCGGATGTACACACACAGTGACGGGGTCCTCAACCCCTCCGGCGTGCGCTTCGGCAGCGCTGAGATCTACAATCTCCTCGGCTCGCCCCGGTTCCGCGATTCGATCGCCGACGCCCTGGTCGTCGGACAGCAGCGTCTCTCAGCCCCCTACGCGGACTCGGCCGAGAAAGTCGTGTTGTTCATCAAATGCCACGCGGCGGCATCGACGGGCTCACCCCCCCGGGTCCGCGCGGACCTCGACGCCGCCATCCGCGCGCAGATCGCGCGGGACCTGAGTCGGCGACACGTGCCGACGCACATCTTCGAGACCGACGTCGTGCCCTACAACGCCAACGGGAAGAAACTCGAGATCCAGGTCAAGGCCGTCCTGTGCGAAGGGGAGGCCGCTCTGCGCAGGCTGAAGCTCACGGCGGACGAGGTCCGGCAGCTGCGTGTCTACGTGCCCTTTTATCAGATGGAGAAGGTCGTCGCGCAGCTTTCCCAGCAAGTCGGCACGGGGGCGAAATTGTGAGAGCTTGGTCGGGTGTTGTGGTTGATGGATTCTTGAACTCGAAAGCGCACGAGATACTCGCAGTTCTGACTAGACAAGAGCCTGGCAAAGACAGAAAGCATTTCATTGGCTGTAACAGTGGCTGCCTCCTGATAAGGTATAGTCTCTCACAGTGTCGTGGTAACGGCTAGTGCCGATGGTGGCTAGCTTATTTCCGCAAATGGTCTAGTCTGAGTGTCTGCAATACTTATTACCAGCATTCCCCATTAGTACTGAGTACGTAGGTAGCGACTGTACTTGTACGAGCACAGTACAGCAGTTACGGACTGAACAATTGGCAACGCTGGAGTCTTCGAATTAAGGCTAAGCGTGGCCGAGAAAATGAATTTTCTCATTTACTACAAGACTTTCATCCATTCTTGCGTTCAGCTAGAGATGGAATCAATGGAATCAACAAAAAGTTCCTGACGAAAACCACTACCAGGGTATTGTCGAGAGCCACTGTACCAAATTCAACCACCTTATCCCGTCTCTCGAGAGCAGACTTGCAACATCAAACGCGCATCTACGTCTCTGTTTTAGTGTGTCGATCCCGCTTCGCATGCAGCTCTTCGACCGGCGCATCGACCCGATAGTTCATCGTCTTCTTCAGGTCGCCGAGGAACAAGCACGCGATGCTGCCCACGAGACCAATTGGAGCGGCGATGATGAACACCACCCGGATCGAGTCCGCGTAGGCCTGCTGCAAGGCGCTGAAGCCTTGGGCAATGATTTCCGGGGTGGCACCTGGGACGGTGGCCAGCGTGGCGGTCTGACCTGTCGTCAGTGCTTCGAGGAAGGCTGGGATCGAAGGATCGGGAAGTCCAGAGGCTTGGGACGCGGCTATGATATACTTGGGCAGGTAGTGCTTGAGTCGTGTGTTGAAAGCGGCCGTGAAGATGGCGGTGAAGATGGCGACGCCGATGGCGCGTGCAGTTGTCGTTACCGCCGAGGCGGTCGCCAGGACTTTATGTGGGACGACCAGCTGTGCGCCACTGACGGTGAGAACGAGAGGCGCTCCGAAGCCGACACCGGCGACACAAGCAAAGGCAATGGCGTTGGTCGATTGACCTGGTTGGACAGTCGCAAGCCCTACCATGCCTGCCGTCATGATCACGTTGCCGACCAGCAATGGCTCTCGAATCGTGCGAAAGTGAGTACTGGCGTAGCCCCAAAGAACGGTCGAAAGTAGTGCTGGGATCCAAGCCGCCTGGGATCGAAGAACGACGAGAATAGGATCGGTTGTGAAGAGGATTTGAGACCTGTATACCACAAGAGTCAGCCGCTGAAAGTCCTTCTACAACAAGGCAAGGGACTTACATGATAGGATAGAAAATAGCAAAGGCGAATATACACAGGCCTTCCACAAAGATGAGGAATGTGCATAAGATGAATGTCCTCGCGTTTGCCTTGCCCGCGCCGAAGAGATCGTGGTGCACAATGCCAGTCGTAGTGCCCTTCCACTCGTAGAGGCCGAAAGCGACGAGGCCCAAAATCCCAATGATCAACGGAGAAAGAGTGCGGGCGTCGACCCAGGTATACTGGCCGCCTCCTAGGCTTGTACCTGTGAGGAACAGGGTGAGCCCGACCATCAGGATGCCGCATCCGACAAGGTCAAGACGTCTGATTTTGTGCCACCAGGGGAGGTTGTCCAGCTCCGTGTGTCGCTTGGGAGGTCGATATGCGAACAGGACTGAAACCACGTTGGTGCCCCATAAGGCCGCCTGAAACCACTGGTGACATCGAGTGTCAAGTCAATGATATGTGCTATGTCTGTGAAACTGCATCTTTCCAGACTTACATAGAAGTCACGCCAACCGCTGTGCGTATCGCGTTTGATGAGTGCTCCGATGGTCAACGGGCCTACAACCGTGGCGAGGAGCGCCGAGGCGTTCATTGCCGCTTGGGCCACTGAGGGCGATCATCAGTTAAAAATTTGACCATGACCAGGTAAACAAAAGCGTCAAGATACGTTCGACTCACTGGGTCGCCATCGACGAGGGAGGATTTCCGCAGGCACAGCATACCCCAGAGGGACTGCTGCAAAGCCAAACCCGATCAAGATGCTCGCTCCAATCAGTCGGTAGATATTTTCTGACCCGGGAGCAATGCATGCCCCGATGAAAGCGAGGGCGCAAGTGCCCACGAGGAGGAGCTTTCGGGCCTGGAAGGCATCGGATGCGGTGGACAGGATAGGTCCTACTACCGCCTGGACCAGTGACAGAGCATTGACGACCCAGGTCTGGGTGGTGGTGTTGTGCAAATCCGTTCCGATGTAGGTCAACTGGTGGATAGAAAGCACTTGTCAAAGCCTGACACGGTATACCCGGGGGGTGTTCACGTACCACTGCCGGAGGGCCCTGAAGCGCCAGGACCTGAGTGAAAACCAACACGTTCATCGCGGCGAGGGCGATCCAAGTCCGTGCGTGAAGCTCGGGTTCAGCCTCTTCCTCATCAAAAGTGAGATTGACTTGGTGCTGCTCGGAATACTCCTCCTCCTCGAGCTCAAATTCGTTCTGCGATTTGGAGTCGGTGGCAATCCGGGTGGGGATCGCACCAGTATGAGGGCCTGTAGACTCCGTAGTACCACTGTGAGCAGCCATTGTGGGGAAAGACTGTAATGCAGAGCGACTCGGATGAGAACTGGGGGTGCCCAAGGTGGATATGCAGGAGTAAATACTCGTCCATGCTTAGTAGAGAATCCGGGGTACGGGGTACGGGGTGCTGTTCGGTGTCTGGAGCTCGGTCCGTCATCGTATACGAATAAATCCAGAGGAAGGCAACACGGCTCTACACAAGTTCTATCGGCCCGACAGCAGACCAGACTTGTACAGAGTATAGTTCCAAATGCGCTAGTCCCCAAGGACTATAGTCCTCACTATGGATGGACCCACTGACTATCACGATAGGTATAGGGTAGATTTATCAAGACTCCAAGCTAGAACTACAAGTATGGTCAAGGCAACCCTGCGGTCCGAGATCAACGAGACTCAAGTTGACGACATTCGGCCTTGACCCAACACCAGCTGAGAAGGCCATTTTATTACTGAACTGGTCTCCCGCTTCGCCCGCACCACCACCACCACAGCTGTTCTGCAGCGCTGCCGTTGAAGAAGTATAGGAATTTTATTCATCATGGTCGCCGTGCCCTTTCCCGTGGAGATTCCCGAGGCCAGCCCTTTCGGTCCACAGAACATACCATTTGGGATTTTCAGTACACCGCAGGGTGTTGGTCTTGGAGTTAGTATCTCAATCCACCGTCTTCTTCATAAAAAAACCTACTGATGCGCCTTGTAATTCGATTGATTAGACCAAACCACGCGCTGGAGTGGCGCTTGGAGACTATGTCATCGAACTCCATGAGCTGGCTCGACACGGCGTGTTCGATACGCACCAAAATACTTCAAGGATCTTGAGACAGGTCTTCCTCGAGGTGACTGTGGACATTCCGTTCTTCAGCTCTAGGTCAGAGCCATCCTAATACCTATCACCAGTCCACGCTGAACTCGTTCGCGGCATTGGAAGCCGGTGAAAGGAGATGGGTCCGACAGACAATCATCGAGAATGTCACAAGCGAAAAGTCAGTCCTCTTTACGGATCCAGGCCTGAACGAGAAAGCCTTTGTGTTGGCCCGTGACACGCAAATGCACTTACCCATGGACATCACCGACTACACCGACTCGTTTTCGTCTCTCATTCACGCTGAAAATGTAAGCCTGCCCAATCTCCATTCTCCAAATATCGTCCACTCACGCTCTCTAACGCGTCCCCAGTCTCTGAAACCTCTGGGACTCGACCTACCGCCGGCGTTCAAGCTCTATCCACTTGGATACAATGGCCGTTGCTCCTCCATCTTCCCGTCCGGCCACCAGATCCATCGGCCCAGTGGATTTTTCATCAAAGAAGGCGACACCCAGCCGGCTTTCCAGATCTCACGAAAGATGGACTTTGAGATCGAGCTCGGGGCCTTTATTTCCAAGCCGGTCCCCCACGGACAGACAATCGACGCAAAGACCGCGGCAGATCATATCTTCGGCTATGTCCTCCACAACGACTGGTCGGCCAGAGACATTCAGCCGTATGAGATGCCTCCGCTGGGGCCGATGCATTCCAAGGGCTTTGTCACCACCATCTCGCCCTGGATTGTGACTGTGGATGCGCTAGCAAGTTGTTGCACTGGCCCGCCGACATCCAACGCAACTCCGATCCATTCGTCGCTCGTGACTGACGAGGCGAGTCACGGCGTTTATGACATTGAATTTACAGCTTCGGTGGCTCGTAAGTTATGTCCTGATTTCCTCTGGTTCGAAAGCGAAAATGCTCAACTGTCGCAAATAGGTTGCGGCAATAGCCCCGTCGAGATTGTTCGGTCCAACTACCGCCACTCGTACTGGAGCGTTCCACAAATGATAGCATACCAATCTTCCGGGGGATGGGGCATCAACACCGGTGATCTGGTAGCCAGTGGAACCGTCTCGTCTCCAGCGCCAGAGATCAAGAAAGGACTCGGCTCGTACGGATGTCTCCTAGAGTGCTTTGCGCAGCAACACGAGTTGCCTGCGGTGGGCGGCAAGTCCATGTCCTGGCTCGAGGACGGCGATGAACTCGCCATCCAGGGCTGGTTCAGGACGGCTGACGGTAGGAGGTGTGGGTTTGGCAAAGTGTCGGGCGTCGTGGTCCCGGGTCCTTCGTGGCCCTCGTAGAAAATAGACCTGGAACTGGTTGGTTATCAAGGAATCACCACGACACCATCACGGTCGAGCAAGCCTTGCTTGCTTGCCCACTCTAGCCTGTATTTCGGGGTTGGCATTGAAATATCATTGAATGAGGCGAGCGAGCGACAATTGGTCCTGTGGTCGGCATTGGAATGCTTGTTTTCAACATGGTTACCGAATTGGCCGAGGTCAAGCTGCGTTCTTTTACCAGCCTTACAACCCTTGAAAATCGAACCACGTTATATACGAGGTATGGTTGTTTGAAGGACTCGGTTATGGTGAATCCATGTCTGTCTCGCAGAGAGTTGTCTTGGTGTCAAGAAAAGAACAGAGAGAGGGTCCGTAGCTCGCTTGATCTCCATGAATCTGTCTTGAGGTCTGGCTATACAGATACAAAGTCAGCGAAGAATTCCTCTGAGAAATATTAGAAGCAGCTCGGACCTGAAATCTCTCATAGACCCAATCTCTCCGATCGCGAAGCCAATACAACAAGATCGAGGCGTTGAAATGGCGCCACCCAGAGTCTTGTTGACAGGTGCCAACGGGTTCATCGGAGGTCATCTCCTGTCCTTTTTCTTGGAGAAATCATGCTCCGTACAAGCTGTGGTTCGATCCGAAGCCAAAGCGGAGAGAGTCACGAAGGACTTCCCCGGCTACGACAGATCGAGGCTCGACTTCTCCATCGTGCCCGACATCACGGCGCCGGGGGCCTTTGACCAGTGCATCAAGGACGCTCAGCCCCTCGACGCCATCATCCACGCCGCTTCCCCGTTCAACTTCGCCGCGGCCAAGTCACCTGGTGATTTCATCGACCCGGCAATCAATGGCACGACGGAAATCCTGAAGTCGGCCGCAAAGTACGCGCCCGGGCTCAAACGACTGGTCATCACAAGTAGTTTTGCAGCCATCGGGAACCCACTGGATCTCCAAGGAAACGGGAGAGTGTATTCCTCCGAGTCCTGGAACCCTGTGACCAAAGAACAGGGATACTCGAGCGATGTGAGCCTGGCGTATTGGGCGAGCAAGACCCTGGCAGAGCGGGCAGGTGAGTCGAGCAAGTCTGTCAAAGCGTGATCTTCTGTCGTCGTTGTCAACGTCCTGACTGACTTTGCACGCAGCTTGGGAATTCGTCACGACGGAGAAACCAGGCTTTGAGCTCGTCGTCCTCAACCCGCCCATCGTGTACGGTCCCCTCAGGCACAGCATTGATTCCATGAGCGATCTGAACACGTCAAACGCGATTCTTTGGAGGCTCATGAATGTCGGAAAAGGCGCTCCTGTCCCAGATGACTCTCTGCATATCTCTGCCGATGTCCGGGTAAGTCACGACAATCTGCCTCATCTATCCATGGCTCAGCGCTCGGCTAATTTGTCTGTTTCTGCAGGACTTGTCGTTGGCACATTATCAAGCGGCCTTTGCTCCCGGGGTTGGAGGCCGGAGATTTCTCATCACTCCTGGCTGTAATAGCAACCAGGAAATCTGCGACATTTTGAGAAGGGAATTTCCGGAGCTCGACGAGAAGATCCCTCCGGGGAATCCAGGCCAGCATGCCTTGCCTGCGGGCTCGTTCAAGGTCGACAATTCGTCGTCGCGAGAGGTGCTGGGTGTGGCGTATCGGCCGTTGGAAACGACTGTCGTGGATACTGCAAGGAGTTTGTTGAAGGTGGCAAAGACATTGAAGGCAAAGGTGTGAGATGGGGGACAATCGACATCTACGTGAATTGCAGGTGACGATAGTAGTAACATTGAGCTGAGGATAGCGAAACAAAACAATACATTTAGACCCCGTCCCAATTCTTCCCACGGATTCACATCGTGTCCATGTCGCACTACTGAACAAATCGACCTCGACTGCCGAAAGCGAGTGCTGCCCATCCGGCAATCAAGCACATACCCCCAAGGGGAGTCACGGGGCCGAAAGCCTTGAATCGCTGGGGATCCAGAACGAGCAGGTAAAGGCTCCCGCTAAACATTGTCATCCCAGCGGTGAAAAGGGTGGCGGCGACCTGGGGGAAGAGGAGATTTTAGAATTAAGAAACCCATAAAAGAGCGCGGATACTACCTTGTTCTTTGGAGCCACTGCTGCCGTCAGGAGGAGGACTCCACTGTGGATTAACTGCGTTGGAGGAATAACGTTAGAAAGTGATTGTGACCTTTTTCTTCTCTGTCATCCTCGACGAAATTACCTGGTATTGAGCAGCGGTCGACCAGTTTGCGAGCCTTGCCGGGTCACTGATGTGTCTTTTCAGCCCATGGGCTCCAAACGCGCCAAAGATAACCGAGGAGGCGCCGTAGATGCAGCCGATGGTCCAGAACATTGTGGAGAGCGATGAATCAAGTGACCAGGAGAGGCCAAAGCAGCTTCGGAAGGCAAGCAAACAATACCCGGCAGAAGATGACCAGAGAGTCGCAGTCAAAGTGGCACAGTGATGATGACCAGTGAGCAGAAAGTGTGTGGCGTGTTCCTCTCGGTCACGGTACAACACACTTTTTTTGCCAGGTTTGGAGAGTTTGCCGAGTTTGCAGCATTTGCATTTCCGGCACCAGCATTCACCGAGAGACATGATCCACCGTTTCAGCGAGATCCAGATTCGCCATTCTCATACAAACAAGAGCAGCAATCGAGGAGAAAGTTTGGTGTCTGCTCTATTATTGGAACAAGCTGTGTTAGCACCTGATCTGCATGGCCGGAGCTGGCACAAGACACTATCAGAAGAACTCCCATCCGCGACTGAGTTGACGCCTTGCACGAGGAGATTGTGTGCGGTAGCTTGACCCCATTGAATGGACCTTGTGTCGGTTCGCAATGCTTCCTTTCTCGAGCCTTTTGCCCCTAACAATCGTCACGATTACTATGAGAACCTTTCCGGCTGTTGTGACATTCATCGCTGTTAGATTAGCGAAAGCCACGTGTGGTTCGTAGTAGAGACGGAGGGATCAGGAGAGTGCAGATCCTCCTGACTAGGTGCTTAGGGGACACCTACGTTATGAAGAGACTCCGTCTTCATGAATGCTATTATTCCGACAACGTGCGCAGAGAAGATGGCTGGTATCGCAGGTGGACAATGCCACGAGAGTTGACAGGAACAGCACGGACGTATGTACATAGTGGACACAATGATAAGCCCGTGGGGATGATGACCAACCTAGTGTCGCTAGTGGACCGATGGTGGGTGTGAGGATCAGCGTCCAAGTGCTTTTGGGATGGAGAAAAGAGGACCAGGCTGAATGGGAGGCTCCATCTCTGCCTCCTTGCTGCAATAGCGGATCCCGGTAGTAGGAAACGGGGGATTCGGCGTTGCACCAACTGATGACCATCTCTAGCCCATATTAGACGCGGCCGGCCAATTTCTCTTTTGCCAGAGTTGTTCTCGCTTCCCAATTTTGTCCCCAGTTCTCAGGCGGGTTTCTGCATGTTGGATTGGCAACTTCATATCCCTGGTCTGCCTGGGCTGAGGCGCCGGTGCGCCTCTCCGGAGCTTGAGGGCCACCCGGCACTCTTCCCCCGGCTTGCTCAATGTAGGACTAACGTAGCAATGGTCGCCACCATGAGAGCCAGTAGCAGTGAAGACCAGCCGAGGGGGAGAGGTATCGTTCACTAGGATCTCGTTTAGGAGAATTTGACATGTTTTTTTCTCCCACTCTCTTTTTTTTTGCTTGCCTATGTTTCTCGGCCGTGTGCGAGACCCCCTATGTGCTGCATTCGAGATGGTTGACCATCAAGGCTAGATCGGGCGGGGGGGAGGAAGTCCCCATCAATGGAACGGTATAGGTAGATGGTGACAGCGACGATCTGTGACCTGTGCTTGTAGAGCCGAACAAGATGGTGCACCTGACCCGAAGCCGAGTGATTGGATGGTGGTGATGGTTGGTGGTTGATGTTTGAAGTTCGTGGATTGTGTGTCCCTTTGTCACTCCTCGTACCGGTAGCAAGACCCTCGTCCTCGTCTTTCGGGACTGTTCAATCCCTGCCTTGAGTTCGCCAATTGAAACTGTCCGTAGTGGGCAAAGAACAGGGGAGTCCAACCCCCCGAACCGACACAAATCCCCACTTGGAGTTTAACGAACCAGACACCAAGAATCAAGAGTCAAAGGACCCCCCCTGGTGCCCCGAGCCCCAAGAAGCCAGACCCGGACCTCCCAACTGTGGCCTCCATTCCTTCTGCACGCCTTCCCCCAAGGACTGCCCTTTTTCAATTCTGTGACCCGACCTCACCACCACCAACGCCCTCGATTTCTACCACTTCCTCGTCGACAACTTTTCGCCGCTCTGCAGGCAGTCAATTGCTTCGTCTCCTCTCCAAAAATCCCATCCCGATTTGCCTCCCTCTCGCCGTCGAACCTGACTGCACTCTGCCGCAATCCCGAACTCTCCCAATCGCAGCTCTAGTGGCCCCCCCCGTATTTTATCCACCTCGTCCCTGATACCTCGCTCCTCGGAGCTCCTGCGCTCGTTCATCGCGAATCTTGCCTCGACACTGATCAGACTTCTATCTTGCTGTGCGCGTCGCTCTGGCGAAGCTGAGCTTTTGACGGCTGACTTCCTCGCGAATAACCCCCTGTAACCCTGGTCCGACGAGGGCCCGAGCGGCACCATGTCGACCGACCTGACGGGAGAGCAAATGCAGGCCAAAATCACAGCTGCCAGGAGAGAAGCAGAGGGCCTCAAAGACAGAATTAAACGCAAGAAGGATGACCTGGCTGATACAAGCTGTAAGTCGATGGACCTGTGCATTGAATTCCCATCAGGCGCAGCCTACTTGCCCACCACTTTCTAGATTGCTAATCAATCGTGTTTCGGGCAGTGCGACAAGTCGCCCTCAACAACACAGAGGCCTTACCTCGGATAGGCATGAAGCCTCGAAGAAATCTCAAGGGCCATCTCGCCAAAATCTACGCCATGCACTGGTCAACAGATCGCAGGCATCTGGTGTCGGCGTCTCAGGATGGCAAGCTCATCATCTGGGATGCATACACCACTAACAAGGTCCACGCCATTCCCCTCCGTTCCTCGTGGGTCATGACCTGCGCATATGCCCCTAGTGGTAATTACGTCGCCTGCGGTGGTCTCGACAACATTTGCTCAATTTACAATCTCTCCACGAGGGAAGGCCCGACGCGTGTGGCTCGCGAACTGTCTGGTCACTCTGGATACTTGTCATGCTGTCGTTTTGTCAATGACCGAAAGATCATCACTTCGTCCGGTGACATGACCTGCATGATGTGGGATATCGAAACCGGTTCCAAAGTAACAGAGTTTGCAGATCATTTGGGGGACGTGATGAGCATCAGCATAAATCCAACCAACGCCAACATATTCGTGAGCGGCGCCTGCGACGCTTTTGCCAAGTTATGGGACGTCCGAACCGGGAAAGCCGTTCAAACGTTTGCTGGACATGAATCTGACATTAATGCCATTCAATTCTTCCCAGATGGAAATGCATTTGGAACTGGCTCGGACGACGCCTCCTGCAGACTGTTCGACATTCGGGCAGATCGAGAACTGATGTCTTATCAGGTAAATTTTTGGACCCCAACGCTGTTCTGTTACCGCGAATTGGCTGACCTCTGTCATAGAACGAACAAGTACTTTGCGGTATCACGTCTGTCGCTTTCTCAGTTTCTGGCCGGTTACTCTTTGCTGGGTATGATGACTTTGAATGCAAGGTAAGCCCCGTCCGAGCAGCACCTTTTGCTTGAAACCACTGACGTGAATTCGAGGTCTGGGACACTTTGCGTGGTGATAAAGTCGGATCATTGAACGGTCACGAAAACCGGGTCAGTTGCCTTGGAGTCAGCAACGACGGGATCAGTTTATGTACTGGCTCTTGGGATTCTCTAGTAAGTCATCATTGATCTTTATTAACCAGTCTGAAGAACTCAACTGACCCATTGCTTGTAGCTCAAAATCTGGGCATGGTAGATATGGCTTTGGGAGGAGGATATACTTTTTTCCAACAGCGGCAATTTGACTCAAATGTCATCCTCGAAGGGGCGGGCACCATCAACCAAATCACCTTTTTCCTTGTCAACGATCGTATCGACAGCTTCTGACGGGTTCCCTTTTCTCACCCCCCAAACTTGACCGTTACGCAAACCTGAGGGCTCATTTGATTTCTCACACGACTCCTTCGAAACCTTTTACTGGATAGGCTTTTCTTGTGTGTGGACTCTTTCACAGGACTGGAGGAGGGTTTGCCGGTTTGCTTCTGTTGTCCTCCAAGGCATTGGCGCAAGACACGCTGCGCACGTTGTTTCCTATCCACGACTCTTATGACCGGACATTGGTGCAAGTGGAGTTCATCATTGTTCTCCTGTTTCGTGTCTAATTTTGACAAGCACGGTTTCTCGAGCACCTCTTGTTTGCCTCAATACAACTGAACAGAATGTCAGCCTCGTTCGCAGATCCGGCGAGCGAAGTGCAGAGCAGAAAGAAAAAAAGGGGGGAAATCCCAAAATGTGAAACCTGGATATCGACAGCCTCATTCCCTTATTCATGTGCGTGCGTTGTCTTCCCAGGATGACTGGGGAGGCCGAAATGAATTATGTGGAAGGGAGTGGAAGCGAGGCACAAGCCCAAGATGCGATGTTATAGAGATGCTGAAAAGGCGATTCAGCAGCAATGGGGAAAGCACGCGACCATTAAAAAAAGTTCTCGAGTCTCAAATGTTTTTTTGTGTGTGTGAATGCGAATCGATCACAGCGAGTTCCAGGGTCTTTTTTTTTTCTTGCTCGAATTGCAACGGGAAAGGGATGAAGGCAAGGGCAAGGGCAAGGGCATGGGGCAGGGGCAAGGAAATGGGCACGAGGGAGTCTATCTGTCTGTCTGTCTGTCTGTTCTGTCCGGTCCGGTCCGTCTATCAAATCAGTGTTTTTGGTCCGTGCTTTTTCTGCTAATTGGGGGGAGGGTTGGGGGAGAGAGAGAGCCTCCTTTGCCGAAATTCCATCTTCAATCTTCAATCTTCAGTCTTCAGTCTTCAGTATCCGTGTCCGTGTCCGTCTCTGTCTCTGTTTCATGGCTCGTGGCTCGTGGCTCGTGTCTTATCTACTCAACCACGTGTCTTGTTTCTTCACCTCTTAGCACGACACGACAGGGCAGAGGAGGACAGGGTAGCGCACGGTTCCGGCCGGTCGGTGATTCCCCTGTCCGTGTTCTCACGGTTCGTGGTTCCATCACCATCTATCCCCCCATCCCATGGACATCCGCGGGGCGGTGTTTCTGACCTTGGGAACTTGGGAGGCCTTCAGTGAAGGATGAAAACAGTACGGGGTACGAGGTACCGAGTACATCTCCATGCTCTCTCCCTCCCTATCTCTGTGTGTGTGTTTTGGTGGGACGGGCAGAACGATTTGCCGGCCACGCTCTCCGAATCTCTCTAGAGTGCCTCACACATGACATTATGTACGAGGTACTCGGTACGCGGACTGGCTATAGAGTGTTCAATCATACACTCGTCACAGTACTTACTGGAACAGGGACAGGAACAAGACTATTCATGCTTCAAGATTGAATTGCTGCTGTAGTTGTATATCTGTACCAAGTACACGCCATTTCCACCCGCTTGCTCCACAGACCTCCGAACCAGACTCGAGAATCAAAGGCCCTGCAAACCATAGAATCAAGTATAGAAAATGTGCCCCCAATGAGTCCCAATGCACCCGGTGCTGTCCACGGCATGGAGTGGACAGAGCCTCGAGAAGATGCTACTATATCTCCCCTTCGTGTTGCCCGGATCTCGCTCTGTGAGTATCGTCCCAATAGATGGGAAGGTCTCTCGCAGGGAGCTTTCCGAATCGCCGACTCGGTTACCTAGGGCTTGATTCATCCAACCCGTCATCAATTCCTTCCAAACCATCCACCGGGGACTGGTCATGAGCTACCCCAAATCATCCTCTAACAAGCGCATCCATCTCTCTCTTGATCAAGGTTGATATTGATCGGATCCGAAAAGTCACCACCATATTCCTCGCTCTCCTCTTGTGTCAGCGCGTTTCTGGCAATAACTTCAAACGCCTGTTCCACGTTGATGCTCTCCTTTGCACTGGTCTCAAAATATGGCATTTGTCCACGACTCTGGCAGTAGGCATGTGCTCTCTTTTGCGACACCATCCTCCGCTCCTCACCCAGGTCGATCTTATTCCCCAATACCACAAAAGGGAATGACTCGGGGTCGCGGGGAGAAGCTTGGATGAGGAATTCGTCGCGCCAGGAATCGAGGGTCTCGAATGACTTTGCAGAGTTGACGTCGTAGACGAGGACACAGCAATCTGCTCCCCGGTAGAACGCCACGCCGAGCGACTGAAACCTTTCCTGACCAGCGGTATCCCAGATCTGGAGCGTCACGATCCGATCATCGACGGTGACTTCTTTGGTCAGGAAGTCGGCGCCGATCGTGGCTTTGTAGGAGGTGGAGAATTTCTTGTTCACCTGCGGAATGGTCAGATCAGAAGGCTTCGTTTGAGGAAGTGAGGGCGTGGAGAGAGCGCCGTACATATTGGTTCATCAGACTAGTCTTGCCCACACCACTATCGCCTAGAATAATGACCTGCGCACACCCCAGGTCAGTTGCGTTGATTGAGATGCGATAAAGAGCTGCGCCGACGTGATTACCTTCAACAACACCTTCTTCCTCGACGCCATGGCTGCCCTGGATGTGTTTGTGACTTGTGCTGTCCCTGCGAACGTCGAGAAGAGCAGTGTCCTTGGACTGGTGTGACAGACGCTGCTGGGGCCGCTCGGTAGGATTTACGGCGTTGATCTGAGAGGTAGTTCGCCGGTGGAAAGTCACGCGATAGGTCGATTGTTGTTCCCGAGGTGTTACTTGTAGTGCAGAAGATGTGGCTGATGCCTGCGCTCTTTAAGTCGTCTGACCTGTGCAAGGCAACCGGGAGGTGGTGGATGTTGGGAGAAGGGTGTTTTGAAGCTTGGGAAGTTGAGATGGGGAATGGATGATGGAGGATGGAGGCCAGGAAGGGCAGCGACAGGTCGATCGGGAATCGTGGGTGCGTGGTGCGTGCAGTGGTTCTAGTGGGAGCCGTAGTGGTGGTTCAAGTCCCTCGTAGGCGCAGCTGTATCGTCTCGCCGTCATCCACTCTCCCTCGTCCAGTTCTCCCAGCCTCTCACACGCGGACTTGACGGCCCTTCCCTCCTCACTCCAACGTCCCAGCATCCGGAAGGTCTGCCGGGGATGAAATACCCCCGTCCAGGTCCACTACTCTCTGTCATGTTCTTTTGTCATTCCGTTTTGGAACGCTTTATGATTTCTGTTGGACGCGTTTCCTTGCCTATAGATTTCTCGTTCCCTTCCCAACTACGTCCACTCCTTTTCCCTTAGCTCTTGCTTTGAATGGATCGCCTCCAGAATGCCCCATGTTAGATGACTAGGTCAATCATGGCAACATGGAAAGAACAATATCTGGCAGCCTTGCAAGCCCGAGACAGCGTGGAAAAGGCCAACCTGCCGCTCTACGACTACTGCACCAAGCTGGCAGACGAGAGGGCCGAGTTGCAGAAAAAGGCCAGACTTGCTGAGAGGGCGTCGTCTTCTGAAAACACGCCTGCACCGGAGCCTGTCGCATCTCCAGGATGGGGCATAAGGAGAGTCACCTCCCCATCTGTTCAAGGGACCCGTCCGGACTCTCCTTCGGCAACATCCGCCACCCTGGCCCAGTTAAGGCAAGACCTTTCCAAAGCCCAAACTGAGCGTGCGGACCTGCAATCCCGCCTGGATACCACACTCCGCGAGCTCGAGGCGCTGAAAGGAAAGTCCAAAGCCGACACCAAGCGCATCACACAACTAAATGCCTCCATCTCCCAGCTGACTATCAAGCTGAGAGACCGCGATGAAGAATTACGTGGCAAGGCAAAGTTGATAGAGGATGTTCAGGACGAAAACGTCACGCTGAATTTAGAGCTCCACATGGCCGAGGAAAAAGCGCAAAGGTTTGAGGAGGACAATAAGGAACTCGTCGAGCGATTGATGGCGATCAAGGGCAAGGAGGCCGACATGATGAACGAAGAGGGCAAGTTTGGATGATTTGAGGACTCGATTACAAACCGACGTCTGCTTCTCTTCTACGACCCGGCCTGGGAACTGGGCCACAGATGTCTTGAAGAGGGCGAGCAGAATGCTGTGCCTCGCCCGCAGAATCCTCAGCGGTGTGTGAATCTTCGAGAGGCTCACAACCGCTGCTTCCTCCTAGCCTCGTCACAGGTATCGGGATGTCCACCAGGCCAGGTAAAAGAGACGGGCTATCTCTGAGACACACTTTGCCAGAGCACCTACAGAAACCCCAAAGAATGGTAGGTAACTCTCACCTGTACGTCTTGCTTGATTGGATCCGAGTCATTGACAACTGGATGATACAGGGTGACATTCTCAAGAGCCAGAAATGATTAAACGAGCGCTTGTTGAATTCAAGTACTATGCAAATGGCACCTGGCCATCAGTCAATCACACATCTAGCAGTGCTGTCATTTCATCCCCACATTGTCCCATGCATGGTGTCCTCGATAACCGGCGCTATGCAAGTTGTTCATCAAGTCGTTTCAAACTAAAGTAGATCGAAGACCATCCCAATGCCAGAATCATGCATCCTGCCGAGTGACAGCCCTCGTTCTCCGCGGAACCGTTCGCTTCTAACAGTTTTCGGATCCACCCATACACTCTACAAAGGCGTTCAGCTCCCGGGAGTCTTTGCGGTGGTGATACCATTTCCCCGGATCGTCTGACCAGCTGACCATGGAACTCCACCGTTCCTTCTCCACAACCGTCAACACATTGACAGGATCATTGACATTGGAATCCTTGATCTTGTGCGCTGGGGACCGGAAGGGCTTCAGGCTGACAATGTGGCATCCTTCCTTGAGGTCGAGGAAAACGTACTTGAGTTTGTCGTTCAACTCGGCGGTGAAGGCTTGGTTGTTCACCAGGACCACGTCTGCTCGCTTGAGGACTTGCCGGACTTGTTCGTTGGTGAGGAAGTTGCCGTGAATGAGGTGGACCTCGCCGGGCTTGATGCCCCAGAGCCGGCAGCGAGCTGGGAATTCGTCGCCCTGGAGCTGGGCCAAAATATTGGGGTTGTCCATGACTTCACATCCCCATGACTCGGCTCCAGTCTCCAGGGCGGCTTGAAGCACACAATTACCGACACCGGATCCAAGATCAATAAATACCTGATCGGACTTGAGGTTCGTCTCCTTGAATATGCGGCTGAGAAATTTGGGTAGAAGTTCGCCGTAAACATTGTCGGAAAAGCTTTCATAATGTCTCACCAGATTGACTTGGGGCGACACTGTCCGAGCGTAGATCTGGTTCTTGATGATATGCTCGACTAACCTGAGATCAACGCGGCGCATCTGATCCAGTTTCTTCGCGATCGTCCCATCCTTGCGCTTGTCAGCCACCAACGAGTTGAATGCCTCCACCACTTTGACATATTTTGACTGAGCTCCAACTCGGCCTCTCATTCCAAGGAGGGCTTGTCGATGAAGCTGTTGTACAAGTCCTGATCCATCATCGCTGGTGACTTTTTCTGCGGACTCATTGTCGAGGTAATACTCTGCCACGATTTTCATGGTTGCTTCGATTTCGTCAAGCGGCTTGAAATCAGAAGAGTCGGTAGGCTTGACCAACTGGTATTTCTCGCTCTGCAAAGAAGTTGGGTACTGGAGCTCGATCGTGGGGCACTCATCCTCATCCCCTTCCAAGGCTGTGAAGAATGCCTCATACTTGTCTCTTCCATGTTCTGTAAGGGTATTGTTTGCGATGTCGAACGCATGCACCATGTGAAAGCCGCTTCCATCCTCCTGAGAGAAGGCTGCGAGATCCCTAACTTTGCGCTTCTCGTCTATGCTGTCTTTGCGATCGAGGCGGATTCGCTTTCTAGGCTTGTCGCCCTCTTCTTCGCTCTCATCATCGGAGCTTGTTAATCTCGGCGTCGACACAGCAGGAGATGCTCTCTTCGTCCCATTTTGTCTTTCTTTCTTTATTCGTTCGGTCGGCTCTCCACTGCCCTGCCTGGAATGCACTGAAACTGGGGTGCTCGACTTCCGCGGCGCGCTTGTGATGCGGGCATGTCCATTGCTGAGACTTTTGCGGGAGAACGCAGGCTTGGTGGAAGCGACAGTTGGGACAGGTTTTGCGGCTGGCTTTGCAGCTGAGTTCACTGTGACAACCTTGGTGGCAATCTTGAGAGGGGCCTTTTTGGCCTTCAAGGCAGCGAATGACAAGGGTCGAGATTCGGCTGGCAGGGACCCCATGCTGAACGACAGCAGTGAGCAGAGACAAATACGCAGGAATAAACGCTATTATAAAAGAGCGTGGTTGAGATCAGATTGACATGGTGTATAAAAAGCAGGCGTGCAAAAGCACAATAAGTAACGAAGGGAGAAGATCACAGGCACACGACTTAGTGAGCGGGTAACAAACATGAAAAGAATGCGAGGTGAGGCGCACTCGGGTATCCTAATAGTACAAGGGACAAGGGACCAGGATGTACCTGCATGAGTTTTTCCGTTCAGCCTGGCCGCCTTGCGAGGCGAAAAGGGAATAGATCGGCAAATCATTGGGGCGGCTTGGCCTACGTCACTGCGTCTTTCAGCACAGGCATTTACATTTCAACGCAGGTTGCAGAGAAATTCAGAATCTACAACGACAGTTCGAGCAGCAGAGGCGAGATTTACTGGCACAATTATAACAACAAAAGAAGCATGAGTCAGAGCAACAGAGGGCATTGTTAATGGGGATACCATTGGAACCACAACAAAAGAAAGACTCTCGGCACCAGCGGAAAGACTCTAAGCAACAGCAAAGGAGCTCCTACAATTGCGCTGGCCTAACATAGAAAACTGCAGAACCGCATCTGAATCTTTAACTCGCCTTGAACCACTCATCCTCCGCAAGCTGCTTCGCCGTAGGCCTATCTCTGGGATCAAGCTTCATTATCTTGAGCAAAAAGGTCTTGTCTTCCTTGGACACCTCTCGCTCGGCAATACGTCCAAAAGGTTTCGTCTTCTCGGGTGGCACGCTGTCCATGACATAATCCAGGATGGCCAAAACTTCATCGTTCGCTATTTCTCCATAAGACGCTGGAAATGGTCCGAAAAATTGATGCTGCCTCATGAGAATCCTCAATTCGTACTCCTCATGGTCAGCAGGCACATCTGGTTTAAAGACAAACCAGTCATCGCCATAGATCAGCGCAATGAGCTGCACGCAGAGAGTCAGGTTATCAATTGTCAAGTATGCCCAGGATTCGGACTCACCATAGCACCAAAGGACCAAATGTCAGTTGGAGTTCCCCAACCGATTTGGAGCATTGCTTCAGGGCTTCGCCAGATTGGTGCCCCGATCATATCACAATCTCTTGCCCAAGGAGAATTGTCAGGAACAGTGTTTCCCAAATCACCCAACTGGACGTCCGTGAAACGATGATTTCCCTTTCCGTAGTTGACCAAGACATTATCTAACTTGATATCTATGTGAGACTCAGTGGCGTCCCTTGCAAGCTTGAGGATTTACAAACAACAGACCTGTGTGGACGTAATGCTCCTCGTGCAACAATTTTAGGGCCTCGAGGACACTTTTGGCGACATACTTGATTTCGGACTTGGTGAGCCGTTGGGATGCAGATGCTCTCCGGAGGTCGTCGTCGAGATGTCTTAGTACGAGTGCTGGAGTATCGGGAGGGTCATGTATCTCGTCGATCAGAGGCCGGAGAGAGGAAGTCCTGGCTTGAAAGCGTTTGAGAACTGCCCGCTCATTGTCGAGACGAAAGTGCCGAACGCTTTTGATAACAATGGTTTGCTCACTGTGGCTCCTACGAAATCAAAGTCAGTCGAGAGAACGGTGAGCGTCAAGACAACATACGTTGCCAGCCAAATGGATTCGTGTAGTTGCTTTTGGATTGTATATGTGCCGGCACTACCTCTCAGTAGTTGACCCAAACGAAACAGAGAAGCCATTGAGATTTCTGTAGAGAATACGAAATTCCGACTGGAACACGTCCTGGCTGCCTGGGCACCGGGAAAGTTTGCCTACCAATCTGCGGCCACTAAGACTAACTTTCATCCATCCCAACCAGACAACCAGAACATGCTTCTGTAGAAGTGTAGGCGCCGATGCAACCCATTACAACCCAGGAACAACGCACAACACCTGTTTCAGTAGCTATGAAGTGCGAATCCACTTGTAAAACGCTGACGTACCCTTATCGCCAGGTGACACCCCTTTTCAAACGAGCGCAAGGGCCGAAATCAAGGACTTAGAAGGAAAGAATGTTGACGGGAAGAGAGTTGGGAAGTGGACGCGGGTTCTTATAGACGTCAAAAGCAGCGGCGCGCCCAGCCCTGACCATACCCGAAACGGTAGGACCGCCTAAGCCGAAGGAGGATTTCCCGGCAACATGTTTACAGTGCAATTCGAAAGGGCAGTTACAAAGGACGAGACGCATATGAACATGTCATCGTCCCCCAGCATAGACTCCTATTCCTGGGCATTCCACACATAACCAGGCGTTCATTACTCGGGGGACGAGCTGTTGCGCCGCTTCGATCTTTCTTGCCCTTCCCAACGTCTCTGACCACCCCAGGCCTTCTTGTGCCGGTTGTTCCCTTGCCTACCGTCGAACCTCTTGTGACCATGATCTCTTTCTGATCGATCGCGGTTACCAGGCCTGTTCTCGCTGGAAGGGGCGGGATGAGTTTCCATCCATTTTTCCAACATGTCTACAATTTTCGGACCCCACACATCCTCGCCAGCCTCCAAATCGTCGTATGTAAGCGCAGGCACGAAGCCTTCTGGAGTAGGGTGAACACTTGTGTAGTCGCCTTGCTTACTTCGTACCAAGGCTGCCATCGTACCATAAGAACCGCATGCGATACCTAGATCATACGCAAATGAACGCACGTAGAAGCCACTGCTCACAGTGAGGCGGATGCGCGCCGCTGGGGCATTGGCGGGCTGAGCTTCTTGTGTCGGGAGATGGTGTGTATGTAGCTCGGCCTTTTTGTCATGAGGTAGCTGGTTGCTTTTGCGCTGTTCTTTGTACCTCTCGTCAGAGGGGCTCTTGGGGTTGGTGGGTGCCGGTTCTTGCTCCACAGATTTCCTTATTACTTCAGCTCCGGCCATCAGTTTTTGGGCCACAGCTTTTTCCTCCTCGCTCGCTTCCTCTGCTGGCCACCTGAAATCATGCTCTCCAGGGCCGTAGAAGTCAAGTAGTGTGCATTCCGAAATCTCGACATCCCGACTTTCCAACTCCCTAGGCAATTCCTTCCCACTTCTTGCATACTCGTAAAGCTTCATTCCATCGATCTTGATTGCACTGTAAATCGGGGGAATCTGTTTCATCTTTCCCCGGAAGCGATTCAATCTGTCTTCGACCACTTGTTGAGAGATGGTTTCTGTCGGAGCCTCTGCCACTATTTTGCCCATGATGTCGTAAGTGTCGGTGCTTTTCCCGAATAACACAACCGTCTCATACGTTTTCTTGCAGCCGAGGAAGTCAGGAAGGGATTTAGACCCTCTGCCCAGTCCAACAATCAAGACGCCAGTTGCAAGAGGGTCCAGAGTGCCGCCATGGCCCATCTTGAATATCTGGTCATTGCCCCTCTTCCGGCGCTTGGGCTGGTGTCGCTCCTGTTCCTCTTGGGCTTTTCTGGTCTTTTCAAGTAGGGGGGCGAAGGTTTTAGATTCCGCAAATTTGTGCTGCAGGTCTCGAAGCACTTGAGCGGAAGAGATGCTGGGAGGCTTGCTGATGGCTAACAGATAGGTTGGCTAGTTAGGATATATGCACTGGAAAACAATGGGGAAGGCCTGAGGGGAGGAATTGGCCTCACCAAAGACACCCTCGAGGACCTTTCCAGCTGGCTGGGCCATCTTGAGGATGAAAGACGGCCTCATGCGACACAGAGAGTCCTCCGGTCGCAGAACCGCACTTTACTGCCACCACTGAAGTTGGTCTTCTTTTGCAGTCCAGGGATAAAACGCAGCGCAGGCTTCGAGAAGGACTTTGGAAACAATCCCAGTACGCGGAAAAGTTAGTGGAGCCGCACGTGAACATCAAAGTTTAACCCCAAGCTCGACCAATCAGAGTGGTAAGAGCCTGCCTCTAGCCATGGCTCTCCCACTACCAGCCTCCAGCCTCTTTCTCTTTGCTCACCATACATAATGCGCGTTCCTCGTTTCTGCCACCCCCTCCTTACGACAGTTCAACCTCACCATCGACATTACCTAACCATTCCTAGTGACACTCGACTGCGAGATGCCGATTAGACCCCTCTCCTTGCCTGCTCTATAGCGCAGTTCCTGGCTCGCAGCATGAGCCTCGCGGTATCCTCTGGACATGTCCACTCTACCTGAAGAACGAGTTCTGAAACCCCTCGACCCCGTCCCCGATGATGTCAATGACTGGCCGGACTTTGCATTGCGAGAAACAAAAATATTCTATCAAGGAAAAGGCCGCTATGCAGACCTTCTACAGGCTTCGGAAGAGGCACCACTCTGTGTCGTGGGAGAGTTGATGCCGTTGGACGACGAGCAGGAACATCTTGGTACGCAGTTTCGTCCGTTTTACCTTTAGCAGGTGCTGATGACTTCTACCAGCCTTGATAGAGGAACCACTATATGCACGTATAAAGATCGACAACGTTACGAATTACAGCTTTGGTCAAGATGACAACGGGAAGCCCGTTATTTGGGCTGCAGGGAAGGCGGGCTGGTACGAGATTTCACCCTCAGATCGCTATCTGAGTCATTTCAACGACACTTTAGAAGCTATTGATTTGTTTTATTTCATGGTAGATCAGCACCAGAAGCTTGGACGGAAACGCCAGAGGCTGGGATTCATGATCGACCCATTTCTTACCGCATACCAGAAGCACACGGGTTACAGGATTGATGACGATGACGAAGCCATGGAAATGATTCATAAACATCACCGCTTCCTGCTGAGGCAGATGCTTGAAGAGAGGGAAGGGATCGACTGGTCGCAAACATATTTATGGAAACATTTAGCCGAGACTTACGCAGACGAACTGGAGGTATTGAAGACAACCTTGGCAAGAGTCAATCAGAATAGCCTACCAGAGGCTTCAGACTTGTCGGAAGAGGAGGAGGAAGATGAAGGTGAAGAAGAAGAGGAAGAAGAACAAGAAGAAACGCACCAGGACAGAGAGGGCACGTCAGAAGGGTCCGACGGGGACGCTTCCGAAGCAAGTTCCGAGGCAGCGTCCAGCAGCGCGACAGAGACCAAGCCGGAGCCAATTGACTGGACCAGACCTATATGGGATATGCTAAACATACTCCGGAAGTCGGCGAACTTCAATATGCGACACTGTGGAATCGACGAAGCCGCCACGGAGCTACAGAAGTTGCCTGCGTTCGATGGATCACACGAAGACGCAGTGGCCGCGTTTGAGCGCTCAGCAGAGCCTTTACTGAAATTGATGAACGAGGCAAAACTCCGAAAGAAGTTCAATTGGTCTACCCGGAGAATTTACGACGAGTTGGAAGCTACTCTTGCCGATGTGGTCGCAGATGAGACCATGAAGACTCCCCAAAAACCCGGTGGAGGGAAACCCCAGCGGCATCGAATGAAGTCTGTGCTCCGTCCCAGCGGAGCTAGCAAATCACACAAGCGCGCGAGAGGCACCGTGGAAGAGGACGAAGACGAGGTGATGAGTGACGTTCCCATTTCATCACCAGTAGCTCGACGACAAGCTGGCCCGCTACCACCCAGTGGTTTGAGAGAAACCACAGTAGATTCGGGGCCCAGTCGCGAAGATAGTCCCAGTCGACAGCTGAATGGTCATCTGGGTGCCGACGCGTTGCCAGAGCTACCGCCTGGGCCGGAGGCGCAAGAGATGCTCGACTTGGTTGCCCAAGAGGCCAAGCGAGTTGGTCGGCAGCATCAGACGGGTCATCTGCAAGCATTCCTGGGGCAGTGGGTTGTCTGAGCAGAGCAGGTCAAGGCTCTTGCAACTGCATTTCGGGAAGGCGTTCTGAATCTGGTGGCCGTGCTCGGTTGGGAGTTTTTCTCGTTGTCTTTGTCTGTCTGATTGTGATACCCCCCATGTGCTTCGATATAGCATTTGTGTCTCTTGTAGAGAATTAACTCATGTAACAAGTCTTGTCTGTTGTCATGGCTCCTCCCACATTGTGACTCGTGCTAAGCATCACCGAGTAGCCAGCCTCTTGCTCTTCCCGGGCCTTTTTGCCTTGCCTTTGCCGCCTTTGCCTTTCATTCGAGCGGCCGAAAACCCGCGCATGTCCCCGCTGCTGATGGCATCGCCGCTTTTTGCATGCCGTTTCTTGCCACCGAAGCCGTACTTCTGGTCGCGCTTTTGTCGCTTTGGGTTGGGGCCACCGCCGGCACCGCGGTCACGGCCCGACCGATCTTTGGCGGCTGGATTTTCCACGTCGATGTTTTGGAAGAGCTCGTCGTCTAGGTTACCCTCGGTGACTTTGCCGGTGTCGGCGCCCTTGCGTTCTATACGATGGGAAATCGTGTTAGTAGCCTAGCCACACAGATCTGACGGGAAAAGCCATCTCGGTTGGGAAAAAGTAAGGGGAGAAAGGCGGGGTGGGCAAGACTCACTCCTCTTCAATTCCTTGATCTTCTCGAGCGTCGTCCTCTTCTCCTTCGCCCTCTCCTGCTCTTTCGCAACCTGGACTGCCTTTCCAAACTTCTTGGCGTCTCTCAGCTTGCGCGCCTCTTCTGCGGCTTTCTTGTTCGCGGCCTGGTCGTACATCTTCTGCTTGACGCGGCCCATGTGTTCGTCGCTCTTAACCATCTCTGCGAAGTAGTCCGCGGGACGGGAGAAGGGAATTTTCTCGGCGCGGAGCAGGTCCCGCGCCGAGACGACGGCGGTGCGGGCGATGCGGTAGAATTCGAGTTCGCGCGTGAGGTCGTCGTTGGGGTCCGGGACGGCCTGTGACGTGGGCGGGAGATCTGACACCAGGGAGTTGTGGTAGTGGAAGGGCGTCGATTTGGGGGTTTTTATGACGGAAACGCGGTTGCGGGCGGCGACCAGCGCAGGGCCGTTGTTGATGGTCATCTTTTGGTACGGGATCGTGTCTTCGAGATCGGAATCGTCGAGGTCGGAGACGGGCACGTCGGACTCGTTCTCTGCTTCCGAGGCTGAGGCGTCGATGGGTAGGGCTGGCTGTGGGATCGTGGAAGCAACACCGCCGTTGGTTGTTGCATTGGCGGTCTCTTCCTCGTCGTCTTGATCATCTGCGTTTGCTTTGTTGTCCTCCTCTGGAAATCCCGCAAAGTCGTCACCTTGGGCCGGCTTTTTACCTCCATTTTCCGATTTCTCGCTCGTTGCCAGGCCCTCCTCGTCGGTGTCTCCTTGCTTCGCCGTCTCCAGCTTCTGTCTTTTCCGCTTCTCGGCCGCTTTCACCTGTGCCTTTCTCTTTTCTGCCTGGTAATCTCGCCCTCGGTGCGCATCCAGAGCAGCCAGTAATTTGCTCTTCTTCGCCATCTTGGGGTCGAGATTGCAGGTCCGAACAAAAGGTTGCAGGTGAGAATATGTTCAGTGGGTGGGAGAAGGGACGCCGACTATCTTCTGTTCCAGAATTTTTTTGGAGATTGACACACTACTCGATGGGCTAGCAAAAATCTACTCCACACAGCTGCGAAGTGGATGAATTGCCTATTACGGAGAGGCTGAGTACGGTGGATCAGTACGGTGAAGTAAAAGTCTTGTGTCCGCCGCATCACACTCGGTTTGCTCGTCTCGATTCTCGACGGGACTGTTGAGTGGCAGTTCGCTATACAGCCTCTAATATGCGTCCTGATGTCGACAAAGCCGGTGCATAACCCCGAGACATATCTCTCGAGGCGTCTCGCTCAGAAATCATCCCACGGCAGACTACTGCACGATATTGCATTGCGATGTCGAGACTCTTTTCCTGTTTGGTCGCTTGACCCGATAAAAGGCTCACGGAGATATTCTCAAGATACCGATATGGCCACCATTTCCAAATGGCTAGCATAGCTCGGCGGGACGGGAACCTCTGGTTATTGATACGATGCTCTCAATCTTCCTAAAAGCCCTTTTTGCGCAGCCTCGTCGGCCCCTAACATCAAGTCTTCGAGTTGTCTGCGCATGGACGCAGGTTCGGGCTGTAGCCAAAGACACGGTCAAAGACGTCAATTCCAATGTCCTGCGTCAAGGCCAGCATCTGGAATATGTGCAGTTGGGAGTTTAATGGCCAGTAATTGAACCGGGGAGAGATGGTACCAGCAGGTCGCCAGCGGGGACGATTTCGGGCCCGAGTTTCGTGAACTTCGGGGCCCTACAAAACGCTCAAAGTCAAACAACGGTCTTCAAGGGTCGAATGATGGTCTTGTCGTCACCACAGCCTGATTGGCCTGTCAGCTATACTCTCCATGTCCCGTCAACTCTGGTTCCTGCCCGATGCAACGTCTCCGTATAAAGATGTGGTTTTCCCTTGTGGTGCCCAGTCCACCGCTGCTAACAGCATTCTGGCGACACGGAGAAGGACCACAAGACCTCCTGCTTTACACCTCTCCAGACTCGAAGATCCTGCAAAATGTCCTCTGACATAAATGTCCCCATCATCATCATCGGCGGCGGCATTGTAGGCCTCTCTGCCTCCAATTTCCTCGCTTACCACGGCATACGTTCCATGGTGATTGAGCGCCACAAAGGCACGTCGATCCATCCCCGGGCGCGCAGTGTCAATGCACGAACCATGGAGCTCTATCGTCGGCTTGGAATCGAGGATCTCGTCCATGAAGCTGGCGCGTCATTGTCACCGAGTGGGGGCATCTATCGTGGCACTTCTCTCAAGGAGGTCATCGAACCCAAACCGCGCTCTGGAGGTCTCAGAAGGTTTCCCTGGACTGGGTTTCTCGCTCCCCTAAGTCCAGTGAATGGAACATTTGTCACCCAAGACATGATTGAGCCAGTTCTTTTGGACGTTGCAAAGGGGCACGGGGTGGATGTGAGGTTCAACACGGAATGTGTCAGTGTCGAGCAAGATGAAAAGAGCGTTACTGCCGTCTTGAAGGATCGACAGACTGGCGTCAATGTGACCGTGCGAGGACGCTATCTCATAGCCGCTGACGGCGCAGAGAGTCCAATCCGCAACCACCTGGGGGTGGCAACGACTGGAAGGGGTACGATGGGCCATTTGCTCAATATCCTCTTCCACGCCGACCTCAAATATCTTGTCCAAGGACGTGAGTTTTCTCTTTGCAAGATCGAGCGACCCGAAGTTACCGGCCTCTTAACGTCCATAAACAACGACGACCGCTGGGTATTCCACCTCCTCTATGACCCCTCGAAAGGCGAGCAACCTTCTGACTTTCCACCCGAAAAATGCAGAGAGCTGCTACGCCTCGCTTTGGGCGTCGGTGATATTGAGATTGAGATCCAGAGTATCCTTCCATGGAAACCGTCAGTGCGGGTTGCAGAGCAATTGCAACAGGGGCGTATCTTCCTCGCGGGGGACGCCGCACACCAAATGCCGCCGTGGGGAGGCCAAGGTGCAAACACGGGCATCGCAGACGTCCACAATCTTGCCTGGAAGCTCGCTGCAATCCTTCAGGGGCATGCGAGCGAGCGCTTGCTGGAGACGTACGATGTGGAGCGGATTCCCGTGGCGAGGGCGGCTGCGGATTTTTCAGCGAGCATGGCTGATGAGAAGGGAATCATCTCAACACAGGGCCGGTTTGCGCTACTTCGACTCATTGCCAGGGGGTTCCGTCTGCTTTCCGGCCACGGCTGTTATTATACAAGTCGCGCCATCTGCGCCGAGGACACTTCTCCACTGGGCGGACTGACCTGGAGGCCGTGGACCTGGCCGAGCCTGCTCCTTTCGATAGACGGAAGACCTGGAACCAGGGTTCCTCACTTGTGGGTCGAGCACCAGGGCAAACGCGCTTCCACGCTCGACCTGTGTGGCAAGACCTTTGTGTTATTTGCTGGCGGCGATGGCACACTGTGGGTGGAAGCAGCGAGGAAAGTGTCTGCAGCCATGGCCGTCGAGATTGTCACATATGTTGCCGGTCCTAATGGCGATCTTCTGTGTCCACCGGGCCGACTCGAATCTGCTGCTGGGATTTCATCTTGCGGGGCGATCCTGGTGCGTCCCGATGATTTTGTGGCATGGCGCCAGAGGCGACGGGTCGCTGATGGGCGAGCCGAGCTCGCCAGGGCCATGAAACAAGCGTTGTGTCTGTCGTGATCTGGATGAGTGTATGCATATACTATAGGGACTCTATCTAGCACCTTTGAGAGAGAACTCTCCCCTCGCCCGCCAGTCATCTTTTCATCTTTTCTTCTTTTTTTTTTTTTTTTTTTTTTGTGTGTAAGAAGACAATACGCGAAGCATATCACACACACAGCTCTATTCATGTACATACGTGGCGCCGGTATTGGAAACGCACATCAACCCATCCACGAGTAGCTCGTAAGGTCCCCCCTGGCCCCTCACCCTCCCCCTCCGCGTTGAGGAGCGAGCCACGGATCCAGGATTCCAGCCGCAGTTTCAGCCTCACGCCAGGGATTCCCGACGCACAGTGCCCTGCACCAAGTGTGCCGAGTCTTTTGCTGATGACGGGTCCGGCAAATGCGCGGAGGAGATGCTGTACTTAGGTACATACTAAGTAAGTATCCACATCAGCGACTTTACGGGCAAAAGTCAGGATGATATAAAAGTGTTCGTTGGTCACTCGTCTTGAATTCGAGGACTGTCTCAGTACTCCCTCCCATCTCACCTCTTCTCTTCTCTTCTCTTCTCTTCACAGGGGTGTAGATCTCGTACTTTTCAAACGTGGTGATTTGTAAACCTCATCGTTGGCTTTGGCAGACAGAGACACAGAGACACAGAGACACAGACGGCCAGTCAGAGAGAGAGAGAGAGAGAGAGAGAGAGAGAGAGAGACGACTCACCGACCATAGCGAGCTGAGAGAC